CTGGACCTTCCTGTACCGCAGGATGACCCAGAACCCCAACTACTACAACCTGCAAGGTGGGAATGGGATCAGTCCTTGGGAATTCCTGGGGTGGTAACAGTGCTGGAAATCCCATCCTCCCATTATCCCATTACTCCATCCCGTTATTCCATTATCCCATATTCTCATTATGCCTTTATCCCATCCCATTATCTCATTATCCCATTACTCCATTATCTTATCCCATTACCCCATCCCATTATCCCATGATGGCATGATTTTATGATCCCATCATTCTCATCCCATTATCCCATTGTCTCATCTCACCCCACCCCACCCCATCCATCCCAATGCCATGATGCCATGATCCCACCATTCCCATCCCACCATCCCACAATCCCACCCTTCCCACCATGTCCCGTTCCCGCCGGCAGGCGTGTCGCACCGTCACCTGTCGGATCACCTGTCGGAGCTGGTGGAGCAGACCCTGAGCGACCTGGAGCAGTCCAAGTGCATCAGCATCGAGGACGAGATGGACGTGGCACCGCTCAACCTGGGCATGATCGCCGCCTACTACTACATCAACTACACCACCATAGGTGCCCCAAAAAATCCATGGGGTTGAGGTTTTCAACCAAAAATATCCATGGGTTTGGGGGTTATCCTCAAAAAATCCATGGGGTTGGGGTTTTCAACCAAAAATATCCATGGGTTTGTGGGTTTCAACCAAAAAAACCTATTGATATGGGGGTTTCAACCAAAAAAATCCATGAGTTTGGGGGTTTAAACCAAAAAAATCCATAGGTTTTGGTGGTTTTTCCCAAAAAATTGCCATTTTGGAGTGTTGTCCCAAAGAAATCTATGGGGTTGGGGGTTTTCCTCAAAAAAATTGATGGGTTTGGGGGTTTTAACCTAAAAATCCATGGGGTTGGGGGTTTTCCCAAAAAATTCCCATTTTTGGGGCATTGTCCCAAAAAAATCCCTGGCTTTGTTCATTTTCCTTCCAGAAAATCCCTGGGTTTGAGTTTTTCCCTCCAGAATTGCCAATTTATTTTGTGCTTCTCCCCAAAATTCCCTGTTTTCATGTATTTTCTCCCTAAAATTCCCAATTTCTGTGTGTTTCCCCCCAGAACTGTTCAGCATGTCCCTCAACGCCAAGACCAAGGTGCGGGGGCTGCTGGAGATCATCTCCAACGCCGCCGAGTACGAGAACATCCCCATCCGGCACCACGAGGACAACCTGCTGCGCCAGGTCCGGGATCCCTGGGATCCATGGGATTCATGGGATCCATGGGATGGGGTCAAGGGGATCCATGGGATTCATGGGATCCATGGGATGGGGTCAGTGGGATGGGGTCAATGGGGTAGGATCAAGGAGATCAATGGGGTGGGATCAATGGGATGGATTTGGAATAGGATCGGTGGGATTGATGCAATGGGATCAATATGAATGATGGAATGGGATCAGTAGGATTGGGATTGGGATGGGGTGGGATGAGGATGGGATCCATGGCAATGATGGAATGGGATCAGTAGGATTGGGATTGGGATAGGGTGGGATGAGGATGGGATCAATGGGATCCATGGGAATGATGGAATGGGATCCATGGGATTGGCATTGGGATGCGGTGGGATGAGGTGGGATGAGGATGGGATCCATGGCAATGATGGAATGGGATCCATGGGATCGGGATTGGGATGCGATGGGACGATCACTCAACAGCCGCAACCCCGCGATTCCCCAATCCCAAACTTCTCTCCCGGCACCGCCCCCCAAAGCCGTTTTTGGGGTCGAGCTCCGCCGTGGGGTTTGGGCCCTAAAGGGTTTCTCCTCCACCGCAGCTGTCCCAGAAGGTGCCCCACAAACTGACCAACCCCAAATTCAACGACCCCCATGTCAAGACCAACCTGCTGCTCCAGGCCCACCTGTCCCGGATGCAGCTGAGCGCGGAGCTGCAGTCGGACACCGAGGAGATCCTCAGCAAGGTGGGACCCCGACCCCACAACCCTGGCCTGGCTCCATCCCCCGGGGGCACTTCTGCTGGAATTTCAGCCCCTGGGTCAGTTCTCCTGGCATTGCCCCATGTGGTCACCGTTCCATGGGGTCAGTTCTGCAGGAACTGCTCCAGCCTGGGTCCATCCTGTGAGATCCCCATCCCTGCCTGTCACTGACCATCCCTGACCACCGCTGACCACCGTGTCCGTGTCACTGACCATTGGTGATCATCATTTACCATCACTGACCATCCCTGTCTATCGCTGACCATCCCTGACCACAACTGACCATCAATGTCCTTGTCACTGACCATTCCTGACCATCCCTGACCACTGCTGACCACCATGTCCGTGTCACTGACCATCCCTGACCATCCCTGACCACCACTGGCCATCAATGTCCGTGTCACTGACCATCACGTCCGTGTGTCCAGGCCATCCGGCTGATCCAGGCCTGCGTGGACGTGCTGTCCAGCAACGGGTGGCTGAGCCCGGCGCTGGCCGCCATGGAGCTGGCCCAGATGGTCACTCAGGCCATGTGGTCCAAGGACTCGTACCTGAAGCAGCTGCCCCACTTCACCTCAGAGCACATCAAACGCTGCGCCGACAAGGTGCGGCCTGGGGACACTGGGGGCACCTTGGGGACATCCTGGGGACACTTTGGGAACACCTTGGGGACCTTGGGGACATCTTGGGGACACTTCGTGGTACTTTCGGGACTTTGGGAACACCTTGGGGACACGCAGGGGACTCCCTGGGGACATCTTGGAGGCACCAAGGGGACACCTTGGGACCTATGGGACACTTTGGGGACATCTTTGGGATGTGTTTGGGACACCTTGGGGACACTTTGGGACCCATGGGACACTTGAGGGACACCTTGGAGACTCCTTGGGGACATCCTGGGAACACCAAGGGGACACCTTGGGGGCACCCTGGGACTCTTGAGACACTTTAGGGACACCTTGGGACCCACAGGACACTTCGGGGACATCCTGGGGACTTTGAGGACACCTTGGGGACACCCAGGGGACATCTTGGGGCAATTGCAGGGCGTGGAGAGCGTGTTTGACATCATGGAGATGGAGGACGAGGAGCGCACGGCGCTGCTGCAGCTGCCCGAGGCGCAGATCGCCGACGTGGCGCGCTTCTGCAACCGCTACCCCAACATCGAGCTGTCCTACGAGGTGGGGGACAGGGACAACATCCGCAGGTGAGGTGGGGTCACTGGGGTCATCGGGGTCATCGGGGTTGGGATTGGGGTCATTGGGGTGGGACTGGGGTCGTTGGGATCATTGGGATCGTGGAGATGGTTCTGCAACTGGTGCCCCAACATTGAGATGTCCTACGGGGTGGGGGACAGGGACAGCAACACCGGGTGAGACCGGAGTCATTGGGGTCATTGGGATCATTGGATGGGATTGGGATCAGGGTCAGGATCCCATTCCTGGCCCCAGCAGTGGCCCCGTGGTGGTGCTGGGATGGGGTTTGGGATGGGATCAGGACAAGGTTTGGGATGGGGTTTGGGGTTTATGGTTTGGGGTTGCTGACCCCATCCCCAGCGGTGGCCCCGTGGTGGTGCTGGGATGGGATCAGGACAGGGTTTGGGATCAGGATGGGGTTTGGGGTTTGGGGTGGGATCAGGACGAGGTTTGGGATGGGATTTGGGGTTTGGGGTGGGATTTGGGGTTGCTGACCCCGTCCCTGTCCCCAGCGGTGGCCCTGTGGTGGTGCTGGTGCAGCTGGAGCGTGAGGAGGAGGTCACCGGGCCGGTCATCGCCCCCCTGTTCCCACAGGTACCGCGGGCTCGGGGTCTCCCTGATCCCAATCCCATCCATCCCCTGTCCCCCGTGTCCTTGATGTCCCCAATGATGTCACCATGAGGTGGCAGTGTCCCTGATGTCCCCAATGTCCCCACAGAAACGCGAGGAAGGCTGGTGGGTGGTGATCGGGGACTCCAAGTCCAACAGCCTCATCTCCATCAAACGCCTGACGCTGCAGCAGAAGGCCAAGGTGACACCGGGGGACAACGGGGGTGGCACTGGGGTGACATTTGGTGACACTGGGGGTGACACGGGACGGGTGACACAGCTGCTGCCATGAAGTGGGGGTGGCACTGTGTGACACGAGAGTGACCCCGGGTGACCTCAGGTGTCCCGTCCCCAGGTGAAGCTGGGCTGGGTTCCAGTGGGTGCCATTGGGTGACACTGAGGTGCCATGGGCTGGGTGACCTCAGGTGACACCAGAATGACCCCGTGTGACCCCGTGTGACCCCGTGTGACCGTGGCCTGTCCCTGTCCCCAGGTGAAGCTGGATTTCGTGGCGCCGGCGGCGGGCGCGCAGCACTACACGCTGTTCTTCATGAGCGACGCCTACATGGGCTGCGACCAGGAGTACAAGTTCAGCGTGGACGTCAAGGAGGCCGAGAGCGACTCCGACTCCGACTGAGCCCAGGTCCCAGGGAAACCCCAAACTGGCCCTTGGAATCCCAAATATCCCAGGGAAACCCCAAACTGGCCCTCGGAATTCCAAATATTCCAGGGAAACCCAAAACTGGCCCTCGGAATCCCAAATATCCCAGGGAAACCCAAAACTGGCCCTCGGAATTCTAGAAATCCCAGGGAAACCCAAAACTGGCCCTCAGAATTCCAGATATTCCAGGGAAACCCAAAAATCCCAGTAAAAACCCACCAAATCCCAAAATATTCCAGAGAAAACCCCAAAATCCCACAGATTCCCAGTAAAACCCCTTCAGAATCCCAAAATATGCCACCCAAATACTGTAAAATACCAGAAACCCTTAGGATCCCATTAGAATTCCATAAAATCCAAAAAAATCCCCCAGATCCTGCTCCCATTGGATTTTAGGGTTTGGATGTTTTGTACAGTTTTTTTTTAGGATGGAATAAACTTCGGGATGCGACTCGGCCTCGGTGCTGGATTCCAAATTCCTGAAACCCAAAATTCTTGGGATCCCAAATCCCCCAATCCCAAATTCCCAGATCCCGAACTCCTGGAGCCCAAACTTCAGGATCCCAAAATCCCAAATCCCACTGGATCCCAAATTCATGGCTCCTGTGGGATCCCGGCATTTATTGGCTGTGGGACCCCAAACCCGGCCCCACCCCGGTGATCCCGACCCCACAAACCCCACCAGGGACGGACCCCAGGCACGGGAACGTTCTGGAGAACAGGGGGAGGTTCTGGAGAACTTGGGATGGCTCTGGAGAAGTTGGAAAGTTTCTGGAGGCCGTGGGGAGGTTCTGGAGAACGTTGGGGAATCCTGGAGGCCACGGGAGGTTCCTGGAGCTCCTAGAGGCCACAGGAAGCTTCTCGAGAAGGAGGTTCCTGGAGGCTATGGAGAGGTTCTGGAGAGCTTTGAGTGATTCTGGAGGCCACAGGAGGTTCTGGAGGTCCTGGAGGCCATGGGAGATTCTGGAGAACATTGAGTGATTCTGGAGCCCACAGGAGGTTCCTGAAGGCCATGGGGAGGTCCTGGAGGACCTGGGGAGGTTCTGGAGGCCACAGGAGGTCCTGGAGGCCATGGGGAGGTTCTGGAGAACATTGGGCGATCCTGGAGCTCACAGGAGGTTCCTGAAGGCCACAGGAGGTTCTGGAGAACACTGAGTGATTCTGGAGCTCACAGGAGTTTCTGGAGGACCTGGGGAGGTTCCTGGAGGCCATGGGGGATTCTGGAGAACATTGGGCGATCCTGGAGCCCACAGGAGGTTCCTGAAGGCCACAGGAGGTTCTGGAGAACATTGAGTGATCCTGGAGCCCACAGGAGGTTCTGGAGAACATTGGGTGATCCTGGAGCCCACAGGAGGTTCCTGAAGGCCATGGGAGGTTCTGGAGAACATTGGGCAATCCTGGAGCCCACAGGAGGTTCCTGAAGCCCACAGGAGGTTCAGGAGGTCCCCGGGGTGTCCCCGTGGTGTCCCTCAGAGGCCGTCGGGGCGCTGGTAGCGCCAGAAGGCGACGGTGCCGTCGTCGCCGCAGGACGCCAGCAGCCCCGGCTCCCGCGGGTGCCAGGCCACGCCGTTGGCGTCCTGGGCGTGCGCCCGTGGCACCTGCGCCGCCAGGCAGAAGGTCACCGGCGACCCCGGGGACGCCGGGGCCACCTCCTCGAACACCCGCACCGCGTCGTCACCGCACGCCGTGGCCACCGCGCCCGTCAGGTGGCACCTGCGGGGACAGGGACGGGTGGCACTTGGGGGCACGGAGGGGACAGGCGGCACCTGGGCGGGGTCAGAGAGGTGACAGGTGGCACCTGGGGGAGCAGGGACAGGGGACAGGGACACAGAGGTGACAGGTGGCACCTGGGGGAGCAGGGACAGGGGACAGGCGGCACCTGGAGGGTCACAGGGAGGGAAAGGGACAGGTGGCACCTATGGGGCACAAGGGAGGGGACAAAGCCCTTGGAGGGGCCACCATCTGGAAGGCCACAGGGGTGCCACAAGGGGACAGGGCCCCAGGGAGGGGTCCCCGGTGTCCCCAGGGAAGTGTCTCCAATGCCCTCATACCCCATGATGTCCCCAATGTCCCCAGATGTCCCCGGTGCTCACCAGGCCACGTCGTAGATGCTGCGCCCGTGGTACCCGGACAGGGTGCAGACACACTGCCAGCTGTGCTCCGAGCCTGGGGACATTGGGGACATCATTGGGGACATCATTGGGGACATTGGGGTGTCCTCCCCCACAGGGTGCAGTCGTCGCTGCAGGACACGAGTCCCTGTCCCCAATGTCCCTGTCCCCAGTGTCCCCATGTCATCATGTCCCCAGTGTCCTCATGTTCCCAATGTCCCCATGTCCCCAACGTCCCCAATGTCCCCAATGTCCCCATGTCCCCAATGTCCCCATGTCCCCGTGTCCCTCACCGTGTCCCTGGGCGCGCTGCCACACGCGCAGGGTGCGGTTGTCGCTGCAGGACACGAGTCCCTGTCCCCAATGTCCCTGTTCCCAATGTCCCAATGTCCCCAATGCCCCTGTTCCCAATGTCCCCAACGTCCCCATGTCCCTAACGTCCCCAATGTCCCCATGTCCCTAACGTCCCCATGTCCCCAATGTCCCCATGTCATGTCCCCAGTGTCCCCATGTCCCCAACATCCCCAACGTCCCCATGTCCCCAACATCCCCAATGTCCCCATGTCCCCAATGTCCCTGTCCCCAGTGTCCCCAATGTCCCCATGTCCCCGTGTCCCTCACCGTGTCCCTGGGCGCGCTGCCACACGCGCAGGGTGCGGTCATCGCTGCAGGACACCAGGCGCTGGCCGGAGCGCTCCCAGGCCACTGCCCACACGGTGGACGTGTGTCCCTCCAGGGTGGCACAGCACACCCAGTCGTCCTCGTCCTCGCGGTACAGCCGCACCGTGTCATCGTAGCTGGCACTGGCCAGCAGCTGGGGACAGCGTGGGGACATTGGGGACATCACTGGGACACTGGGGGATTGGGGACATTGGGGACATCACTGGGACACTGGGGGGATTGGGGACACTGGGGACAGCAATGGGACCCTGGCAGGGTTTGGGCATCTCTGGGGGGTCCCTGCGGGAGTTTGGGGTGTCCCAGGGCCCTTCCAGGTGTGTCCCCATGTCCCCCCAGGTGTCCCAGGTGTCCCCAGGTGTGTCCCCATGTCCCCTCAGGTGTCCCAGGTGTGTCCCCATGTCCCCCCAGGTGTCCCAGGTGTCCCAGGTGTGTCCCCATGTCCCCCCAGGTGTCCCTAGGTGTGTCCCCATGTCCCCATGTCCTCCCAGGTGTCCCAGGTGTGTCCCCAGGTGTGTCCCCATGTCCCCCAGGTGTCCCCACCTCCTGGCTGGGGTGCCACACCACGTGTTTGACGTCCTGGCTGTGGGCGCTGAGCACGCTGACACACTCGAACTCCTGCTCCTCCTCGTCCACTGCGGGGAGAGCGGGCAGTGTGGTCAGTGTCAGTGTGGTCAGTGGTCAGCGTGGTCAGCGGTCAGTGTGGGCAGTGTGGTTAGTGGTCAGGGTCAGTGTGGGCAGTGTGGGGTCAGTGTGGTCAGTGTGGTCAGTGTGGTCAGTGTGGTCAGCGGTCACTCTGGTCAGTGTGGTCAGTGGTCAGTGTGGTCAGTGTGGGGTCAGTGTGGTCAGTGTGGTCAGTGGTCACTCTGGTCAGTGTGGTCAGTGTGGTCAGTGTGGTCAGTGTGGTCAGCGGTCAGTGTGGTCAGCGGTCAGTGTGGTCACTCTGGTCAGTGTGGTCAGTGGTCACTCTGGTCAGCGGTCAGTGGTCACTCTGGTCAGTGTGGTCACTGTGGTCAGTGTGGTCACTCTGGTCAGTGGCCAGTGTGGTCACTGGTCAGTGGTCACTCTGGTCAGTGTGGTCACTGGTCAGTGGTCACTCTGGTCAGTGTGGTCAGTGGTCACTCTGGTCAGTGGTCACTCTGGTCAGTGGTCACTGTGGTCACTCTGGCCAGCGGTCACTCACCCTCCCAGACCCAGACGCTCTTGTCGCGGCTGCAGGTGGCCAGCAGTGCCCCCGAGGGTGCCCAGGCCACCGACTTCACCTCGTTCTCGTGTCCCTCCAGCGAGGCCACCACCTGTGGGGACAGGGACAGCGCTGGCACGGGGGCACGGGGGCACGGGGGGATTTGGGGGGATATTAGGGGGGATTTGGGGGGTTTGGGGGATATTAGGGGGGTCTGAGGGGCTGGGAAAGAGTTTGGGGGGGATTTGGGGGGTCTGGGATAAATTGGGGGGGTCTGGAGGGGATTTTGGGGAAACTGGGGGGGTTTGGGGGGCTGGGGAAGGATTTGGGGGGTCTGGGGGAGCACACAGGTGACACTGAAGGGGTGACACAGTAGGGGTGACACAGGTGACACAGTAGGGGTGACACATGTGACATGGGGGTGACACAGATGAACTGAGGTGACACAGGTGACACTGAGGTGACCCAGGTGACACTGAGGTGACACAGGTGATACTGTAGGGGTGACACAGGTGACACAGGGGTGACACAGGTGACACTGAAGGGGTGACACAGGTGACACGGAGGTGACACAAGTAAACTGAGGTGACACAGGTGACACTGTAGGGGTGACACAGGTGGCACTGAAGGGGTGATACAGGTGGCAGAGGTAACACACAGGTGACACAGGTGACACTGAGGTGACACAGGTGAACTGAGGTGACACAGGTGACACTGTAGGGGTGACACACAGGTGACACAGATGAACTGAGGTGATACAGGTGACACTGCAGGGGTGACGTGGGTGACACAGGGGTGACACAGGTGACACTGCAGGGGTGACACAGGTGACACAGGGGTGACACAGGTGACACTGTAGGGGTGACACACAGGTGACACAGGTGAACTGAGGTGACACAGGTGACACTGCAGAAGTGACACAGGTGACACAGGGGTGACACAGGTGACACTGCAGGGGTGACACAGGTGACACAGGTGACCCAGGTGACAGCGGCACCTCGAAGCCATGCTCGTGCCGCCGCCAGACGCAGGTGGTGCCATCGAAGCTGGCCGAGGCCAGGAAGTGCCCGCACGGTGACCACGCCACCCTGCGCACCGTGCGCTGGTGCCCGTCCGCCAGCACCGCCCGGCACGCCCAGCCCGAGCCTGGCACAGAGGGGACAGAGGGGACACTGAGGGGACACTGAGGGGACACTGAGGGGACATTGGGGACACTGGGAGGACACCAGGGGGACACCGGGACAGGGTTAGCCCCGTGTCCAGCCCGGTCCCCTCGTGTGGTCCCGGTTTCCCCACACCCGTTCCCATTCTCGTTCCCATTCCCGGTTCCTGTTCCCGTTCCCCGCTCACCCTCCCGTCCCCACACCCGCACGGTCCGGTCCCATTCCCTGTTCCCGTTCCCATCCCCGTTCCCGGTTCCCATTCCCGTTCCCATTCCCGGTTCCCAGTCCCGGTTCCTGTTCCCATTCCCGTTCCCAGTCCCGGTTCCTGTTCCCATTCCCGGTCCCATTCCCGTTCCCATTCCCGTTCCCAGTCCCGGTTCCTGTTCCCATTCCCGTTCCCATCCCCGGTTCCTGTTCCCATTCCCAGTTCCCATTCCCGTTCCCAGTCACGGTTCCCGTTCCCATTCCCGGTTCCCGTTCCCGTTCCCGTTCCCCGCTCACCCTCCCTTCCCCAGACCCGCACGGTCCGGTCCCATTCCCGGTTCCCATCCCCGGTTCCCATTCCCGGTTCCCATTCCCGTTCCGTTCCCGGTCCCATTCCCGGTTCCCGTTCCCCGCTCACCCTCCCGTCCCCAGACGCGCACGGTCCGGTCCCATTCCCGTTCCCGGTTCCCGGTTCCCAGTCCCGTTCCCCGCTCACCCTCCCGTCCCCACACCCGCACGGTCCGGTCCCCGCCGCAGGACGCCAGCAGGGCCCCGCTGGGGCTCCAGGCCAGGGCCCAGCAGCGGGACTCGGGGTGCGCCGAGATGCGGCACAGCAGCGACAGCGCCTCGGGCATGGCGGCGGCACCGGGACCGGAGCGGAACCGGGAACAGCACCGGAACCGGAACCGACAGCGGAGCGGAACCGGAAGCGGAACAGACGCGGAAGCGGAAGCGCGGCCGGGCGGGGCCGGCAGGAGGGCCCAGAGCCGCCACCGGGGCCCGGCGGGGTCGGGATTGGAACCGGCACCGGAACCAGGACCGGCACCGGCTGACCCGGGATCGGCACCGGCACCGGGGCCGCTGTCGCGGCGTCCGGGCCGGGATCAGCGCGTTCGGAGCGAGCGGGATCGGTGTCGGGACACCGGGGCCGGGATCGGTGTCGGGACACCGGGGCCGGCATCGGGAGCTGCTGCCAGTAAAGCCGGGCGGGTGTCGGGGGTCCCAGAGCCGGTACCGTGATCTCAGAGCCGGGACCGGTTATCCCCAGGGGGTGTCGGGGGGCCCGGAACCGGTACCGGCCATCCCGGGGCGGGTGTCGGGGGGCCCGGAACCGGTACCGGCTATCCCGGGGCGGGTGTTGGAGGGCCCGGAACCGGTACCGGCTATCCCGGGGCGGGTGTCGGGGGGCCCGGAACCGGTACCGGCTATCCCGGGGCGGGTGTCGGGGGGCCCAGAGCAGGTGCTGGTGAGCCGGAACCGGTCCCGGTGACCCAGGGCTGGTCCTGGTGACCCGGGGCCGGTGTCTGTAACCCCAGTCCCGGTGCCGGTGACCCAGAGCCAGTATCCATAACCCCGGTGCCAGTCCCAGTCCCGGTTCCGTTCCCGGTCCCGGTTCCACTCGGGGTTCCATTCCTGGTACTGGTGATCCAGAGCCAGCGTCCGTAATCCTGGTCCCGGTGCCGGTCCCGCTCCCGGTGCCGGTTCTGCTCCCGGTGACCCGGACCCAGTGTCCATAACCCCGGTTCCACTCCTGGTTCCGCTCCTGCCCCCGGTCCCTCTCCCGGTGCTGGTTTCAGTCCCAGTTCCAGTCCTGGTGACCCAGACCCGGTGTCCATAACCCCTTTCCCGGTGCTGGTGCCACTCCCGGTGCCGGTGACCCAGACCCGGTGTCCCTCACCCCGCTCCCGGTGCCACTCCCGGTTCCAGTCCTGGTGACCCAGACCCGGTGTCCCTAACCCCGCTCCTGGTGCCGGTGCCACTCCCAGTGCCGGTGACCCAGACCCGGTGTCCGTAACCCCGGTGCCGTTCCCGGTCCCGATCCCGGTGCCACTCCCGGTGCCATCCCCGGTGCCACTCCCGGTGCCGTCCCCGTTGCCGTTCCCTCCCGGCACTGTGCCGCCATGTACCCGGGGGCAGCGGCGGCGGGCGCGGCGGGCGCGCGGCGGCGGCGCGGCGCGGCGGCGCTGCCCAAGCAGCCGGAGCGCAGCCTGGCCTCGGCGCTGCCGGGCGCTCTGGCCGTCACCGCGCTCTGCACCGCGCTGGCCGAGCCCGCCTGGCTGCGCATCCACGGCGGCACCTGCGCCCGCCAGGAGCTGGGCGTGGCCGACGTGCTGGGCTTCGTGCAGCCCGAGCTGCTGCGAGGTGAGCTGCCGGGGCCTTCCGGAACCTTCCGTGTCCTTCTGAGCCTTCCAGAACCTTCCGTGTCCTTCTGACCCTTCCAGAACCTCCTGTGCCCTTCCAGAACCTTCTGTGTCCTTCTGACCCTTCTAGAACCTTCCATGACCTTCCAGAACCTTCTGTGTCCTTCCAGAACCTTCTGTGTCCTTCCAGAACCTTCTATGTCCTTCTGAGCCTTCCAGAACCTTCCATGTCCTTCCAGAACCTTCTGTGTCCTTCTGACCCTTCCAGAACCTTCCATGCCCTTCTGACCCTTCCAGAACCTTCTGTGTCCTTCTGACCCTTCTGGAACCTTCTGTGTCCTTCCAGAACCTTCCATGGCCTTCTGACCCTTCCAGAACCTTCCATGTCCTTCCAGAACCTTCAGTGTCCTTCTGAGCCTTCCAGAACCTTCTGTGTCCTTCCAGAACCTTCTGTGTCCTTCTGAGCCTTCCAGAACCTTCTGTGTCTTTCTGACCCTTCCAGAACCTTCCGTGACCTTCCAGAACCTTCTGTGTCCTTCTGACCCTTCCAGAACCTTCCGTGACCTTCCAGAACCTTCAGTGTCCTTCCAGAACCTTCTGTGTCCTTCCAGAACCTTCCATGTCCTTCTGACCCTTCCAGAACCTTCAGTGTCCTTCCAGCACCTTCCATGTCCTTCTGACCCTTCCAGTACCTTCCATGTCCTTCCAGACTCTTCTGGAACCTCCTGTGTCTTTCTGGTCCTTCCAGAACCTCCTGTGCCCTTCCAGAACCTTCTGTGTGTCCTTCTGACCTTTCCAGAACCTTCCATGACCTTCCAGAACCTTTTGACCTTTCCAGAACCTTCTGACCCTTCCAGAACCTTCTGAGCCCTTCTTACCCCCAAATATCCCCTCAAAATCTCCCAAAATTTCTCCTTTTCCACCCAGAATTCTGGCTGGGCTGGGTCCCTTGGCCAGAATATCTGATTTATTGGGCAGAAAAATCAGATTTTTGGGGCAGAAAATCCAAAAATTTTGATTTTTTTGTGCGGAAACTTGGATTTTTTTGTCGAAAAAATCCGATTTTTTTTGCTAAAAATTTAGATTTTTTTTTCCTAAAAAATCTAATTTTTTCCCATTTTTTCCCTTTCTTCCCCAGATTTCTGCATGAACCCGCAGACGGTGCTGCTGCTCCGCGTCATCGCCGCCTTTTGCTTCCTGGGCATCGTCTGCAGCCTCGGCGCGTTCCTGCTCGACGTCTTCGGGCCCAAACACCCGGCCCTGAAAATCACCCGGCGCTATGCCTTCGCCCACATCCTCACAGGTGGGCACCCCAAATCCTCCTAAAATACCCCAAAAATCCCCCAAAAATTAAAAAAAAAATTGGTGGAATTGAGCCAAAAAATCCGCCAAAAATGAAAAAAAACCCCAGTGGAATTCCAGCCAAAAATCCCCTAAAAAAGCCTAAAAATCCCCCCAAAATTAGAAAAAAAAAAGCGGTGGAATTCCACCCAAAAATCCCCTTTTTTTCCTTTTTTTTTTTCTTTTTTTTTTTCCTTTTTTTCCCATTTTTTCCCCATTTTTTCCCATTTCTCCCTAATCTAATTTTTCCTCAATCTAACCCATTTTTCCCCATTTTCCCCATTTCCCCCAATCTAACATGTTTTCTTCCTTTTTTTTCCTTTTTTCCCATTTTTCTCCAATCTAACCCATTTTTCCCCAATCTAACCAATTTTCTCCTTTTTTTCCCATTTTTCCCCAATCTAACAAATTTTCCCCATTTTTTCCCATTTTTTTTCCATTTTGCCTGATTTTTCCCCCATCTCACCCATTTTTCCTCCCATTTCTCCCCAATCTAACCCATTTTTTTCTTGTTTTTTCCCCCATTTTTCCCCAATCTAACCCATTTTTTTTCTTGTTTTTTTCCCATTTTTCTCCAATCTAACCCATTTTTTTTCCTGTTTTTTTCCCATTTTTCCCCAATCTAACCCATTTTCCCCCAGTGCTGCAGTACGCCACTGTGATCGGGTTCTGCTTCTGGGGAACCCAGACCCCAAACCCACCCCAAACCAACCCATTTTTCCATGGTTTCCCCCCATTTTTCCATGGTTTTTCCCCATTTTTCCCCTTTTTTTCCCATTTTTCCCTATTTTCCCCAATCTAACCCATTCCCCCATTTTCCCCCAGTGCTGCAGTGCGCCACCGTGATCGGCTTCTGCTACTGGGCGTCGGAGCTGCTGCTGGCGCAGCAGCAGCAGCACAAGAAGTACCACGGCTCCCAGGTCTTCGTCACCTTCGCCGTCAGCTTCTACCTGGTGGCCGGCGCGGGCGGCGCCTCCATCCTGGCCACGGCGGCCAACCTGCTGCGGCACTACCCCAGCGAGGAGGAGGAGCAGGCGCTGGAGCTGCTCTCCGAGATGGAGGAGGCCGAACCCTACGGCCCCGACTACGAGGTGGTCAACCAGTTCCAGCCGCCGCCCGCCTACACGCCCTGACGGCGCCCGGCGATGTTGTCGCGGTTGCGGTCATCAGGATTGAGGTTGTAGAGATTGTGGTCATCGGGGTCAAGGTCATCGTGATTGAGGTCATTGGGATTGTGGTCACCTCAGTCCTGGTCACTTGATCCCGGTCATCACGATCACGGTCATCATGATCGTGTTCATTGTGATCGAGGTCATCATGATTGTGGTCATTGGGATTGAGGTCACCGAGATCACGGTCATCGGGATCGTGGTCATCAGGATCGTGGTCGTTGGGATCATGGTCGCTTTGATCCCAATCACCATGATTGTGACTCGTTGCAATCACGGTCATCGGGATCATGGTCACCTTGATCCCGGACCACCATCTGGTCATCCAGATCGTGGTCATCAGGATCATGGTCATTTGACTGCAGTCATCGCGATCGCGGTCACTTTGATCGTGGTCATCGGGATCGCTGTCACCTTGATCCCAGTCATGACGATCATGGTCATCGTGATCATGGTCACCCTTGATCGGGGTCTCTTGATCCTGGTCACCACAGTGGTGGTCACCGTGATCACGGTGATTTGATCCCGGTCACCGTGATCCTGGTCACCACGATCGTGGTCACTTGGTCCCGGTCACCGCGATGGACCGAGCGGACAGAGCGGCCGGATCGTCGTGGGGGTGGAGGAGGTGGCATGGCAGGGTTGGTCGGGACAATGTTGGGAGATCTTCCAGCAGAAGCTTTGTCCAGGTGGATCCCAGGAACTCTTACGACAAAGGATTGTCCAGCTGGATCTCTGGAGATCCTCCAGGGCAGGATTTCTGCAGGGGGGTCCCAGGAACTCTTCAACAAAAGATGCTTTGGACAGATCCCAGAAGTTCTTCCAGGAAAGGATTTCTCCAGGTGGATCCCAGGAGATCTTCCAGGGAAGGATTTCTCCGGGTGGATCCCAGGAGCTCTTCCAGCCAAGGGTTGCTCTGGATGGACACAGGAAGTTCTTCCAGGGAAGGACTCGTTGGAGCAGATCCCGGGAGATCTTCCAGGGCAGGATTGGTTTGGATGGATCCCGGGAGTTGTCCCGGGAAAGGATTTCTCCTGGTGGATCCCAGAATTCCCGCAGGATTTCTCCTGGTGGATCCCAGAATTCCCGCAGGATTTCTCCTGGTGGATCCCAGAATTCCCACAGGATTTCTCCTGGTGGATCCCAGAATTCCCAGAGGATTTCTCCTGGTGGATCCCAGAATTCCCGCAGGATTTCTCCTGGTGGATCCCAGGAGCTCCTGCAGGGCCTCGATCCCGGGGTTGGTTCGAACCCCGTTGGGATCTCCTGCTCCAGGTGGGTTTTCCTTGGAAGGAGGAGATTGGGATCCATGGATTCCCCTGGAATGAGGAGAGTGGGATCCACCCGGACTGGGAACTTTGGGATCAGGAATTCCCAGTGGATCCAGAACTTTGGGATCCCCAATTCCCAACAGATCCAGAACTTTGGGAATCCCATGGATTGAGAACTTTGGGATCTGGAATTCCCAACAGAACGAGAACTTTGGGATCCTCGGGACTGAGAACTTCGGGATCATCAATTCCCAGCAGATCCAGAACTTTGGGATCCCCATGGATCAAAAACTTTGGGATCCTCTGGAACGAGAACTTCAGGATCCCTACTTCCCAACGGATCGAGAACTTTGGGATCCCCAATTCCCAATGGAATGAGAACTTTGGGATTTTGAATTCTCAGTGGATCAAGAACTTTGGGATCCCCACGGATCAAAAACTTTGGGATCTGGAATTCTCAATGGATCCAGAACTTTGGGATTTGGAATTCTCCCTGAACTGAGAACTTTGGGATCCCCAATTCCCACTGGATCCCGAATTTTGGGATCCCCATGGATGGAGAACTTTGGGATCTTGAATTCCCAATAGATCCAGAACTTTGGGATCTCCATGGATCAAAAATTTTGGGACCCCCTGGACTGAGAATTTTGGAATTCCCAATTCCCACCGGATCCCAAATTTCGGGATCCCCGGTCCCTGCCCGGCCCCTGCCCGGCCCAGCCCCTTTTCCCAGGAATATTTATCCCCTTATTTAAAAATTCGAGAATTCCCATCCCCACTCCCCCTTTTCCCCCCCATGGACATTCTGCACTTTATTCCAGGCTCTGGGAATTTTTTTGGGGTTTTTTTTGGGATCATCCCATCCCTCACCCTGCAAAATTTGGGAATTTTGGCCTCCCGGGAAATCGGGATGAGCCCTGCTGGAAAAACCCTGGAGCTTTTATGCAAATCCCTCCACTCCCATCCCAAAATTCCCAATTTTTTCCCCACTCTGATTTTTCCAACCCCCCCCAGGACCAATCCCAGAAATTTTCGGGGCCAAAATAGAAAAAAAATAGGAAAAAAAAAATCCCACAAGGATTGAAATTCCCACCAAAATTCCCATTCCTGGCATGCTTCGGCTCGGAGGGGATTTTTTTCTGGGGGAATCTCCTGAATTTTTAGGGAATTTTTACCCCGGGACCCAGTTCCTTGGAGGTCCCAATGCTTTTATCCCGATTTTCCCAGTTTTGTCCCGATTTTCCTGCTTTTATCCCAATTTTCCTGCTCTTTTTCCCTTTTTTTCCCATTTTCCCCCCCCGGCTATGCAAGAGCTCCCCTGGGATGGAAATCCTGGAAAAATCCCGGAAAAAACCCGAAAATCCCAGAAAAAAACAAATCCCAGGAAAGGCTCAGGAGGAGCCAAACGGACCCGAAAAGGCCCCGGGGAAAATTCCCGGGATTTGGGATCCGCCGGGAAAAACTTCGGGATTCCCTGGATATGCAAAGAATAAATCTGTGAAAAATGGGATTTTCCAGAGAATTCCCAAAAAACCACAGGGTGGGATGAAGGAGGGGGCAGCAAATTTTGGGATTTGGGATCGGCCGCAGGATTTTTGGGAATTAAATGTGGGGAGAAACTCGGGTTGGGGTTGGGAGAGGGGAGGGGTTGGGTCCTGAAAAATGGGGCTGGATCCCAAAAATTGGGATTTGATTCTAAAAAATGGGGCTGAATCCCAAAAAAACAGCCTTGGATCCCGTAAAAATGGGTCTGGATCCCAAAAATGGGATTAATCCCCAAAAATGGGATTGATCCCCAAAAAACTGGGCCGGATCCCATAAAACGGAGCTGGATCCCAAAAAAATGGGGCTTTATCCCAAAAAGCAGCCCTGGATCCCATAAAAATTGGGCTGGATCCAAAAATCCCCCAAAACCCCCCAAATCCTACAAAACCCCCCAAAATCCCCCCAAAATCCCCAAAGTCCCAGGCCCCAAAATGGCCCCGTGGGGGCGTGGCCACGCGCAAGCCCCGCCCCCTTTGGGAACCACTTCCGCATCACGCGCCAATGGGAGCGCGGCAGCGGAACTCGGTGCTACCGGAGCCACCGGCGGAGCCACCGGCGGGGCCACCCCGTTATCCCGAGTGTCCCAGAGCCCCCCCAGGCCCCAAAACCCCGAATCGCGCCCCAAAAAACCCCCAGGCCCCAAAACCGCCCGGGGGCGTGGCCTCGGTCAAGCCCCGCCCACGCTTCGCCCTCTCTGCCCTCACACCCTTTCCGGTATCACGCGCTGCGGGGCGTGGCTTCGCTCCTCACAGCCAATCAGCGCGCGGGGCGGGGCGGCGCTGGCCAATGGCGGCGCGGCGCTTGGCGGTGACGTAGGAGGAGCGCGACGCGCGGCGCGGCGGGGCGGCATGTGGCGGCCGCTGGCCGCGCTCGCCGCCCGCGGGGCCTCCGCCGGGGCCTCCGCCGGGGCCGCCGCCGGGGCCTGCCCCGCGCCCGCGCCGCTGCCGCTGCTGCTGCTGGCGCTGCTCGGCCGCCGCCGCGCCTGCGGGAGGGCGCGGCGGGCCCGGCAGCGCGGCGGCACCGGAGAGGCGGCGGGAGGAGGAACCGGGAGCGGCGGAACCGGGAGCGGCGGAACCGGGGGAGGCCGCTGGGGGCGGCCCCGCGGGCGGACGGGGCTGATGGCGGCGCTCGGTGCCGGAGCGTTCGTGTGGGACGGGCAGCGCATCGAGGAGGAGGAGCTGAGGCGGTGAGCGGGGTCGCACCGGGAATAACACCGGGATAATAACCGGAATAACGGCGGGATAACACCGGGATCATGACGGGAATAACACCGGGATCATAACGGGAATAACACCGGGATCATAACGGGAATAACACCGGGATAACACCGGGAATAACACCGGGATAACACCGGGAATAATGGGAATCACACCGGGATAATAACGGGAATAACGGTGCGATAAAAACGGGAAAAACACCGGGAATAGTGATGGGAATACCGGGAGTAGTGGTGGGAATAACGGCGGGATAATAACGGGAAAAATGGGAACCACATCGGGAATAACGGCAGGAACAACGGGAATAAAACTGTGGAATTTCCCATCGTAATCCCTCAAAAATCGGGAATTTCCATCCCAACCCCATAAATCCGGGAATTCCCACAAAATCCCGGGATTCCCGCAGGTCGGCGCAGGAGCTGCAGCAGTTGGAGCATCCCGAGGATTTCCCGGAGCAGGAGCGGGGCTGGGAGCCGCTGCTGGAGCGGGAACGGTTCCGCCTCTGGCGCCGCCCCATCCCCGGCTCGGGGCTCTTCCAGTACCGGGGTACGCAATTCCTGAATTCCCAAAATCCCAAAATCCCGAATCCCAAATTCCCAAAAATCCCAAATCCCCAAAGTACCAAATCCTTAAAATCCCGAATTCCCAAAATCCCGAATCCCAAAATCCCAAATCCCCAAAATCCCCAAAATCCTGAATCCCCAAAATCCCGAATCCCAAATTCCCAAAAATCCCAAATCCCCAAAATCCCCAAAATCCCAAATTCCCAAAAATCCTGAATTCCCCAAATCCCAAATTCCCAAATATCCCGAATTCCCAAATCCCAAATTCCCAAAAATCCTGAATCCCCAAAATCCCGAATCCCAAAATCCAAAATCCCCAAAATCCCAAAAATCCTGAATCCCCAAAATCCCAAAAATCCTGAATCCTCAAAATCCCGAATCCCAAATTCCCAAAAATCCCAAATCTCCAAAGTACCAAATCCTTAAAATCCCGAATCCCAAATTCCCAACATCATGAATCCCAGAATTCCCAAAAATCCGAATTCCCAAAATCCCGAATCCCAAATTCCCAAAATCCCAACATCCTGAATCCCAGAATTCCCAAAAATCCTGAATTCCCAAATATCCCAAATTCCCAAATCCCAAATTCCCAAAAATACTGAATCCCCAAAATCCCAACATCCTGAATCCCAGAATTCCCAAAATCCCAAATTCCTGAATTTCCCAAATTCCCAAAAGTCCCAAAATCCTAAATCCCAGATTCTCAAATTCCCCAAAGTTCCTGAAATTCCTGAAAATCCTGAATTTTTGAGATTTCTGAATTCCTGGGAGTTTTGGGATTGGGAGATTTTCAGGATTTGCTGATTTGGGGGATTTTTGGGATTTTGGGAACAATTTTTAGAATGTTTTAGGATTTTGGGGTTTTTTTTGGGATTTGCTGATTTTTGGGATTTTCCCGTAGTTTTCGGCTCCTACACCGACGTCACTCCCCGGCAATTCTTCAACGTCCAGGTGAGCAGAATTCCCAAAAATCCCTGAAAATTCCCCAGGAATTCCCAAAAATTCCACAAAATTCCACAAAATTCCCTGGGAATTCCCAGAATTCCTGCCAGGATTTGATTCCAGGGCTGGGAATCTTTGGGAATTCCATGTGGATCCAAGAAAAACTTGGAAAACTCCTGGGAATTTCCAATCCCATTTTTCCCAGAAATTCTGGATTCAGGGTGGGAGAGGGGGGAAGGAATTTTTTTTCCTGGAATTCTGGGGGTTTCCCATCCCAATTTTCTCTGGAATTCTGGGATTTTCCCATCCTGATATTCCCAGTTTTCCTTGGAATTTTAAGGTTTTCCTGATCCAGTTTTTCTTGGAATTCTGGGATTTTCCCATCCTGATTTTCCCTGGAATCCCGGGTTTTTTCCAATCCTATTTTTCCCTGGAATTCCAGGATTTTTCTTTAGTTTTTCCCATGATTTCCTGGAATTCCAGTATTTTTTCCCCTGATCCCTTTTTCTGTGAATTCCCGGATTTTTCCTGGATTTTTTCCCCAGGATTTCTGGGAATTCCAGGATTTTTTTTCCCAATCCCTTTTTCCCAGAATTCCTGAATTTTCCCTGCATTTTTTCTGGGAATTTGGGGATTTTCGCTGGATTTTCTCTCCTGAATTCCGGGACTTTCCCTGGATTTTTCCGGGATTTTCCCCGGATTTCCCGATTCCCGCAGCTGGACACGGAGTACCGGAAGCAGTGGGACTCGCTGGTGCTGAAGTTGGAGGTGCTGGAGCGCGACCCCGCCACCGGATCCGAGGTGATCCACTGGGTCACCCAGTTCCCGGTGAGAAATCTGGGATTTGGGATCGGGAATTTGGGATTTGGGATCGGGAATTTGGGATCCGCAGGGATCAATCTGGATTTGGGGTTGATGTTGGGATCTGGGATTGGCATCTGGGTTTTGGATCGGGGATTGGGATGGGGGATCAGGGATCAAGATCTGGATCTGGAACTGGGATCAGGGTTGGGATCTCGATCTGGGGTCAGAATTCGGGATCGGGATCAGGGACTGGGATCGGGGATCTGGGATCAGGTTTGGGATCAGGGATCAGAATTTGGGATTGGGATCAGGGACTGGGATCAGGATCTGGGATCAGGTTTGGGATCGGAGATCAGAATTTGGGATTGGGATCAGGGACTGGGATCGGGATCTGGGATCGGGTTTGGGATCTGGAATCAGAATTTGGTGTTGGGATCAGGGACTGGGATCGGGATCTGGGATCAGGTTTGGGATCGGGGATTGAGATCTGGATGTGGAATTGGGATGAGGATTGGGGATGGGATCAGGGTTTGGGATCTGGGATGTAGAATCGGGGATTGGGATCTGGATTTGGGATGAAGATCAGGAATTGTGTTTGGGATTGGGGTTTGGGATCTGGGATGGGGTTTGGGATCTGGGATGGGGTTTGGGATTGGGATCAGGGATCTGGGATGGGGTTTGGGATCTGGGATGGGGTTTGGGATCTGGGATGGGGTTTGGGATCTGGGATGGGGTCGGGACCCTGACCCCCGTTCCCGTTGCAGTACCCGATGTACTCCCGCGATTACGTTTACGTGCGGCGCTACAGCGTCGACCCCGACCGACAGCTGATGGTGCTCGTCTCCCGGTGCGGCCCCAAAAACCTCCTGGAATTCCCAAAAAATTCCGGGATAATTCTGGGCTAATTTTGGGTTAATTTTGGGCCGATTTTGGCAGGGCTGTGGAGCACCCCGGCGTCCCCGAGCAGCCGGAGCACGTCCGAGTGCGCAGCTACGAATCCCACCTGGTGATCCGCCCCCACCGCGGCTTCGACGAGGTCAGAGCCGGGAAATCCCGGAATTCCGGGAAATTTGGGAAATTTGGGAAAATCTGGGAAAATCCGGGGAGAATTGGGAAAAAAAAACAGGAAAAAGACAGGAAAATATGGGAAAAATGCACAAAAATATGGGAAAATACGGGGTAATTCTGGGAAAATCCCGGGAAAATTCTGGGGAAAATCGTGAAAAAAACAGGAAAAATATGGGGAAAATCACAGGGAAATACGGGGGGAAATGAGGGGAAAATACAGAAAAAAAATGGGAAATTCTGGAAAATTCCAGAAAAATACAGCAAAATCTTGGGAAATTACATGAAAAATCTAAAAAAAACTGTGGAAAATTCTGGAAAAGCACAGAAAAATCCCAGGAAACTTCCGGGAATTGTTTGTAATAAATTGGGAATTTTTGTGTTTTCCAGAATGGCTTCGATTTCCTGCTGGATTTTGAGGGAAATTTGGGCAATTTTTTGAGGAATTTTGGGGGAATTTGGGGCAATTTTTGAGGAATTTTGAGGGAATTTCAGGGAATTTTTGCTGGGAATTGTTGGGAATTTTGAGAATTGTTGGGAATTTTGAGAATTGTTGGGAATTTTGGGGAATTTTGTTGTTTTCCAGAACGGCTTCGATTACCTGCTGACGTACAGTGACAACCCGCAGACCGTGTTCCCTCGCTACTGCCTCAGCTGGATGGTGTCCAGCGGTGAGAATTCCCAAAAATTCCCCCCAAATTCCCCCAAAATTCCAGGGAAAAGGAAAGGGAAAATGGGGAATAAAGAGAGGGAAAAACGGGGGGGGATTGGGGGGAAGGAAAGGGGAAAAAATGGGGGAAAATTGTGGGGAAAAATGGGGGGAAAAGCAAAAATAGGAAATAGGTAAGGGAAAAAATGGGAATAAAAGGAAAAATGGGGGAAAAAAGGGAAAATTGGGGAAAAGTTTGGGAAAATGGGGAAAAATTGGGGGAAAATGGGGAAAAAGTGGGAAAAAGTTGGGAAAAGAGGGAGAAGGGCTGGGGACCATCGGGAATTTTGGAGGAATGCCGGAATTCCTGGAGAAGCTGCACTGGGGAAAAGGGAAAATGGGAGGGAAAAGGGTGAAAAATACAGGAAAATAGGGAAAAAATGGGGAAAAATTTGAGGAAAAAAGGAAAAATTGAGGGGAATGGGATAAAATAGATAAACGGGGACAGAAAAGGAAAAAATTGGAGAAAAAAATGGGGAAAATGGGGAAGGAAAAGGGAAATATTGAGGAAAAAAATGGGAAAAATTGGGGAAAAAGTGGGGAAAAAGTGGGAAAAATTTGGGGATAGAGGGAGAAGGGGTCGGGACCGTCGGGAATTGCAGGGATGCCAGAATTCCTGGAGAAGCTGCACTCGGCGGCGCTGAAGGCGAAGAAGATGGAGCTGGAGCTGCGCGATTGCCTCAGCCCCGCCAAGGGCCCCGAGCCCTGCGGCACCGCCCGCCTCGAGTACGCCTGAGGCGCGGGAAAAGGCATGGAAAACGGCGGGAAAAGTCATGGAAAACGGCAGGAAAACCACGGGGAAACAACTGGAAAATTGATGGGAAAACAGCAGGAAAATGGTGGGAAAACAGCCGGGAAACAATGAGAAAATGGCAGGGAAGCAACGGCAAAAATGGCGGGAAAACAACGAGAAAATGGCGGGAAAACAAAAATGGCGGGAAAACAATGAGAAAATGGCGGGAAAACAACAGGAAAATGGCGGGAAAGGCTGGGGAAATGCCAGCAATAAACTGGGAAAAAACTCCGGGGTTGTGTCAGAAGCACTGGAAATAAACTGGGAAAAAAGCTGGGAATTGTCCCAAAAAATGGGAATTAACTGGGGAAAAAAAAAATCCAGGAATTGTCCCAAAAAACATCAGGAATTGTCCTATAAAAATGGGAATAAACTGGGAAAAAAGCTCGGAATTGTCCCAGAAGTACCAGGAATAAATTGGGAAAAAATCCTGGGAATTGTCTCAAAGCAAACGGAAATTATCCCAAAAATCCCGGGAATAAACTGAGGAAAAAAGCTGGGAATTGTACCAAAAAAAAATTGAAAATTTTTCCAGTAAATCCTGTGAATAAAGTGGGGAAAAAATCCCAGGAATTGTCCCAGAAATCCCTGGAATAAATTGGGAAAAATTTCTGAAAACTGTCCCCAAAAAATCCAGAATGAACTGGAAAAAAAAAGATGGGAATTGTCCCAGAAATCCTGGGAATAAATTTGGGAATTGTCCCAAAAACACAAGGAATAAACTGGGAACAAATTCTGGAATTGTCCCAGAAAAACCAGGAATAAATCAGAAATTGTTGGGATTTGGGGTCAGAATTCCCAAATTTGGGGCAGGAATTGCCAGATTTGAGTTGGAAATGTTGGGATTGGGGTCGGAATTTTTGGGGTTGGAATTTTTGGGATTGGGGTCGGAATTCCCAGGATTCGGGCTGGGGAAAAAAGGGATTTTTTGTCATTTTTTGGGATTTTGGGGCTCTACACCCTCGGGGTTTCTCTCTCTTCCCAAAATTTCTCCCTCCCCCATCCCAAAATTCCCCAAATTCTCCAAAATCCCGGAATTCTGAACCTTTATTGCACAACCACAGCGGGGGAATCCCAAAATTCCCCCCAAAATCCCCAAATATCCCCCCAGAATTCCCAAATTTTCCCCAAAATTCTGCTCAAAATTCTTGTGGGACTGGGATTTTTTGGGACTTGGATTTTTGGGATTGGGATTTTTTTGGGAATGGGGATTTGGGGATTTTGGGGGCTTTTTTCTGGGGGGGGGTAGTTTTTTGGAAATGGGATTTTTTTGGGAAACTTTTGGGAATTTAGGGAATTTGGGGAATGGGATTTTTTTGGGGATTTTTGGGGGGAATTTTTGGGAATTCTGGGATTTGTGAGATTTCCCTGAGTTGTTCCCAATCCTGGGGCGGGGGGCTCAGAGCAGAACTCCCCAAAAAAAAACCTCGTACCGGGGGGAGGGGAGGGGACATTGGGGACATCATTGGGGACATCACTGGGGACTTTGTGGGGGGACACTGGGATTGTCCCTGAGGTGGCACTTTGGGGTGTCCCTTGTCCCATGGAGGGGACATTGGGACTGGCCTTGTCCCTGAGGTGGCACTTTGGGGTGTCCCTGTCCCTGGGTCCCCATGGGGGTGTCACAGGCGGTCCTGGTGGCACTTGGGGACAGCTGAGGGGACAATCCTGGGTGTCACAGGCGGTCCCGGTGGCGTTTGGGGACAGTGACACGCGTGGCCCGCCGCTCCGAGATGTGGCGCCGGACGCGGCCTGGGGGCGGCTCCGGTGCCAGCGAGGGGCTGGAGTGGCACTTGGTGAGCGGCGCGGGCACGGGGGGACACTCGGCGATGTCCCCAAGGGGACACTCAGGGATGTCCCCAAGCTCGGCGGTGTCCCCGAGGGCCGGCAGGTCACCGATGTCACCGCTGTCACCGCTGTCACCGCGCAGCCACGCTGTCAGCGCCTGCACGTAGGTGAGGCAGCGGCGGCGCTGCGGGGACATCGGCCGGGTCACCAGGGTGGCACCGAGGTGGCACCGAGGTGGCACCTCTCAATGTCACCGTGTCACCCCCAGGGTCACCTGAATGTCACCGGGGTCACCCTCCAGCCAGGTCATTGTGTCACTCCCTGGTGTCACAGTGTCCCCGATGTCCCCAAGAAGTCCCCAATCCCCTCCATGTCCCCAATGTCCCAAACGTCCCCAATGCCCCCAATGTGTCCCAAATGTCCCCAATCCCCTCCATGTCCCCACTGTCCCCACTGTCCCTGGTGTCCCCAATCCCCTTCATGTCCCCAATGTCCCCAATGCCCCCATTGCCCCCAATGTGTCCCAAATGTCCCCATTGTCCCCCCGCTGTCCCTGCTGTCACCTCCTCCATCAGGAAGTTGCCGTGTGCCCAATGTCCCCTCAGTGTCCCCATTGTCCCCAATCCCCTCAAATGTCCCCAATGTCTCTGGTGTCCCCAGTGTCCCCAATGTCCCCAATCCCCCCAATGTCCCCAATGTCCCCAATGTCCCCAGTCCCCTCCATGTCCCCAGTGTCCCCAATGTCCCCAATCCCCTCAAATGTCCCCAATGTCTCTGGTGTCCCCAGTCCCCCCAATGTCCCCAATCCCCCCAATGTCCCCAATGTCCCCAGTCCCCTCCATGTCCCCAATGTCTCCAATCCCCCCAATCCCCCCAATGTCCCCAATGTCCCCAATGTCCCCAGTCCCCTCCATGTCCCCAATGTCCCCAATGTCCCCAATCCCCCCAATGTCCCCAATGTCCCCAGTCCCCTCCATGTCCCCGCTGTCCCCGCTGTCACCTCCTGGGCCAGGAACTCCCCGTGCAGCCGCTGCTCCTCCTGCTCCCGTGGCCGTCCCTCGGGCAGGAGCCGCCGGTGCTCCAGCAGCTGGCACGTCACCGTGCCCAGCCAGCGGCGCAGCTGGCACAGCTGCTGCTCCTGGGGACATTGGGGACATCATTGGGGACACTGGGGTGGCACACGTCACCGTGCCCAGCCAGCGGCGCAGCTGGCACAGCTGCTGCTCCTGGGGACATTGGGGACATCGGGGACATCATTGGGGACATGAGGGTGGCACAGGGACATTCGGGACATTGGGGACATCATTGGGGACATGAGGGTGGCACAGGGACATTGGGGACATCGGGGACATCATTGGGGACATGAGGGTGGCACGGAGACATTGGGGAATCATTGGGGACATTGGGGACATGAGGACAGCACAGAGACATTGGGGACATTGGGGACATTGGGGAAATTGGGGACATGAGGGTGGCACGGGGACATTGGGGACATCGTTGGGGACATGAGGGTGGCACGGGGACATTTGGGACATTGGGGACATTGGGGACATGAGGGTGGCACGGGGACATTGGGGACATCGTTGGGGACATGAGGGTGGCACAGGGACATTTGGGACATTGGGGACATCATTGGGGACATTGGGGTGGCACAGGGACATTGGAGACATTGGGGACATCATTGGGGACATGAGGGTGGCACAGGGGACATTGGGGGACATCAGTGAGATGGCACCAGGACATCACTGGGAACGTTGGGGACATTGAGGTGGCACAGCCCAAATTTGAGGCCTTGGGGGTTTTTGGTTTATTGGGATTTTTTTGGGGGATTTTTTTTGAGATTTGGGGGATTTTTTTTTTTGTTGCCATTTTTGGGATTTTCGGGATATTTCTGGGATTTTGGGATTTTTTTGGGTTTTTTTGGGGGGATTTTTTTGGGGTCTCACCGGGTGGCAGCGGCTGGGCGCCGAGGGCAGAATGGGTTTGGGGGATTTGGGGTTTCCATGGGATTTGGGATATTTCAATGGGGATTTTTGGGTTTTTGGGATTTTTTGGGGGACTTTGGGATTTTTTTGGGGGTATTTTTTTGGGGTCTCACCGGGGGGCAGCGGCTGGGTGCCGAGGGCAGGATGGGTTTGGGGGATTTGGGGTTTCCATGGGATTTGGGATATTTCAATGGGGATTTTTGGGTTTTGGGGATTTTTTGGGGGATTTTTTAGGGATTTTGGGTTTTTTTGGGGGGGATTTTTTTGGGGTCTCACCGGGGGGCAGCGGCTGGGCGCCGAGGGCAGGATGGGATTGGAGGATTTGGGGTTTCCATGGGATTTGGGATATTTCTATGGGGTTTGCGATATTTCAATGGGGATTTTGGGGTTTTTTTGGGGGATTTTGGGTTTTTTTGTGGGGTATTTTTTTGGGGTCTCACCGGGGGACAGCGGCTGGGCGCCGAGGGCAGGATGGGGCGCTCGAAGCGGCGCCGGGAGCCGACGGCCGCCGGGAACGGCGGCGAGGACGAAAGCGCCGCGGCCACGTTGATGCCGAACACCCAACGGGAGAGATCCGCCCCGCTCCTGTGACGTCACCGTGACGTCACCGTGACGTCATCGCGGCGGCGCGATGACGTCATGCCCACCCTCGTACAGCCAAAACCCCAAACAGGGCGAGAAAAACCCAAATATTGCAAAAAAAACCCAAATTATTGCAAAAAAACCCTCAAATCATTTAGAAAAAAAAACCAAAATATTGCAAAAAAAAAACCAAATTATTGAAAAAAAACCCCAAATATTGCAAAAAAACCCCCTCCAAATTATTGCAAAAAAACCCTCAAATTATTTAAAAAAAAAACCAAAATATTGCAAAAAAACACCAAATTATTGCAAAAAACCCCTCAAATTATTAAAAAAAAAAAGACCCCAAAATATTGGAAAAAAACCCCAAATTATTGAAAAAAACCCCCAAATATTGCAAAAAAAAAAAAAACCCAAATATTGCAAAAAAAACCCTTCAAAATACCCCTAAAAATATTTCCAAAATATCCCAGAATTACCCCCAAAATGCCCTAAAAATACCCCCAAAATACAAACTTATGCCCCAAAAATACCCCTAAATTACCGCCAGAAGAATCTCCCCAAAACCTCCAAAAATATCCCAAAATTACCCACAAAAATCCCAAAAAACATCTCCAAAAACACCCCCAAACTACCAAAAATACCCCAAAATAACTCTCAAAATATCCCCAAAAATCCCACTAGATTACCATTAAAATGCCACAAAATTACCCCAAATATTGCAAATTTTGGGGTTTTTAGGATTTTTTTTTTTAGTCTTTACGACTTTTTAACCCTTTCCCACCCACCTCCCCTCCCGCCTTCTTTCCCACTTTTGGGATCCTTGTAGGATTTTGGATTTATATTTTTTTTTGTTGGATTTCCCATTTTTTTAGGATTTTTTTGGAGTTTTTGGGGCTCCTTACTGTGCCTGGCAGAGGAACTGGCGGCGGTCGGAGGTTTGCAGCAGGAACACGTGGGGCCGTTTGCTGTACTGGGGGTGCGGCCGGGCCAGGGCGTGGGGGAGCCCCAAAATCTCCTGGGGACCCTCGGGGGGGTCCCTCTGCAGCAGCAGCAGCGACCCCCGGAGCTCGGCCCCAAAATGCTTCCAGCCCCGCCGGCCCCAGGGCGCTGCGGAAATCCCAGAAATTATCATTAAATCCCAGAAATTGTCATAAAATCCCATTAAATTATCACAAAATCCCATTAAATTATCATAAAATCCCATTATCATAAAATCCCATTAAACTGTCATAAAATCCCATTAAATTATCATAAAATCCCATTAAATTGTCATAAAATCCCATAAATTATCATAAAATCCCATAAATTGTCATAAAATCCCATTAAATTATCATAAAATCCCAGAAATTATCATAAAATCCCAGAAATTATCATTAAATCCCAGAAATTATCATAAAATCCCATTAAATTATCATAAAATCCCACTGAACTCCCAGAAATCCCAATAAATTCCCACAAATCCGCCCCAATCCAGCCCCAGGACGCTGCGGGGGAAATCCCAGAAATTATCATTAAATCCCAGAAATTATCATAAAATCCCATTAAATTCTCCAAAATTCCCATTAAATTATCATAAAATCTCATTAAATTATCATAAAATCCCACTGAATTCCCAGAAATCCCATTAAATTCCCACAAACCGCCCCAATCCAGCCCCGCCGGCCCCAGGGCACTGCGGGGGGAAAATCCCTTAAATTATCATAAAATCCCATTAAATTATCATAAAATCCCATTAAATTATCATAAAATCCCATTAAATTCCAAATAATTTCCCCAAATCTACCCCAAATTCCATTACATTCCCCGAAAATCCCAATAAAATCCCATTAAATTCCACAAAAATCCCATTAAAATCCCATTAAATTCCATGAAATCCCATTAAATTCCACAAAAACCCATGAAGTTCCACGAAATCCCATTAAATTCCCATAATTCCCACAAATCCAGCCCCGCCATCCCCAGGGAGCTGCGGGGGGAAAAATCCCTTAAATTATCATAAAATCCCACTAAATTCCCCAAAAATCCCATTAAATCATCACAAAATCCCATTAAATTATCCCAAATCCCATCAAATTCCTACAAAATCCCATTAAATTCCTCCAAATCCACCCCAAATCCCACAAAATCCCATGAAATTCCCCCAAAATATTCCAAAATCCCCAAAAATCCCATAAAATCCCCAAATTCCCCCAAATCCGAACCCTTTTTGCCGTCGCTCTCTGCCAGGACCTTCCTGGCCAGGACCCCCCTGGGGGCGGGGCCGGGGCCCCCCGGCAGCTCCGGGGGAATTTCGGGATTTGGGAATTTTGGGCCTTTTTTGGCTTTTTGGGAATCGGCGCCGGCGTCGTCCTCGTCGTCATCCCTGTGGAAATCCCAAAAAAAAAAAAATCCTAAAAATTGATGGGAAATGGTGGGAAATGCCGGAACATTCCGGAACATTCTGGGAAATTCCAGAAAATCCTGGAAAATTCCAGAAAATCTGACTCAAATCCCAGAAAATCCCATAAAATCCACCCTAAATCCCATAAATTCCAACCCAAATCCCAGAAAATCCACAAAATTCAACCGAAATCCCACAAAATCCCATAAATTTGGCACCGTAATCCCATAAAATCCCCCCGAAATCCCAGAAAATTTGACCCAAATCCCACAAAATCCCATAAAAAAATTTGGCACCAAAATCCCATAAATTCCAACCCAAATTCCATCAAATCTGACACAAATCCCAGAAAATCCCCCCCAAATCCTATAGAATTCCATCCAAATCCCAGAAAATCCCATAAATTTGGAATCAAAATTCCATAAAATCCACCCAAAATCCCAGAAAATCCAAACAAAATTCAGGAAAATCACAGAAAATTCAACCCAAACCCCAAACCCCACAAATTCCAACCCAAACCCCACAAATTCCACCCCAAAATATCCCAAATTCCCCCAAATCCTCCCCAAAATTCCCAAATTTCCCCAGTCCCGCTCACGTGGCCCATTCCAGCTTCCGGCTGCGGATGGAGCCGTACAGAGCCTGTGAAAAAATGGGAATTTTTGGGAAATTTTGGGATTTAAACGAAATTTTAGGAATTTTTAGGATTTAATTAGGAATTTTTGGGGATTATTTTGGGGTTTTTTTTGGATTTTTTGTGAATTTTTAGGAATTTTTTTGGATTTTTTTGGGATTTTTTAGAAATTTTGGGTGATTTTTAGGAGTTCTTTAGGGTTTTTAGGGTTTTTTAGCATTTTTGGGTTGAAATTCCCATTTCCCAGAATTTTGGTATTCTTTAGGATTTTTTGGATTTTTTTTCTTTTTAGGACATTTTTAGGATTTTTTTAGGAATTTTTAGGCATTTTTAGGGGTTTTAATGATTTTTTAATGATTTTTAGAGTTTTTTTAGGATTTTTGGGGTAAATTTCCAATTTTCCCAGAATTTTAGTATTTTTTAGGATTTTTCCAGATTTTTTTTCAGATTTTTCCAGCACCACCCCCAATTTTCAGCGCAGAATTCTCATTTTTCTGTGTTTTTTCTTGGTGTTTTTTTCCCCTTTTCCCGTTTTTTGGGTGGGACCCCATCGGGGTTGGGGATTTTGGGTTTTTTTGGGGTTTTTTTGGGGGTTTTTGGGTACCTTGAGCTGCTCCCGGGGGAAATCCCGACCGTCCATCAGCCCACTCAGGTTGGCCACGAACTCCGAGCTGCTCATGGGGCGGCCCAGGCGCTGCAGGTTTGGGGGAAAATCAGCCAAAAAAGGGAAAAAATCCCAAATTCAAGCCAAAAATAGAAAAAAATCCCAAATCCACCCCAAATCCAACCAAAATCAGCCAAAAAACAGAAAAAAAATCCCAAATTCCAGCCAAAAAAGGGGAAAAAATCCCAAATTCAACCGAAAAATAAAACAAAATCCCAAATCCAACCAAAAAAGGGAAAAAATCCCAAATTCAACCCAAAAATAAAACAAAATCCCAAATCCAACCAAAAATCCACCCTAGAAATAGAAAAAAATCCCAAATCCAATCCAAAGTCCACCCCAAATCAAATCAAAATCGCCCCAAAAAGTGAAAAAATCCCAAATCCAACCCAAAATAGAAAAAAAATCCTAAATTCACCCCAAATCAAACCCAAAATCCACCCCAAAAATAGAAAAATAAATCCCAAAATTTTGGGGTTTTTGGGGGGGATTTTTTGGGGTTTTTGGGGCTTTTGGGGTACTCACCTGGCCCTGAGCTCAGTTGGACTTTGGGGATTTTTTTGGGGTTTTTTGGTTTCTTTTGGGGGGGTTTTTGGGTACTCACCTGGCCGTGAGCTCAGTTGGATTTTGGGATTTTTTGGGGGGGATTTTTTTGGGGTTTTTTTTGGTTTTTGGGGTTTTTTGGGTACTCACCTGGCCGTGCAGGTCGGTGTTGAGCAGCATCAGGGCGCAGGTGAGGGTGTGAACCGAGTCTGGGGATTTGGGGGTTTGGGATTTGGGGTTTTGGGGGGGTCAAGGGACCCCAAATCTCATCAAAGGATCCCAAATCCCCTAAAGAGACCCCAGAAGGGATAAAAGGGATTTTGGGGTTTGGGATTTGGGGTTTTCAATTTCGGATTTGGAATTTTGGGGGTTTGGGGTTTGGGGTTTGGGTTTTGGGGTTTGGGATTTGGGGTTTGGGGTTTGGATATTTGGGATTTGGGTTTGGGATTTTGGGGATTTGGGGTTTGGGATTTGGGGTGGGTTTCGGGTGGATTTGGGGTGAATTTGGGGTATTTGGGGTCGGTTTTGGGGTCAGTTTTGGGGTCTCACCCTGAGAAGGAAAGGCCCTGGGGTTGCAGCGGGGATTTGGGGTGGATTTGGGGCAGATTTGGGGTTTTTGGGGTCTCACCCTGGGAGGGAAAGGCCCCGGGGTTGCAGCGGGGATTTGGGGTGGATTTGGGGTCGGTTTTGGGGCAGATTTGGGGTTTTTGGGGTCTCACCCTGGGAAGGAAAGGCCCCGGGGTTGCAGAGAGGATTTGGGACGAGTTTGGGGTCAGTTTTGGGGCAGATTTGGGGTTTTTGGGATCTCACCCTGGGAAGGAAAGGCCCCGGGGCTGCAGAGAGGATTTGGGACGAGTTTGGGGTCGGTTTTGGGGCAGATTTGGGGTTTTTGGGGTCTCACCCTGGGAGGGAAAGGCCCCGGGGTTGCAGCGGGGATTTGGGGTGGATTTGGGGTGGATTTGGGGTTTTTGGGGTCTCACCCTGGGAGGGAAAGGCTCCGGGGTTGCAGTGGGGATTTGGGGTGGATTTGGGATGGATTTGGGGTGGATTTGGGACGGATTTGGGGTTTTTGGGGTCTCACCCTGGGACGGAAAGGCCCCGGGGTTGCAGCGGGGATTTGGGGTGGATTTGGGGTGGATTTGGGGTTTTTGGGGTCAGTTTTGGGGTCTCACCCTGGGAGGGAAAGGCCCCGGGGTTGCAGCGGGGATTTGGGGTCGGTTTTGGGGCAGATTTGGGGTTTTTGGGGTCTCACCCTGGGAGGGAAAGGCCCCGGGGTTGCAGCGGGGATTTGGGGTCGGTTTTGGGGCAGATTTGGGGTTTTTGGGGTCTCACCCTGGGAAGGAAAGGCCCCGGGGTTGCAGAGGGGATTTGGGACGAGTTTGGGGTCAGTTTTGGGGCAGATTTGGGGTTTTTGGGGTCTCACCCTGGGAGGGAAAGGCCCCGGGGTTGCAGCGGTGGAAGCGGCTCGAGAAGTGCCTCAGGACCCGCTCGCGCTCCTGCGTCTCCCCCGACAGCACCAGCGCCCGCAGGAACTGCCTGAAACATCCCCAAAATCCCCAAAAATATCCCCAAAATCAGCCTGGAACACCCCCCAAAAAAAACAACCCAAAATGCCCCAAAACAGCCTGAAATACCCCCAAAAATACTCCAAAATCACCCCAAAAACTGCCTGGGTACCCCAAAATCGCCCCCAAAACCATCTTGAAATAGCCCAAAACACCTTAAAATACCCAAAAATCCCCCAAAATGCCCCAAACCCATCCAAAATGCCCCCAAAAATCTCCCCACGTCATCTCAAAAATCCCCCCATAATCCTTCCAAAAATTTCCCAAATCCCCCCAAATTTCCCCCAAAAATCCCCCAAATTTCCCCCAAAATTCCAAAATTTTCCCACAAAAACCCAAATGTTCAAAATTCTCCCGAAATTCCTCCCAAAATTCCCAATTTTTCCCCCCCAAAACCACAATTTTCTCCCCAAAAACTCCCAAATTACCCCTAAAAATCCCCCCAAAATTCCAAATTTTCCCCAAAAAAATCCAGGTTTTCCCCCCAAAATTCCCAAATCCCCCCCGGAATTCCCAAATTCCCGATTTTCCCTCACCTCAGGGCCTGCTCCAGGCTCATCCCCTGGAACTGGAAGAGCTCCAGGTACTCGTGGGCCAGGCGGGCGCTGAAATCCGTCCTGAAACGGCAATTCCAGAGCAAAATCCTCAATTCCCAAAAAAATCCTCAATTCCCAAAAATTCCAGAATTCCCAAAAATAAAAAATTCTAAATTCCCCCCCAAAAAATCCAAATTTCCCCAAAAAAAATCCTCATTTTCCCCCCAAAATCCTCATTTTTCTGGATCAAATTTGCATTTCCCCCCTAAAAAATCCAATTTTTCCCCATTTTCCCCCCAAAATTCCCATTTCCTCCCCAAATTCCCGTTATTTTTCCCAAAATCCCATTTTTCTCCCCCAAAATTCCAATTTTTCCCCCTTTTTACCCCCAAAAAATCCCTTTTCCCCCCATTTTCCCCATTTTCCCCCCATTCCCCCCATTTTTTCCCATATTTTTCCCAAAATCCTGTTTTTCCCCCCAAATTCCCATTTCCCCGTTTTTTCCCATATTTTCCCCATTTTCTCCCACTTTCCCCCCAAATTCCCATTTTTTCCCCACAAAATTCCCATTTCCCCCCATTTTCCCCAAAAAATTCCCATTTCCCCCCATTTTCACCCATTTTACCCCAAAAAATCCCATTTTTCCCCATTTACTCCCATTTTTCTCCAATTTTCCCGCCAAAATTCCCATTTCCCCCCCAAATCCCTTTTTCCCCACAAAATTCCCATTTTTTCCCTATTTGCCCCCAAAACTTCCCTTTCTTCCCCCCATTTTCTCCCCCAAAAATTTCGATTTTTCCCCCCATTTTACCCAAAAAAATCCCATTTTTTTTGCTATTTTCCTGCCATTTTCCCCCCAAATTCTGGGATTTTCCCCCCATTTTTCCCAAATTCCCGGATTTTCCCAAATTCCCGGTTTTTTGCCCCATTTCCCGTCTCTCACGGCTGCCGCAGCAGCGGCGCCACTTCGGCCTTGCGCCACCCCTGCAGCAGGAACAGCCGGCGGGCCAGGGACACCGGGTCCGGGCTGGGAAATTAAATATAAATATAAATATAAATATAAATATAAATATAAATATAAATATAAATATAAATATAAATATAAATATAAATATAAATATAAATATAAATATAAATATAAATATAAATATACATATACATATACATATAAATATACATATACATATACATATAAATATACATATAAATATAAATACAAAATTATGAATAGAAAATTATAAATATAAAATTATAATTATAAACATAAATATAAAATTATAAATATAAAATTATAAATATAAATAAAAATATAAATATATTTAATAATTTAATTTAATTTAATTTAATTTAATTTAATTTAATTTAATTTAAAAAGGCGTCGCACCGGGGACACCGGGTCTCGGCTGGGCAATCAAATAGAAATAGATATAAAATATAAAATATAAAATATAAAATATAAAATATAAAATATAAAATATAAAATATAAAATATAAAATATAAAATATATAATATAAAATATAAAATAATATAAAATATAAAATATAAAATATAAATATATCTAATTTAATTCAATTTAATTTAATTTAAATTAAAAAGGCGTCGCACCAGACACCGAGTCTGGGCTGGGAAATAAATAGGAATTAAATTAATTGTAAATATAAACATAAAATATAAATGTAAAATGTAAAATTTAAAAAAAAGATATAAAACAAAAATATAAAATATAAAACATTAAATATATAATTAAAATATAAAATACTTAATTAAATTTAATTTAATTTAATTCAATTCAATTTTAAATGGCACCAGGCCAGGGCCGAAGGGCTCCAGGCTGGGGAAATTAACATTAAAATAAAATAAAATAAAATAAAATAAAATAAAATAAAATAAAATAAAATAAAATAAAATAAAATAAAATCAAATAAAATCAAATAAAATCAAATAAAATAAAATCAAATAAAATAAAATCAGGGGGGTTTGGTGGGGAAATTGGGGAAATTTGGGGGTTCCTCACCTGGGGGGGTCCTGGGGGGGCTCTGCTGGGGGGGAGCTGGGGGGGTCCTGGGGGGTTTGGGGGGAATTTTGGGGGATTTTTGGGGGGTCCTGAGGGGATATGGGGGAGTCCTGAGTGAATTTTGGGGGTTCCTGAGGGGATTTGGGGGAATTTTGGGGGGATTTGGGGGGGCTCAGGGGGGATTTGGGGTGAATTTGGGGGAGAATTTCGGGGATTTTTGGGGGGTCTTGGGTGATTTTGGGGGGGCTCAAGGGGGATTTGGGGGAATTTTGGGGAAATTTTGGGGGGTCCTGAAGGATTTGGGGGAGAATTTGGGGGGATTTGGGGGAATTTGGGGGAAATTTTGGGGGGTCCCGGGGGGATTTGGGGGAATTTTGGGGGGATCTGGGGAGGTCCTGAGGGATTTTGGGGGAATTTTGGGGGGATTTGGGGGGGCTCAGGGGGGATTTGGGGTGAATTTTTGGGATTTTTAGCGGGTCCTGAAGGATTTTGGGGAGAATTTGGGGGGATTTGGGGGAATTTTGGGGGATTTTGGGGGGACCCCGGGGGCTTTGGGGGGGTTTGAGGGGGGTCAGGGGATGGGGGGGGCTCTGGACCCGCCATTTTGGGGAGAAATTTGGGGTTTGGGGTCCCCAGTTTTGGGGTGAATCTGGGGGGATTTGGGGTAAATTTAGGGGAATTTGGGGTTTTTGGGGTCCCTCTTTTTGGGGTAAATTTGGGCAGGTTTGGAGTTTTTGGGGTCCCCGTTTTTCGGGTAAATCTGGGGGGATTTGGGGTCCCTCCTTTCGGGGTACATTTGGGGTTTGGGGTCCCCAGTTTTGGGGTGAATTTGGGGGGATTTGGGGTCTCCCTTTTTGGGGTAAATCTGGAGGGATTTGGGGGCTTTCAGGTCCCCCTTTTTGGGGTAAATTTGGGGGTTCTGGGGGGATTTGGGGTCCCTCTTTTTGGGGTAAATCTGGAGGGATTTGGGGGCTTTCAGGTCCCCCATTTTGGGGTAAATTTGGGGGTTCTGGGGGGATTTGGGGTCCCTCTTTTTGGGGTCGCGCTTTTTGGGGTAAATCTGGAGGGATTTCGGGGTATTGGGGTCCCTCTTTTTGGGGTGAATTTGGGGGGATTTGGGGTCCCTCCTTTTGGGGCAAGTTTGATGGTTCTGGGAGGTTTTGGGGTAAATTTGGGGGGATTTGGGATCCCTCTTTTTGGGGTAAATCTGGAGGGATTTGGGAGTTTTGGGGTCTCCCTTTTTGGGGTAAATCTGGGGGGATTTGGGGTCCCTCTTTTTGGGGTAAATCTGGGGGGATTTCGGGGTATTGGGGTCCCTCTTTTTGGGGTAAATTTGGGGGTTGGGGTCCCCAATTTTGGGGTGAATCTGGGAGGTTTTGGGGTCCCTCCTTTTGGGGTAAATTTGGGGGGATTTGGGGTTCCCCTTTTTGGGGTGAATCTGGGGGGTCCCAGGAACTGGGGGGGTCCCCAAATTTTGGGGTGTCCCCAAATTCTGGAGGTGGTTCTGGTGTGTCCCCAAATTTTTGGGTGTCCCCAAATTCTGGGAGGTCCCCAAATTCCGGGAGGTCCCCAAATTCCGGGGTTCTGGGTGGTCCTGGAGGAGAAGACACCAAGGGAGGGTCCCCAAATTTTGGGGTGTCCCCAAATTCTGGAGGTGGATCTGGGGTGTCCCCAAATTCCAGGAGGTCCCCAAATTCTGGGGGGTCCCCAAATTCCGGAGGCGGATCCGGGGTGTCCCCAAATTCTGGAGTTCTGGGTGGTCCTGGAGGAGGAGAAGACACCAAGGGGAGGTCCCCAAATTCCAGGAGGTCCCCAAATTCCGGGGGGTCCCCAAATTCTGGAGGTGCATCTGGAACGTCCCCAAATTTCGGGGTGTCCCCAAATTCCGGAGGTGGATCGGGGGGGTCCCCAAATTCTGGAGCTCTGGGTGGTCCTGGAGGAGGAGAAGACACCAAGGCGGGGGGGTCCCCATCAGCATTTTTGGGGTCCCCCCCACATGGACCCAACCCCACCCAGAATTTTGGGGTGACCCCACTCACCGCGGGTGGCACCGTGGGGACGCCAGGGGGGCACCCCCGGGGGCAGCGGGCGCTGGAACAGGGGGTTGGTGTGGAAATGGGGCTCCTCGTCCTCCTCCAGGCCTTCGTCATCCTGGTCTTCATCATCTTCATCTTCATCATCCTGGTCTTCATCATCCTCGTCTTCGTCATCCTCATCTTCGTCATCCTGGTCTTCGTCATCCAGGTTCTCATCCTGGTTCTCCTCATCCAGGTTCTCCTCCAGGTTCTCCTCCAGGTTCTTCTCATCCATGTTCTCCTTATCCAAGGTCTTCTCCTCTTCGTTCTCATGGGAGAAGCCACCATGGACATCACGGTCATGGTGGTCATCATGGTCATTGTGGTCACTGAGGTCATTGAGGTCATGGTGGTCAATGTGGTCATGGTGGTCATGGTGGTCATCATGGTCATGGTGGTCATTGTGGTCATGGTGGTCATTGTGGTCATCTAGGTCATGGTGGTCAGTGTGGTCATTGTGGTCATTGAAGTCAGTGAGGTCAGGGTGGTCATCGAGGTAATTTAGGTCATGGTGGTCATGGTGGTCATCATGGTCACGGTGGTCATTGTGGTCATTGAGGTCATCTAGGTCATTAAGGTCATGGTGGTCATGGTGGTCATGGTGGTCATCATGGTCATGGTGGTCATTGTGGTCATCTAGGTCATGGTGGTCATGGTGGTCATTGTGGTCATGCTGGTGATCATGGTCTTTGAGGTCACTGAGGTCATCGAGGTCACGGTGGTCATTGTGGTCATGGGGGTCACTGAGGTTATCTAGGTCTTTGTGGTCATTGAGGTCACTGAGGTCACGGTGGTCATCGAGGTCATTGTGGTCACCACGATCATTTAGATCATTGTGGTCATTGTGGTCATTGTGGTCACGGTGGTCATCACGGTCACCGCTGGCATGGTGGTCGCCATCGTTGGCATCACCTTCCTCTTCCTCCTGGCTGATTCTGGGGACTTGGGGCCTGGGGGAGATGGGACCATCCCTGGTGGGACCATCCCTGGTGGGACCATCCCTGGTGGGACCATCCCTGGTGGGACCATCTGTGGTCACGGGTCTGGGGGAGATGTCCCCATCCCTGGTCACGGTCCATGAGGAGATGTCCCCATCCCTGGACGTGTGGGAGATGCTCCCAAAGAGGAACTCAAAGCTTTGGTCCATGGGAACGGCCTGGGTTGGGATGTCCTCATCCATGGACGCCCGGGAGATGCCTTCAAACGTGGATCCATGGCCTTGGAGCTGCTGGGAGACACTCCCGGCCACGATCATGGACTTGGGTGGGGTGGACCCATCTGTGGACACCTGGAGAACGTCCTCATCCACGGCCGTGGGTTTGGGTGGGATGTCCTCATCCACGGCCATGGGTTTGGGTGGGATGGACCCATCTGTGGACACCTGGAAGATCTCCTCAAACGTGGATCCATGGCCTTGGAGCTCCTGGAAGATGCTCCCGGCCCCATCCTGGTGGAGATCCTGGTGGAGATCCTGGTGGAGATCCTGGTGGAGATCCTGGGGGAGGTCCTGGTGGTGGTCACAGAGAAGGTCCTGGAGGTGGTCCCAGGGATGGTCCTGGAGGTGGTCCTGGGTGTGGTCCAGGAGAAGGTCCTGGGTGTGGTCCTGGAGGAGGTCCCGGAGGAGGTCCTGGAGGTTATCCTGGTGGTGGTCCTGGTGGAGGTTCTGGAGAAGGTCCTGGAAAAGGTCCTGAGGGTGGTCCTGGGGGTCGTCCTGTTGGTGGCCCTGGGGGTGGCCCTGGTGGTGGTCCTGGGGGTGGTCCTGGAGAAGGTCCTGGTGGTGGCCCTGGTGGTGGCCCTGGGGGTGGTCCTGGTGGTGGCCCTGGGGGTGGTCCTGGAGAAGGTCCTGGGGGTGGTCCTGGAGAAGGTCCTGGTGGTGGCCCTGGTGGTGGCCCTGGGGGTGGCCCTGGAGGTGGTGACCAGTGTCCGGCTGTCCCTCGATGGCCCCCTGGAGCTCCTGGACGCAGAGCTGGGCCTGGAGCAGGCTGGCCCAGAACAGCTCAGGAACCGGGGCAGGGGGCACCAGGGGGGTCAAGGAGGTTGTGGTGGGGGTCAGGGAGGAGGTCAAGGTGGGGGTCAAGGTGGGGGTCAATGTGGGGGTCAAGGAGGTCACAGTGGAGGTCAAGGTGGTCAAGGTTGGGGTCAAGGTGGAGGTCAAGGAGGTCACAGTGGAGGTCAAGGAGGTCAAGGTGGAGGTCAAGGTGAGGTTCACAGTGGGGGTCAGGGTGGAGGTCACAGCAGGGGTCAGCTCAGGGGTCAGTGCAGGGGTCAGCTCAGGGGTCAGTGTCCCTGCAGGGGTCAGTGCAGGGGTCAGTGCAGGGGTCAGCGCAGGGGTCAGCTCAGGGGTCAGTGTCCGTGCAGGGGTCAGTGCAGGGGTCAGTGCAGGGGTCAGTGCAGGGGTCAGCTCAGGGGTCAGCGCAGGGGTCAGCTCAGGGGTCAGTGCAGGGGTCAGTGCAGGGGTCAGCTCAGGGGTCAGCGCAGGGGTCAGCTCAGGGGTCAGTGCAGGGGTCAGTGCAGGGGTCAGCTCAGGGGTCAGTGCAGGGGTCAGCTCAGGGGTCAGTGTCCCTGCAGGGGTCAGTGCAGGGGTCAGTGCAGGGGTCAGCGCAGGGGTCAGCTCAGGGGTCAGTGTCCGTGCAGGGGTCAGTGCAGGGGTCAGTGCAGGGGTCAGTGCAGGGGTCAGCTCAGGGGTCAGCGCAGGGGTCAGCTCAGGGGTCAGTGCAGGGGTCAGTGCAGGGGTCAGCTCAGGGCTCAGCTCAGGGGTCAGCGCAGGGGTCAGTGTCCCTGCAGGGGTCAGCTCAGGGGTCAGTGTCCGTGCGGGGCTCTCAGCCCCTCCCCCCCCAGTGGTGTCCAGCTCCGGCCACGCCACGGGGGGGGCCCTGGGGGGGTCCATGGTCAGTGCCGGACCCTCCCCACAGCCGGAGGAGTGACCATGGGGCAGGGCTTGACCCCTCCTGCAGCAGCTGGAGTGACCAGAGCAGTGGCCAGAGGAGTGACCAGAGGAGTGGCTGGAGGAGTGAACAGAGGAGTGACCGGAGTGGCCGGAGGAGTGACCATGGGGCAGTGCTGGACCGTTCCTGGAGTGGCCGGAGGAGTGACCAGAGCGTGGGGAGACCCTGAGGAGAGGGAGGAGAGAGGGTCAGGGGGGAGGGAAGGGAGGGAAAAAAGAGGGGAGGGAGGAAAAATGGAGGGAGAGAGGGAAGGAACGGAGGGGGAGGGAGGGAGGGAGAGAGGGAAGGAAAAGGGGAGGGAGGAGGAAAAATGGAGGGAGGGAAGGAGGAAGTGCAGGAGGGGAGAGGGAAGAAGGGAAAAGGGAGGGAAGGAGGGAGGGAAAAGGGAGGGAGGGAAAAGGGAAGGAGGGAGGGATGAGGGAAGGATGAAGGCCGGGGAGGAAGGAAAGAAAATGGGAGGAGAGAGGGGAGGGAGGGAGGAAGTGCTGAGAGGAGGAAGGAGAGTGAGGAGGGGGAGGGAGGGAGGGAAAAGGAGAGGAAAGGAGGGAGGGATGAAGGAAGGGAGGAGGAGGAGGAGGAGTGAGGAAGGAGGAAAAAGGGAGGAAGGGAAGGTGGGAGAGAGAGAGGGAGGGAGGGAGGAAATGGAGGAGGGGAGAGGGAAGGAGGAAGTGCGGGAGGAGGAAGGAGAGCGAGGAGGGGGAGGGAAGAGGAGGGGAAGGGAGGGGGAGGAAGGCTCCGGGGGTCTCCCCGACCCTCCCCCCGCACCTGCAGCCGCCGCCGTCTCCCCGCGGCCGCCGCGAGTCCCCGGACCCGTCCCGGTGCCACCCCCGGGGCCACCCCCGGTGCCACCTCCCCGCGTCACCCGCGCCGCTTCCGCCGCGAGAAACGGGGGGGAGGGAACCCCAAAAATCCCACCCGGGAAACCCAAAAATCCACCCGGAAAACCCCCCAAAAAAATAAATCCCCGAACTTCAAAAAAAAAAAAAAATGGGGACCCCAAAATTCCCACCCGGGACCCCAAAATTCCCACCCGGGACCCCAAAATTCCCACCCGGGAACCACAAAATCTCACCCGGGAACCACAAAATCCCACCCGGGACCCCAAAATTCCCACCCGGGAACCACAAAATTCCCACCCGGGACCCCAAAAATCCCACCCAAGAACCACAAAATCCCACCCGGGAACCCCAAAAATCCCACACGGGCGTCCCAAAATCCCACCCTAGACCCCCTCCCCCAAAAAAATCCGGACATGGAAAAATTCCGGGACCCCAAAATTCCCACCCAGGAACCCAAAAATCCTCACGGGAGCCCAAAAAATCCACCCGGGAACCCCAAAAATCCCACTCAGGACCATCCAAAAAAAAATTCGGGGACTCCAAAGTTCAGGAAGGGACCCCAAAAAGGGTCGAGGGGACCCCAAAATTTAAGGGGGACCCCAAAAAGGGGGGGCAGAGAACTTTGGGGGTTCCGGGAAGACCCCAAAAGTTCTGGGGGACCCCAAAAGGGTTGAAGGAAACCCGAAATTGATGGGCGACCCCAAAAAGGACCCTCAGAGCCCGGAGGGGACCCCAAAGTTTAGGGGGGACCCCAAAATTTCGGGGTGTGGGGGCAAAGGTTACGGGGGCGGGGCGGGAGTTTTTGGGGTTCTCCTGAACTTTGGGGGGTCCCCCCGGTTTTGGGGGGTCCGGGGGGTCTCGGGGACCTTTTGGAGACCCCAAAACCCCCCCCCGGGATTTGGGGACCCCTCCGGGGCCGCCCCCTCCCCTCCCTTCCCCCCCCGCCCTTACCGGCAGCGCCCGGGGGCGTGGTCTGGGTGGCCACGCCCACAAGGGGCGGGGCGACAGTGGTTAATTAGCATAGAGCGCGCGCCCGTGGGTGAGGCCACGCCCACTGGAAGGGAAGGGGCGGGGCCTGAGCGCCCTAAAATGGGGGTTGTGATCCCAAAAAGGGGGTTCTGACCCTAAAAGGGGGGTACTGACCCTAAAATGGGGGTTCTGATCCCAAAAAGGGGGGTACTGACCCTAAAAGGGGTGTTCTGATCCCAGAAATGGGGGTACTGACCCTAAAAGGGGAGTTCTGATCCCAAAAGGGGGTACTGACCCTAAATGGGGGGTTCTGATCCCAAAAGGGGGGTACTGACCCTAAAAGGGGGGTTCTGATCCCAAAAATGGGGGTACTGACCCTAAAAGGGGGGTTCTGATCCCAAAAAGGGGGGTTCTGACCCTAAAAGGGGGTTACTGATCCCAAAAAGGGGGTACTGACCCTAAAAGGGGGGTTCTGATCCCAAAAAGGGGGTACTGACCCTAAAAGGGGGTTCTGATCCCAAAAAGGGGGTACTGACCCTAAAAGGAGGATTCTGACCCTAAAAGGGGGGTTCTGATCCCAAAAAGGAGGGTCTTGACCCTAAAAAGAGGGTCCTGAGTGCCCCAAAAAGGTTCCTGATCCTAAAAGGGAGGTGCTGACCCTAAAAAGGGGGTCCTGACCCTAAAAAGCGGGTTCTGATCCCAAAAGGGTGGTTCTGGTCCCAAAAAGAGGTTCCCAAGTACCCCAAAAAGGTTCTGACCCCAAAAGGAGGGTCTTGACCCCAAAAGGAGGGTCCTGAGTGCCCCAAAAAGGTTATTGACCCTAAAAAGACGGTTCTGACCCAAAAAAAGGTTCCTGACCCTAAAAGGAGGATTCTGACCCCAAAAAGGGGGTTCTGATCCCAAAAGGTCAAAGCTCCTGCCCCCATAATGTCACAGCCACGAGGTGACAGCAGCAGATGGCATTTATTGACCACGAGGGACGGCGGCCACCGACGGCCACCACAGGTGTCCAAGCACGGGTGTCCCCAACCATGGATGTCCACCACAGATGTCCACCATGGTGTCCCCAACCCCTGATGTCCACGACGGATGGCAACCATGGATGTCCCACCACAGATGTCCCACCATGGATGTTCCACCACAGATGTCCCACCATGGATGTCCCACCGTGGATGTCCCCGGTGTCACATGCAGCACAGGTAGAAGGTGGTGGTGGCAGCACCATGGAAGGTGGAAGATGGTCCTACCATGGATGTCCCACCATGTATGTCCCACCATGGACGTCCCACCATGGAAGGGTGTCCTACCATGGATGTCCCACCATGGTGTCCCCAACCATGGATGTCCCACCATGGACGTCCCCTGGGTGTCACTTGCAACGCAGGTAGAAGTGGGTGGCACCATGGAAAGGTGTCCTACCATGGATGTCCCACCATGGAAGGATGTCCCACCATGGTGTCCCCAACCATGGCTGTCCCACCAGGGACGTCCCCAGTGTCACGTGTGGCGCAGGTAGAAGGTGGTGGTGGTGGCACCATGGAAGGTGGAAGATGGTCCTACCATGGATGTCCCACCATGCATGTCCCACCATGGTGTCCCCTACCATGGATGTCCCACCACGGATGTCCCACCGTGGATGTCCCATCATGCATGTCCCACCATGGTGTCCCCAACCATGGATGTCCCACCATGGACGTCCCCTGGGTGTCACTTGTGGTGCAGGTAGAAGGTGGTGGCACCATGGAAGGGTGTCCTACCATGGATGTCCCACCATGGACGTCCCACCATGGAAGGGTGTCCTACCATGGTGTCCCCAACCATGGCTGTCCCAGCAGGGACGTCGATGGTGTCACATGCGGCGGAGGTAGAAGGCGGTGGCACCATGGAAGGGTGTCCTACCATGGACGTCCCACCATGGAAGGGTGTCCTACCATGGTGTTCCCAACCATGGATGTCCCACCATGGATGTCCCTTGGGTGTCACTTGGAAGGTGGTGGCACCATGGAAGGGTGTCCTACCCTGGTGTTCCCAACCATGGATGTCCCACCAGGGACGTCCCCGGTGTCACATGCGGCGGAGGTAGAAGGTGGTGGTGGTGGCACCATGGAAGGTGGAAGATGGTCCTACCATGGATGTCCCACGATGGATGTCCCACCATGGACGTTCCACCATGGAAGGGTGTCCTACCATGGATGTCCCACCATGGATGTCCCACCATGGATGTCCCCGGTGTCACATGCGGCGCAGGTAGAAGGAGGTGGCACCGGGCGGTGGTGCCAGGGTCAGCGCCTCGCCCGGGCCCATGGCCGTGCTGAGGAACAGCCCGGGGAAGGCGGCGGCCTCGAAGGTGTGCGTGGAGCCACCAAAGGTCTTGTAGAAGGTGAAGGGCGTGGTCCTGTCCTTGTCGCTGGAGAACAGCTCCAGCAGCTCCACGTCCTGCCGGGCAGGGGACGGCAAATGGTGACACCTGCGGTGGCACCAGCACCGGGAGCAGCCGTGGCCTGGTGGTGTCCCCATGCACAGATGACCCCATCTCCAGGTGTCCCCATCCCCAGGTGACCCCATCATCAGGTGACCCCACCTCAAGGAACATCCATCTGCAGATGTCCCCATCCCCAGGTGTCCTCATCTCCAGGTGTCCCCATCTCCAGGTGTCCCCATGCCCCGGTGAGCCCATGTCCAGGTGATCCCATCTCCAGGTGACCCCACCTCAAGGAACCCACACTGACTCATTCTCCAGGTGACCCCACCTGAAGGAACACCCACCTCCAGATGCCATCTCCAGGTGACCCCACCCCTGGGTGATGCCATCTCCAGGTGACCACACCCCAGGTGACCCCACCCCAGGTGACACCACACTCCCAGGTGACCTCGCCCTGGGGAATCCCCGCTTGTGTTTTGGGATGACGCCACTTCAGGGCGCCCCACCTCGGGCTGCACCAGCCCTGGGTGCCCACCACACCTTGGGATGACCCTTCCCAGGATGTCCATCTTGGGTTCCACACCTGGGCTGACCCACTTTGGGTGGCCCACTTTGGGTTGTCCACCTCGGGTTGACCCACCTTGGGTTTCCCATGTTCAGTTGACCCAATTTGGTTTGACCCACCTTAGACTGACAAACGTTGAGGTGACCACCTTGACCTGACCCACCTTGGCCTGACCCACCTTGGCCTGACCCATCTCTGGGTCTCCTCAACTTGGGTCACCCACCTGGAGGTGACCCGTTTTTGGGTCCCCACCACCCCAGGGTGCCCCCACTTTGATTTGACCCATCTGGGGTTGATCCAGCTCCAGTTGGTCAACCCAAGGTGGGTCAACCCAAGGTGGGCAACTCAAGGTGGGTCAACCCAAGATGGGTCAACCCAAGGTGGTTCAACCCAAGGTGGGTCAATCCAAGATGGGTCAACCCAAGGTGGGTCAACCCAAGGTGGGCAACTCAAGGTGGGTCAACCAAAGGTGGGTCAACTCAAGGTGGGAAACCCAAGGTGGGTCAACCCAAGATGGGTCAATCCAAGGTGGGTCAATCCAAGGTGGGTCAACCCAAGGTGGGTCAATCCAAGGTGGGCAACTCAAGGTGGGTCCACCCACCTTGAGTTGCCCACCTTGGATTGACCCACCTTGGGTTGACCCCAGGTCACCTCCATGTCCCCGTGTCCCCTGTGCCACCCATGTCCCGTGTCACCTCCAGGCTGAGGCGGGGCTCGGGCCCGGTGCCGCAGGACAGCGCCTGGGTGCCACCGCGGATGCCAACGATGAGGGGACAGCGCCGGCGCTCCAGGTGGCGGTTGGGGACAACGCTGATGGGCTCTGTGGGACACGGCGGTGACACCGCGGGCACCCGTGGAGTGGCACCCATGGAGTGTCACCCATGGAGTGTCACCCATGGAGTGGCACCCGTGGGGTGTCACCCATTGAGTGCCACCCGTGTTCCTCCACAATGTCACCCACAGAGTGCCACCCATGGGCAGTGTCACCCACAGATTGTCACCCCTGTCCCACGGTGTCACCCACAGATTGTCACCCCTGTTCCTCCAGAATGTCACCATGGAGTGTCACCCACAGGCAATGCCACCTACAGATTGTCACCCACGGGCAGTGTCACCCACAGAGTGTCACCCAGGGATTGTCACCCCTGTCCTCCCGGTGTCACCCACAGGTTGTCACCCATGGACAGTGTCACCCAGGGATTGTCACCCCTGTCCCCCGTTGTCACCCACAGATTGTCAACCCTGTTCCTCCAGAATGTCACCCATGGAGTGTCACCCACGGGCAGTGTCACCCATGGATTGTCACCCCTGTCCCCAATGCCACCCAGGGAGTGTCACCCCTGTCCCCCCGATGCCACCCAGGGAGTGTCACCCCTATCCCCGGTGCCACCCACCTTCCCAGCTGGCATTGGCCACCTGTAGGCTGGTGGCCACCAGAGGAACACCCACAGATTGTCACCCCTGTTCCTCCAGAATGTCACCCATGGAGTGCCACCCACAGAGTGTCACCCATGGAGTGTCACCGCTGTCCCCGGTGCCACCCACAGATTGTCACCGCTGTCCCCGGTGCCACCCACCTTCCTGGCTGGCGCTGGCCCCCTGCAGGCTGGTGGCCACCAGGTGGCCGTGGCGCAGGCACAGCCCCTGCTGCTCCGTGTCCCTCAGCACGTAGTGGTAGGGCCGGGCCACCAGCCCAGAGCCCTCCAAGGGCAGCAGCAGCCCTGGGGACACGGGGACACCGGGCTGGGACACGGGGACATGGGGACATGGAGACATTGGGGTGGGACACGGGAACATGGGGACACGGGGACATTGGGGTGGGACACGGGGACATGGGGACACGGGGACACCGGGCTGGGACACGGGGACATTGGGGTGGGACACGGGGACATGGGGACATGGGGATGGACAGAGGGGACACCAGGATGGACAGGTGGGACACGGGGACATGGGGACATGGGGATGGACAGAGGGGACATGGGGACATGGGGACACCAGGGTGGGACATGGGGACATGGGACATGGAGATGGACAGAGGGGACACCAGGATGGACAGGTGGGACATGGGGACACAGGGACACCGGGATGGGACATGGGGACATGGGGATGGGCAGGGGGGATGTGGAGACATGGGGACATGGAGATGGACAGGTAGGACATGGGGACACGGGGACACCTGGGTGGGACACAGGGACGTGGGGATGGGGATGAGCAGGAGGGAAATGGGGACATGGGGATGGACAGAAGGGACATGGGGACATGAGGACATGGGGACATGTGGATGGGCAGGTGGGACATGGGGACATGGGACATGGGGATGGGCAGAGGGGACATGGGGACATGGGGACATGGGGACATGGAGATGGACAGAGAGGACACAGGGATGGACAGAGGGGACATGGGGACATGGGGACACCGGGGTGGACAGGTGGGACACAGACAGGGGGACATGGGGACATTTGGGGCATGGATGGGCACAGGGGACACAAGGACAGGATGGGGACAGGGACACGGGGACACTGGGGACATTTGGGGCAGAGCTGGGTGCTGGATGGCACAGGGGACACGGGGACACGAAGACAGGGACACGGGGACATTTGGGGACACGGGGACATTTGGGGACACGTGCACCCACTTTCACCCAGGAAGTCCATGAACAAGGCCACCATGTCGGGGTCGGTGACACCCTCGGCCGTGTCCCCGCCGCCCGCTGCCACCCGCCGGCGGCGTCTCCGGGGTGTCCTCCTGTGGGGACAGAGGGGTCAGGGCAGGTGGCACCGCGGGGGGGGAGGTGGCACTGTCCCCGCGCTGTCCCCGCGCTGTCCCCGCGCTGTCCCCGCTCACCTGAGGGCAGCTCTGGACACACGCGACATGGCTGGGCCTGCGGAGAGGGTGGCACGGGTGGCACCTCTGGGCAGGAGTGTCCCCGAGCTTGTCCCCGGCCCCGGTGGCACCTGCGGAGGTGTCGCCTGCCGTGTCCCCGCGGTGACAGTGGCTTTATAGCGCCGGGCGGGGCGGGGACAGAGCCCGCCCCGGTAATTGGCGGGGACGGTGACAGCGACGGGGACACCGAGCGGTGGCGAAATGTCACCCGGTGCCCGCGGTCCCCTGTGCCATGGCACCGTGTGCCACCTCCCTGCCACCATTGTCACCGTGAGTGCTGTCGCCGAGGTGCTGTGAGCGCTGTCCCCAGTGTCCCCAGTGTCCCCAGGGTGCCATCCCCGTGGTCGCTTGTCCCCAAGGCCCTGTGTGCCCTGTCCCCATGGTGACCTGTCCCCAAAATGCCACCGCCCCCGTCCTCATTGTCCCCCATCCCCTGTCCCCAAAATGCCACCTCTCCTGTTCCCGTTGTTCTCCACTCCCTGTCCCCAAAATGCCACCTCCCCTGTCTTTGTTGTCCCCCATCCCCTGTCCCCAAAATGCCACCTCCCCTGTCCCCGTTGTTCTCCACTCCCTGTCCCCAAAATGCCACCACCTCTGTCCCTGTTGTCCCCCATTTCCTGTCCCCATTGTCCCCAATTCTCTGTCCCCAAAATGCCACCTCCCCTGTCCCCCAAAATGCCACCTCCCCTGTCCCCGTTGTCCCCCCCGCGTGTCCCCCGTGTCGCGTGCCCGCGGTGCCACCCTCTGTCCCCGGGCAGGATCCGGGCGGGGACCGCGTCACCCCCGCCCGGGGATGTCCCGTTCTGTCCCCACGGCGCGGGTGGCGCAAGAGCGGCCACCCCGCGGCGGTGACACACCCAGCGGGGCCACCAGCCCCGCCCTGTCCCCGCCGTGCCACCCCTGTGCCACCCTGTGCCACCCTGTGCCACCCTGTGCCACCCCTGTGTCACCCTGTGCCACCCTGTGCCACACACGCTCGGACACCGCGTGGCCTCGGCATCTCTTTATTCCCGGTGAGGATGTCGCTGTCCCCAGGGGGATGGCACTGTCCCCAGGGGGGTGGCACTGTCCCCACGGGGGTGGCCCCACGCCGAGGGAAGGATGTCGCTGTCCCCAGGGGGATGGCACAATCCCGGACGGATGTCACCATCCTGGGGAAGATGTCCCCGCGGAGCAAGGATGTCACCATCCCTGGGTGAGGATGTCACCATTCTTGAGGATGTCGCCATCCTGAGGGGGGGTGGCACCTTCCCAGGAAGATGCCACCACCCTGGGGGAGATGCCACCCTCCCCGGGGGGATGTCACCAGCCTGGGGGAGATGCCACCTCCATGGGGGTGACAATGCCACCCTCCCAGTGAAGATGCCACCACCCTGGGGGACATGCCACCACCCCAGTGAAGATGCCACCACCCTGGGGATGACAATGCCACCCTCACCAGGGTGATGCCACCACCCTGGAGGAGATGTCACCCTCCCAGTGAAGATGCCACCACCCTGGGGATGACAATGCCACCCTCCCAGTGACGATGCCACCCTCCTAGTGAAGATGCCACCAACCTAGGGATGACAATGCCACCCTCACCGGGGTGATGCCACCACCCTGGGGATGACAATGCCACCCTCACCAGGGTGATGCCACCACTCTAGGGGAGATGCCACCACCCTGGGGATGACAATGCCACCCTCCCAGTGAAGATGCCACCAACCTGGGGATGACAATGCCACCCTCCCAGTGAAGATGCCACCACCCTGGGGGTGACGATACCACCCTGGGGATGACGATGCCACCCTCCCAGTGAAGATGCCACCACCCTGGGGATGACAATGCCACCCTCCCAGTGAAGATGCCACCACCCCGAGGGACATGCCACCACCCTGGCGGGGCTGGGCTGTGGCCGCGCGGGGCCGGGGTGGCTCAGCAGAGCTGGAAGTAGAAGTCCAGCAGCTGGGAGGTGACATCGCGGTGGCGACAGAGCGCCAGGGGCTGGTGGCCGCGCGGGGCCGTGCACAGGAACCAGCCGGGGTGCGCCGCGGACTCGAAGCGCCACAGCCCGTCCCGGTAGGAGCGGAAGAAGGTGAAGGCGGCGGCGGTGGCACCGGCGCGGGGCAGCTCCCGGATGTCCACGTCCTGCGGGCCACCGCCGCTGTCACCCGTGGGGACAGCGCCCGGCAGCGTCCGGCCACCGCTGGCACCGTGCGACATGGCCGCGGCGCGGGGTGGCACCGGGGTGGGATGGCCCCACCCGGCGGGGCCTGATGTCCCCGTGTCCCCATCCCGCAATGTCCCCGTGTCCCCATCCAGAAGGGTCGCATCCCTGTGGCCCCCATGTCCCCACTCCACAGTGTCCCGCCCTTGATGTCCCCATGTCCCCATCCCCACGGCCCCCGTGTCCCCATCCCACAATGTCCCCTCCTCAGGGTGTCCCATCCCCAAAACTTTTTTTGTCCCCATCCTCATCACCATCCCCTTGGTGTCCCCTCTCTGTCCCCTCAGTGTCCCCCCGCTCTCTCCTCCCTGTCCCCCCTGTCCTCGCGGTCCCCCCTGTCCCCTCCCTGTCCCCCTGTCCCCGTGTCCCCCTGTCCTCCCTGTCCATGCTGTCCCCTGTCCCCGCTGTCCCCCTGTCCCTTCCCTGTCCCCGTGTCCCCCTGTCCCCCTGTCCCCGCTCTCCCCTCCCTGTCCCCTCTGTCTCCCCGTCCCCTCCCTGTCCCCCGTGTCCCCGTGTCCCCCCTGTTCTCCCTGTCCCGCTGTCCCCTCCCTGTCCCCGTGTTCCCGTGTCCCCTCTGTCCCGCTCTTCCCTCCCTGTCCCCCTGTCCTCTCCCTGTCCCCGTGTCCCCCCTGTCCCCATTGTCCCCTCTCTGTCCCCGCTATCCCCGCTGTCCCCCCTGTCCCTTCCCTGTCCCGCTGTCCCCCTGTCCCCGTGTCCCCCTGTCCCCTCTCTGTCCCTGCTGTCCCTGCTATCCCCCTGTCCCTGTGTCCCCGTGTCCCCCCTGTCCCTTCCCTGTCCCGCTGTCCCCCGTGTCCCCGCTATCCCCGCTGTCCCCTCCCTATCCCTTGTGTCCTCCCTGTCCCCGTGTCCCCCTGTCCCCTCCCTGTCCCCCGTGTCCCGGTGTCCCCCTGTCCCCTCCCTGTCCCGCTGTCCCCTCGGTGTCCCCTCGGTGTCCCGGTGTCGCACCTGCAGCCGCAGCCGCGGTTCCCCGCCGGGGCCGCGCTCGGTGCGGAGGCAGCGGGATCCGTGCCGGATGCTCAGGATCACCGGCAGCCGCCCGGGCTCCAGGGCGCGGTTGGGCACCCAGAACACTTTCTCTGCCAGGTGACACGGGGGGACCCTCAGCGCGTGTCACCCACGCGTGTCCCCGTGTGTCACCCACGCGTGTCCCCGTGTGTCACCTTCCAGCGCGGCGTTGGCGCCCTGCAGGTGCCCGGCCACCAGCGTGTCACCGCGCAGGTACAGCGAGCGCTGGTTCACGTCCCAGAGCCTGGCGGGGACACGGGGACAGCGGTGCCACCCTGGGTGCCACCACCCTGTCCCCCGCCACCCCCGGGCCGCCCCTTACCGGTACTGGAACACTTTGGTCTGCAGCGCGGGCGCCTGGCAGAGGGCGAAGCCTTCGGCCTCTGCGCGGAGGAAGAGGAGGGCGAGGCTGAGGGCGGCCACCCCCAGAGCCCCGCGCCCCCCGCCCGCGCCCCCCGAGCCGTGGGGACCCCTCCCGGGGGCACCGGCCGTGCCAGGCCGGGCCGTGCGCGGGGTCCCCGGGCAGCGCTCACCCATGGGAGCCCCGGCTCCGGTGTGACACCCGGTGCTGGTGCGACCCCCGGTTCTGGTGCGACCCCCGGTTCCTGTGATCCGCCTGCCTCCGCTGCGACCCCCGGCTGCTGTGGAGTCTCTGCCTCCGGTGGGACCCTCGGTTCCTGCGGGAGCCCCGGTTCCTGTGACACCCCGGTTCCTGTGGGACCCCCCGTTCCTACGGGACCTCGGTTCCTGCGGGACCCCCCGTTCCTGTGACACCCCCGGTTCCTGCGGGACCCTCGGCTCCGGTGGGACCCCGGCTCCTGTGGGACTCCCCGTTCCTGTGGAACCCCCCGTTCCTACGGGATCTCGGTTCCTGCGGGACCCTCGGCTCCTGCGGGACCCCCCGTTCTTACAGGACCTCCGCTCCTGCGGACCCCCGGCTCCGGTAGGACCCCGGTTCCTGTGGCACCCCCCGTTCCTGCGGGACCTCGGCTCCGGTGGGACCCCGGTTCCTGCGGACCCCCGGTTCCTGTGGGACCCCGGTTCCTGTGACACCCCCGGTTCCTGCGGGACCCCCCGTTCCTACGGGACCTCGGTTCCTGTGACACCCGCGGTTCCTCTGGGACTCCCCGTTCCTACGGGATCTCGGTTCCTGCGGACCCCCGGTTCCTGTGGGATCCCCCCGTTCCTGTGGAACCCCGGTTCCTGCGGACCCCCCGTTCCTACGGGACCTCCGCTCCTGTGGACCCCCGGCTCCGGTGGGACCCCCGGCTCCTATGAAACCCCCCGTTCCTGCGGGACCTCGGTTCCTGCCGGACCCTCGGCTCCGGTGGGCCCCCGGTTCCTGTGGCACCCCCGGTTCCTGTGGCACCCCCGGTTCCTGTGGCACCCCCGGCTCGGGGCGCAGCGAGCGGGGCAGAGGAAGGAAGGGAGGCAGGAAGGAGCTGCCGGTGCTGTTGCCACACTCCCGCGAAGGGCGCGCCCCTCCCCTGCCGTTACTCAGCACCCCCGCGCGGTGACAACCGAGGGGGGGAAGTGACAACGCGACACGCCACGGGGGGACACGGGGGGACACCGCCACCCCCTCGGCGGCTGAGGCGGGACTCGAACTCATGACCTCAGCAGCGAGGGAGCAGCGCCCTCCCCGCTGCGCCACCGCGGCGGCGAGCGCGCATGCGCACTGCGATAGCGGCGGGAAGCGGCGTGGGGAGCGCTGAGTGGCCGCGGGGATTGCGCATGCGCGGAGCCTGCGCGGAGCCTGCGCGGGGCGTGCGGCGCATGCGCAGAGCAGAGAGCGGCGGGAGGGAGGGAGGGAGGAGCGATGGCGGCGCCGGGGGAAGCGCTGAGGGCGGCGGTGGCCGCGGTGCTGCTGCTGGGCTGGGGCGCGCACGGGCTCTACTTTCACATCGGGGAGACGGAGAAGCGCTGCTTCATCGAGGAGATCCCCGACGAGACCATGGTCATCGGTGCGGGAATGGCGGGGAGAAGCGGGAATGGCGGGGGGAGTGAGGGGGGAACGGGGCAGGAAAGGGGGAATGGTGAGGGGGGGCGGGAGAGACCATTGGGGATGGCGGGGGGAGGAAGGAGAGACCACCGAGAATTTATAAGGGGGAACGGGAGATACCATTGAGAATTTATAAGGGGGAACGGGAGATTCCATTGAGAATTTATAAGGGGGAATGGGGGAGACCATTGGGAATGGGGGAGACCATTAAGAATGAGGGAGGGATAACGGGAATTTATGAGGGGGAATGGGAGATTCCATTGAGAATTTATAAGGGGGAATGGGGGAGACCATTGAGAATTTATAAGGGGGAATGGGAGGGACCATTGGGAATGGTGGGGGGGGATAACGGGGGAGACCATTGAGAATGGTGGGGGGGGATAACGGGAATTTATGAGGGGGAATGGGAGAGACCATTGAGAATGGCTTGGGGGGGAGCGGGAATTTATGGGGGGCAACGGGAGAGACCATTGGGAATGGCGGGGGGAGGAGAGACCACCGTGAATTTACAAGGGGGGACGGGAGAGACCATTGAGGTTCAGGGAGGGGATAAATCAGAGCCCAGCGGGCACACGGGGTTGGCACCAAGCCCCTGTGCCCGCTCGGTGCCAGGCAATTACCGGACACAGCTGTGGGACAAACAGTCCGAGGCGTTCCTGCCCTCCACGCCCGGGCTGGGCATGCACGTAGAGGTCAAGGACCCCGACGGGAAGGTCAGCACTGGGCACCGAGTGGGCACGGGGAGGGGTGCCTGGGTGTGGGGAGGGGTCTATGGGCATGCCATGGGTATGGGGAGGGATCCCTGGGCATCCCCTGGGCATCCCCTGGGCATGGGGAGGGGTCCCTGGGCATCCCCTGGACATGGGGTGGGGTCCCTGGGTGTGGGGAGGGGTCTCTGGGCATGCCATGGGTATGGGGAGGGGTCCCTGGGCATCCCCTGGGCATCCCCTGGGCATCCCCTGGGCATGGGGTGGGGTCCCTGGGGGGTTTGTGCACCCCTTGGGCCATGCCCCGATGCCCAGGGCAGTGACTCCATCGCCCTGGGATGCCAGTGGCAGTGCCCACACCCCTGACGGTGCCCCAGGTTGGCACAGCGGTGCCAGTGTCCGTGCCCCCGTCCCTGACCCTGTCCCGGTTGGCACAGGTGGTGCTGTCGCGGCAGTACGGCTCCGAGGGGCGCTTCACGTTCACGTCGCACACGCCGGGCGAGCACCAGATCTGCCTCCACTCCAACTCCACCCGCATGGCGCTGTTCGCGGGGGGCAAGCTGGTAATGCCCTGTGCCGGCCTGGCACGGCCCTGTGCCCACAGCCCTGCCCACCCTGACCTCCAACTTCAATGGTTGGTGCCAAGGTTGGCTCCACGCTTGGTTCCATGGTTGGCTCCATGGCTGATGCCATGGCTGGTGCCATGGTTGGTGCCATGATTGGTTCCATGGTTGGTTCTGTCATTGGTTCCATCATTGGTTCCATGGTTGGCGCCATGTTTGGTTGTATGGTTGGTTCCATATTTGGAGCCATGGTTGAAACCATGATTGGTTTCGTTGTTGGAGCCATGGTTGGTTCCATGATTGGTGCCAAGATTGGTTCCATGGTTGGTTCCATGGTTGGTTCCATGCTTTGTTCCATGATTGGTGCCATGGTTGGTTCCATGATTGGCGCCATGATTGGTTCCATCATTGGTTCCATGGTTGGTTCCATCATTGGTGCCACGATTGGCGCCATGATTGGTTCCATCATTGGTTCCATGGTTGGAGCCATGGTTGGTTCCATCATTGGTTCCATGGTTGGTTCCACGATTGGTTCCATGGTTGGTTCCACGATTGGCGCCATGATTGGTTCCATCATTGGTGCCATGATTGGTTCCACGCTTGGTTCCATGATTGGCTCCATTGTTGGTGCCATGGTTGGTTCCATCATTGGTTCCATGGTTGGTGCCATGATTGGTTCCACGCTTGGTTCCATGATTGGCTCCATTGTTGGTGCCATGGTTGGTGCCATGGTTGGTTCCATCATTGGTTCCATGGTTGGTCCCATGCTTGGTTCCATGGTTGGTTCCATGGTCGGTGGCATGATTGGCGCCATGATTGGTTCCATCATTGGTTCCATGGTTGGAGTCATGGTTGGTTCCATGCTTGGTTCCATGTTCCATGATTGGTGCCATGGTGGTTCCACGATTGGTGCCATGATTGGTGCCTCCGTGGTTGAAACCGCGGTTGGAGCCGTGGTTAGTGCCACCCCAGCGCCAGCCCGGTGCCATCCCCGTGCCCGTGTCCCGCAGCGGGTGCACCTGGACATCCAGGTGGGCGAGCACACCAACAACTACCCCGAGATCGCGGCCAAGGACAAGCTGACCGAGCTGCAGCTCCGCGCGCGCCAGCTGCTCGACCAGGTGGAGCAGATCCAGAAGGAGCAGAACTACCAGAGGGTCAGCGGGCACCTTTTGGGGTCACCCGTGGGGTTTGGGGGGAATTTATGGGATTTTGGGAGGAATTTATGGGATTTTGGTGCGTTTTGGGGGGAATTTCTTGGGTTTTAGGAGGAATTTATGGGTTTTTGGGGGTATTTATGGGGTTTTGGGGGGAATTTATGGAGATTTGGTTGGAATTTTTGAGGTTTAGCTTGGAATTTTTGGGGTTTCATGTGAATTTTTGGCATTTTGGGGTTTTTCTCCCTCAGTACCGCGAGGAGCGGTTCCGCATGACCAGCGAGAGCACCAAGCACCGATCTGTGGGGTTTTGGGGTGAATTTATGGGATTTTGGTGCAAATCCTTGGGGTTTTGCTGTAAATCTATGGGATTTTGGTTGGGATTTTTGAGATTTTGAGGTGAATTTTTTGGATTTTGGGGTTTTTCCTCCCTCAGTACCGTAGGAACGGTTCCTCATGACCAGCGAGAGCAGCAAGCACCGATCTGTGGGGTTTTGGGGGGACTTTTGGTGTAAATCCATGGGGTTTTTGTTTAAATCCATGGGGTTTGGGGTGGAAGTTTCCAGATTTTGGTTGGAATTTGTGGGATTTTGGTGTGAATTTTGGCATTTTTGGGTTTTTCAGTACCGAGAGGAGCGGTTCCGCATGACCTCCGAGAGCACCAACCAGCGCGTGCTCTGGTGGTCCATCGCCCAGACCGTCATCCTCATCCTCACCGGCCTCTGGCAGATGCGGCACCTCAAGAGCTTCTTCGAGGCCAAGAAACTCGTCTAGCCCCCCAAAACCTCCTGGGGCAGCACCCCCAAATCTGTTCCTACTCAGGGGGTACCCCAAAATCCACCCCAATTCCCAAAAAATACCCCAAAATCCATTCCAAGCTGGGGGTGCCTCAAAATCCACCCCAACCCCAAAAAATACCTCAAAACTCATCACGACTCCACAAAAACACCCCAAAACTCATCCTCAATCTGGGTGGTACCCCAAAATCCACCTCAGTCCCAAAAATTACCCCAAAACTCATCCCAACCCCAAAAAACACATCTAAATCTACTCCAATCCCAAAGAACACCCCCAAAATCTACCCCAATCCTGGGGTGCCATGGATTTGGACACTCCAAATCCATTCTGCCCTACTTTGGGGTGCTGGGGAGGGTCCCCCACTCCCTTCTGTGACCCCCAAATCCATCCCCCAAATTTGGGGTGCTGGGGAGGGTCCCCCACTCCCCGCAGATTTTGGGGTGCCCCCCCTGCCATGGAGGGGAACAGCAAAGGGCCATCCCCTGAGGGGGTTTTTTGGGGGGAAAATAAAGATTTTTTTGTTCCACCAAGAGTTGTCTCTGCGCTTTTGGGACGGGGAGGGGGTTCTGGCGCTGCAGTTACCCAAAACCGAGGGGTTTCACCCCAAAAATGGAGCCCGGGGGATTTTGGGGCGCAGGGGGTGTTGTCAGTCCTCCACCGCCAGGCGGCGCTGTCTGGCGGCGCTCCGGGCGCGCCACCGGAAGTGTCGCTGGCCGGGAAGTGTCGCTGGGGGGTACCGGAAGTGTAGCTGGGAGCACCGGAAGTGGCGCGGGGGGGAGGTGGAGGCAAGATGGCGGCAGAAATGGAGGAGAAGGGGTTTGAGCACATGGGGCTGGACGGGCGCCTGCTGCGGGTGAGGGGGGCTGCCTTGGCGGGGGTGGCACTGGGGGACTGTCCCCGTGGGCAGGGGTGGCATTGGGGACAGAACCCATGGGTGTGGGGTGGCACTGGGACTGTCCCCATGGCACTGGGGTGGCACTGGCACTGTCCCCATTGCACTGGATTGGCACTGGGAACTGTCCCCATGGGCAGGGGTGGCACTGGGGTGGCACTGGGGTGGCACTGGGACTGTCCCCATGGCACTGGGGTGGCACTGGGGACTGTCCCCATGAGGTGTGGGTGGCACTGGGGTGGCACTGGGACTGTCCCCATCGAGTGGGTGACACTGGGGTGGCATTGGGACTGTCCCCATGGGGTGGGGGTGGCACTGGCACTGTCCCCATGGGTGTGGGGTGGCATTGAGGTGGCAGTGGGGTGGCACTGGCACTGTCCCCATCGGGTGGGTGGCACTGGGGTGGCAGTGGGGTGGCACTGGCACTGTCCCCATGGGGTGGGGGTGGCACTGGGACTGTCCCCATGGGGTGGGGGTGGCACTAGGGTGGCACTGGGCACTGTCCCCATGGGGTGGGTGGCACTGGGGACTGTCCCTGTGGGCAGGGGTGGCACTGGGGTGGCACTGGGACTGTCTCCATGGGGTGGGGGTGGCACTGGGGCCGTCCCTGTGGGCAGGGGTGGCATTGGGGACAGAACCCATGGCACTGGGTGGCACTGGCACTGTCCCCATGGCACTGGATTGGCACTGGGACTGTCCCCGTGGGTAGGGGTGGCACTGGGGTGGCACTGGCACTGTCCCCATGGCACTGGATTGGCACTGGGACTGTCCCCATGGGCAGGGGTGGCACTGACACTGTCCCGTGCCCGCAATGACCCCGTCCCGTGCCCGCAGGCGGTGGCAGAGCTGGGCTGGGCGGTGCCCACGGCCATCCAGGCCCGTGCCATCCCGCTGGCACTGGAGGGCAGGGACGTGCTGGCACGGGCCAGGACGGGCTCGGGCAAAACGGGCGCCTACGGCCTGCCCATGCTGCACAAAGTGCTGGGCATCAAGGAGGTGAGGGCACGGGGCACGGGGGGGGTTGGGGGCATGGGGGGCATTGGGGACATGGGGGGCATGGAGGGTACTGGGGGCATGGGGGGCATGGAGGGCACTGGGGGCATGGGGGGCATTTGGGGCATGGGGGACATTTGGGGCACTGGGGGCATTGGGGGATTTGGGGCACTGGTGGCAGTGGGAGGGATTGGGGAGATTGGGGGCACGGGAGGATTTGGGGCACGGGGGGCACTGGGGGGCATTGGGGGCACAGGGGCATTGGGGGCACTGGGGGCATTGGGGGCACTGGGGGCATTGGGGGGATTGGGGGATTGGGGGGCATTGGGGGGCATTGGGGGGATTTGGGGGCGCTGGGGGGATTGGGGGCACTGGTGGCACTGGTGGGGCACTGGTGGCACTGGGGGCATTGGGGGGCATTTGGGGGCATTGGGGGATTGGGGGCGTGGAGGGCATGGGGGGCATGGGGGGCACAGGGGGCATTGGGGGCACAGGGGGATTTGGGGGGATTTGGGGGGATTTGGGGCACTGGTGGCACTGGGGGGGCACTGGGGGTGCCCCCAGTGTCCCCTGTGTGTCCCCAGCCGTGCCCCAGGCCGTGCGGGCGCTGGTGCCCAGGCTGGGCATGGCTGGTGTCCCCAATGTCCCCAGTGTCCCCAATGTCCCCAATGTCCCCAGTGATGTCCCCAATGTCCCCAATGATGTCCCCACTGTCCCCAGGCGTCCCCGGCCGTGCCGCAGGCCGTGCGGGCGCTGGTGCTGGTGCCCACGGCGGAGCTGGCACGGCAGGTCGGGCACACCCTGCGCCGCCTCGCCGCCTTCTGCGCCCGCCAGCTGCGCGTGGCCGAGCTCTGCGGCCACTCCGACCTGGCCGAGCAGCGGTCAGTGTCCCCAAGGGTCCCCAAGGGTCCCCTGGGTGTCCCTGACCCCCCCCTGAGTATCCCCACGTGTCCCTGACCCTCCCAGTGTGCCCTGGGTGTCCCCTGAGTGTCCCCTGGGTGTCCCCAGATGTCCCCAAGTGTCCCCTGGGTGTCCCCCTGGGTGTCCCTGACCCCCCCCCGGGTGTCCCCACGTGTCCCTGACCCAGCCTGGGTGTCCTCTGGGTGTCCCCACATCCCCCTGACCCTCTCAGTGTCCCCTGGATGTCCCCGTGGGTGTCCCCTGGGTGTCCCCTGGATGTCCCCAAGTGTCCCCAAGTGCCCCCAAGTGTCCCCTGGGTGTCCCTGAGTGTCCCCCAAGTGTCCCCAAGTGTCCCCTGGCTGTCCCCTGGGTGTCCCCAAGTGTCCCCTTGGTGTCCCCTGGGTGTCCCCTGAGTGTTCCCAAATCCCCCTGACCCTCCCAGTGTCTCCTGGGTGTCCCCTAGGTGTCCCCTGGGTGTCCCCAAATGTCCCCAAGTGTCCCCTGGGTATCCCCTGGGTGTCCCCGTGGGTGTCCCCTGGATGTCCCTGGGTGTCCCCTGTGTGTCCCGGGTGTCCCCTGGATGTCCCTGTGTCTCCTGGGTGTCCCCTGGGTGTCCCCTGGGTGTCCCCAAGCCCCCCGTGACCCCGTGGGTGTCCCCTGGATGTCCCTGTGTGTCCCGGGGTGTCCCCAAGCCCCCTGGGTGTCCCCTGGGTGTCCCCTGGATGTCTCTGGGTGTCCCTGGATGTCCCCTGGGTGTCCCTGGGTGTCCCTGTGTGTCCCTGGCTGTCCCCTGGGTGTCCCTGTGTGTCCCTGGGTGTCCCTGTGTGTCCCGGGTGTCCCCAATCCCCCCGTGACCCGCGGCTGTGCCCAGGCCGGTGCTGATGGAGCGGCCGGACATCGTGGTGGGCACGCCGGGCCGTGTCCTGGCACACGTGGCCGGGCACAGCCTGGCACTGCGGCCCAGCCTGGAGCTGCTGGTGCTGGACGAGGCCGACCTGCTGCTGTCCTTCGGCTGCGGGAGCGACATCCGCGCCCTGCTCTGGTGGGACACGGGACAGAGAGGGGACATTGGGGACATGGGGGACATGGGGGACATGGGGACATGGGGACATGGGGACACTGCTGTCCTTCGGCTGCGGGAGCGACATCCGCGCCCTGCTCTGGTGGGACATGGGGACATTGGGGACATTGGGGACATGGGGACATTGGGGACATTGGGGACATGGGGACATTGGGGACACGGGGGGACATTGGGGACATTGGGGACATTGGGGACATGGGGACATTGGGACATTGGGGACATTGGGGACACGGGGGGACATTGGGGACATTGGGGACATTGGGGACATGGGGACATTGGGGGCATTGGGGACACTGCTGCTGTCCTTCGGCTGCGGGAGCGACATCCGCGCCCTGCTCTGGTGGGACAGGGGACATGGGGACACTGGGGACACTGGGGACATTGGGGACATGGGGACATTGGGGACATTGGGGACATTGGGGACATTGGGGACACGGGGACATTGGGGACATTGGGGACACTGCTGCTGTCCTTCGGCTGCGGGAGTGACATCCGCGCCCTGCTCTGGTGGGACAGGGGACATTGGGGACATTGGGGACATGGGGACATTGGGGACATTGGGGACATTGGGGACATTGCTGTCCTTCGGCTGCAGGAGCGACATCCGCGCCCTGCTCTGGTGGGACAGGGGACAGAGAGGGGACATTGGGGACATTGGGGACACGGGGACATTGGGGACATTGGGGACACTGCTGTCCTTTGGGCAGCGACATCTGCGCCCTGCTCTGGTGGGACATGGGGACATTGGGGACATTGGGGACATGGGGACATTGGGGACACTGCTGCTGTCCTTCGGCTGCGGGAGTGACATCCGCGCCCTGCTCTGGTGGGACAGACAGGGGACAGGGGACAGGGGGACACAGGGGGACAGGGGGGACAGGAGGACAGGGGGGACACCCAGGGGACACTGTAGGGAGAAGGAGGGGATGGGGGGACAGGAGGACAGGGGGACAGGGAGGGGACAGGGAAGGGACAGGAGGGGACAGGAGGGGACAGGGGGACAGGGAGGGGGGAACAGGGAGGGGACACTGGGGGGAGAAGGAGGTGACAGGGAGGGGACGGGGGGGACAGGGAGGGGATGGGGGGACAGGGGGACAGGGAGGGGACAGGGGGCGGACATTGAACGGGGACACTGGGGGGGACAGGGAGTTGACATTGGGGGGAGAAGGAGGGGACAGGGAGGGGACAGGTGGAGACAGGGAGGGGACACCCAGGGGACACTGTGGGGAGAAGGAGGGGACACCCAGGGGACACCCAGGGGACACTGTGGGGACAAGGAGGGGGCACCCAGGGGACACCCAGGGGACACTTGGGGACACCCAGTGGACACCCAGGGGACACTGTGGGGAGGAGGGGACACCCAGGGGACACCCAGGGGACACTGTGGGGACAAGGAGAAGACAGCCAGGGCACACTTGGGGACATGGGGAGACACTGGGGGGGCACAGGGAGGGGTCATTGAGGGGGACAGGGAGGGTGACAATAGGTGGGGACAACAGGGGACAGGGCAGAGACACTGGGGGACAGGGAGGAGACAGCCAGGGGACGCTTGGGGACATGGGGGGACACTGGGGAATAGGGAGGGGACACCCAGGGGACACTGGAGGGTGACAGGGAGGGGATCCTGAGGGGGGACAGTGTGGGGGACAGGGAGGGTGACAATGGGGGAGACAGGGAGGGGACACCCAGGAGACACTTGGGGACATTGGGAGACTATGGGAGGGGACACTGGGGGGGACACAAAGAAGTACGTGGGGGACACAAAGATAGTGGGGGGGCACAGAGGGTTTGGGGTACCCTGAGAGGTTTTTGGGGTTCCCTGAGAGGTTTTGAGGTTCCCTGAGAGGTTTTGGGGTTCCCTGAGAGGTTTTGGGGTTCCCTGAGAGGTTTTGGGGTACCCTGAGAGGTTTTGGGCTCTTGGAGGTTTTGGGCAATTTGAGGTTTTGGGATTCTTTGAGAGTTTTTGGGGTTCCCTGAGGAGGTTTTGGGGTGGCTGGGGGAGGTTTTGGGGTGCCCCTGACCCCCCGTGCCCCCCCAGCCACCTGCCCAAGATCTACCAGGCCATGCTGGTGTCGGCCACGCTGAACCCCGAGCTGGAGGCGCTGCAGGAGCTGGTGCTGCACAACCCCGTGAGGAGGGATTGGGGCGTTTTTGGGGGGTTGGAATGAGCTTTGGGGTTCCACAGTGGGCACAGAGGTGGAGAACACCAATCCCCCGTTTCCCATCCCTGACCCCAAATCCTTTATCCAGGTGGAGCTTCCCCAATCCCAAATTTTGGGATTTTAACCCCAAATCCCAATTCCAGCTGCAGGTTCTCCAACTCCAGCAGTTCCCTCATCCCAAATTTAGGATTTTAACCCCAAATCCCAATCCCATCTCCAGATTCTCTCCCTGCAGCTGTTCCCCAGTGCCCAAATTTGGGACTTTAACCCCAAACCCCAATCCCAGCTGCATGTTCTCCAACTCCAGCAGTTCCCCAGTGCCCAAATTCAGGATTCTAACCCCAAACCCCAATTCCAGCTGCAGGTTCTGCCCCTGAACCCCACATCCCTGGGGTGTTCCCATCTCCAGCAGTTGCCCTGTGCCCAAATTCAGGATTTTAACCCCAAACTCCAATCCCATCTCCAGATTCTCTCCCTGGAGCAGTTCCCAATTTAGGATTTTAACCCCAAACTCCAATCCCATCTCCAGTTTCTCTCCCTGCAGCAGTTCCCCAGTGCCCAGTTACAGGATTTTAACCCCAAATTCCCCATCCCAGCTGCAGGTGGTGCCCCCGGGGCCGCGCTGTGCCCATCTCCATCAATTCCCCCATCCCTGATTTTGGGATTTTAACCCCAAACCCCAATTCCAGCTGCAGGTTACACAACTCCAGCAGCTGCCCTGTGCCCAGATTTGGGATTTCAGCCCCAAACCCCAATTCCAGCTGCATGTTCTCCAACTCCAGCAGTTCCCCAGTGCCCAAATTCAGGATTTTAACCCCAAATTCCCATGCCAGGTGCAGGTGGTGCCCCCGGAGCTGCGCCTGCCGGGCCCTACCCATCTCCATCAATTCCCCAACCCCTGATTTTGGGGGAATCAGTGCCCAAATTCAGGATTTTAACCCCAAATTCCCCCATCCCAGGTGCAGGTGGTGCCCCCGGAGCTGCGCCTGCCGGGCCCTGCCCATCTCCATCAATTCCCCCATCCCCAAATTCAGGATTTTAACCCCAAATTCCCCATCCCAGGTGCAGGTGGTGCCCCCGGAGCTGCGCCTGCCGGGCCCTGCCCATCTCCATCAATTCCCCCATCCCCAATTTCAGGATTTTAACCCCAAATTCCCATGCCAGGTGCAGGTTACACAACTCCAGCAGTTCCCCAGTGCCCAAATTCAGGATTTCAACCCCAAATCCCAATTCCAGCTGCAGGTTCTCCAACTCTAGCAGTTCCCCAATGCCCAAATTCGGGATTTTAACCCCAAATTCCATCCCAGGTGCAGGTGGTGCCCCCGGAGCCGCGCCTGCCGGGCCCTGCCCATCTCCAGCAGTTCCTCAGTGCCCAAATTCAGGATTTTAACCCCAAATTCCCCATCCCAGGTGCAGGTGGTGCCCCCGGAGCTGTGCCTGCCGGGCCCTGCCCATCTCCATCAATTCCCCCATCCCCAAATTCAGGATTCTAACCCCAAATTCCCCATCCCAGGTGCAGGTGGTGCTCCCGGAGCCGCGCCTGCCGGGCTGTGCCCATCTCCATCAATTCCCCCATCCCTGATTTTGGGATTTTAACCCCAAATTCCCATCCCAGGTGCAGGTGGTGCCCCCGGAGCCGCGCCTGCCGGGCCCTGCCCAGCTGCAGCAGCTGCAGCTGCGCTGCGGCACGGAGGAGGACAAGTTCCTGCTGCTGGCGGCGCTGCTGAAGCTGCGGCTGCTGCGGGGCCGGGCGCTGCTGTTCGTGGGCAGCCTGGCACGGGCGCTGCGCCTGCAGCTCTTCCTCGAGCAGTTCGGCATCGCCGCCTGCGCCCTCAACCCCCAGCTGCCCGCCCGCTCCCGGTACCGCCCGCTTGGGGGGTGGGGTTGGGGGGATTGGTGGTTGGGGTCATGAATTATGGGTTTTTACTTGGTTGTCCCGCTGGTTTTGGAGCAGAAATGGGATTTATGGGGTGGGGTTTATGGGAATTCCTGTTTGAGTCCTGAATTCCAGGGTTTTCACTTGATTGTCTCACTGGTTTCGGAGCAGAAATGATATTTATGGGGTGAGGTTTATGGGAATTCCCATTTGTGCCCTCAACCTGCAGCTGCCTGTGAGATCCTGGTGAGATTTGTGGGGTTGGGGTTGTGGGAATTCCTGTTTGAGTTCTGAATTCCGGGGTTTTCACCTGATCCCATTGATTCTGGAACAGAAATGGGATTTATGGGGTGGGGTTCATGGGAATTGGTATTTCAGTTCTGAATTCCTGGGTTTTCATTTGATTGTCCCGCTGGTTTTGGAGCAGAAATGGGATTTATGGGGTGGGATTTATGGGCATTCCCATTTGAGTCCTCAACCTGCAGCTGCCTCTGAGATCCTGGTGAGATTTGTGGAGTTGGGTTTGTGGGAATTGGTGTTTGAGTTCTAAATTCCTGCGTTTTCACTTGATCCCATTGATTCTGGAACAGAAATGGGATTTCTGGGGTGGGGTTTGTGGGAATTCCTGTTTGAGTCCTGAATTCCGGGGTTTTCACTTGATCCCATTGATTCTGGAACAGAAATGGGATTTATGGGGTGGGATTTGTGGGAATTCCTGTTTGAGTCTTGAATTCCGGGGTTTTCACTTGATCCCATTGATTCTGGAACAGAAATGGGATTTATGGGGTGGGATTTATGGGAATTCCTGTTTGAGTTCTAAATTCCTGGGTTTTCACTAGGTCCCACTGGTTTTAGAGTGGAAATGGGATTTCTGGGGTGGGGTTTATGGGAATTGCCGTTTGAGTCCTAAATCTTGGGTTTTCACCTGATCCTGTTGGTTTTGGAGTGGAAATAATGGGGTGGGATTTATGGGCATTCCCATTTGAGTCCTCAACCTGCAGCTGCCTCTGAGATCCTGGTGAGATTTGTGGGGTTGGGTTTGTGGGAATTGGCATTTGGGTCCTGAATTATGGGTTTTTACTTGGTTGTCCCACTGATTTCGGAGCAGAAATGGGATTTATGGGGTGGGGTTTATGGGAATTCCCATTTGAGTCCTCAACCTGCAGCTGCCTGTGAGATCCTGGTGAGTCTCAGTGAGATTTGTGGGGTTGGGTTTGTGGGAATTCCTGTTTGAGTTCTAAATTCCTGGGTTTTCACTTGATCCCACTGGTTTCAGAGTGGAAATGGGATTTATGGGGTGGGATTTATGGGAATTGGTATTTCAGTTCTGAATTCCGGGGTTTTCACTTGATTGTCCCGCTGGTTTCGGAGCAGAAATGGGATTTATGGGGTGGGGTTTATGGGAATTCCTGTTTGAGTTCTAAATTCCTGGGTTTTCACTTGATCCCATTGATTTCAGCGTGGAAGTAGGGTGGGATTTATGGGAATTAGTGTTTGAGTTCTAAATTCCGGGGTTTTCACTTGATTGTCCCACTGGTTTCGGAGCGGAAATGGGATTTATGGGTGGGATTTGTGGGAATTCCTGTTTGAGTCCTCAACCTGCAGCTGCCTGTGAAATCCTGGTGAGTCCTGGTGAGATTTGTGGGGTTGGGTTTATGGGAATTGGTGTTTGAGTCCTGAATTCCGGGGTTTTTACTTGACTGTCCCACTGATGGGATTTATGGGGTGGGATTTATGGGATTTATGGGAATTGCCATTTGAATTCTAAATTCCTGGGTTTTCACTTGATCCCATTGATTTTGGAGTGGAAATGGGGTGGGATTTATGGGATTTATGGGAATTCCCATTTGTGCCCTGAATTCCTGTCCCCGTCCCCGCTGTCCCCAGGTGCCCCTGGTGATGTCCCTGTCCCCAGGTGCCCCTGGTGACGTCCCTGTCCCCTCTGTCCCCAGGTGCCACGTCATTGCCCAGTTTAACCGGGGTCTCTACGATTTCATCGTGGCCACCGACGAGGAGGGACCGGCGGAGCCACCCCGGCAGCGCCCGCGCCGAGGGGACACGGCCAGGTCAGCCTGGGGACACTGGGGTGGCACTGGGGTGGCACTGGGGACACGGCCAGGTCAGCCTGGGGACACTGGGGACACTGGGGTGGCACTGGGGACACGGCCAGGTCAGCCAGGGGACACTGGGGTGGCACTGGGGACATGGCCAGGTCAGCCTGGGGACACTGGGGACACGGCCAGGTCAGCTTGGGGACACTGGGGACAGCGGGGTGGCACTGGGGGTGTGGGGGTGGCACTCGGGACAGCCCCCACAGTGTCCCCATGTCCCTGAGTGTCCCCAGGAAGGGTGGCAGCAGGGGACAGTCCCCGCCGTGTCCCTGATTGTCCCCATTGTCCCCAGGAAGGGTGGCAGCAGGGGACAGTCCCCGCCGTGTCCCTGATTGTCCCCATTGTCCCCATTGTCCCCAGGAAGGGTGGCAGCAGGGGACAGTCCCCGCCGTGTCCCCAGGACCCCGAGTTTGGGGTCTCTCGTGGCATCGATTTCCAGAACGTCGCCGCCGTCATCAACTTCGATGTCCCCAACTCGGTGGAGACGTACATCCACCGCGTGGGCAGGTCTGTCACCGTGTCACCTCGGTGTCACTGTGTCACCTCGGGGTCACCCGTGTCACCTCGGTGTCACCTGTGTCACCACGGGGTCACCGGGGTGTCCCCAAGGTCCCTGTGTCCCTGTCCCCTGGGTGTCCCTGACCCCATGTCCCTGTCCCCCATCTCCTTGTCTCCGTGTCCCTGTCCCCACGGTGTCCCTGTCCCCATGGTGTCCCTGTCCCCAGGGGTGTCCCCTGGGTGTCCCTGTCCCCGCGGTGTCCCTGTCCCCACATGTCCCTGTCCCCATGGTGTCGCTGTCCCCATGTCCCTGTCCCCGTGGTGTCCCTATCCCCGTGTCCCTGTCCCCATGGTGTCCCTGTCCCCACGGTGTCCCCAGGGTGTCCCAGTCCCCACGGTGTTGCTGTCCCCATGTCCCTGTCCCCGTGGTGTCCCTGTCCCCAGGGGTGTCCCTGTCCCTGTGTCCCTGTCCCCACGGTGTCCCTGTCCCCATGGTGTCCCTGTCCCCACGTGTCCCCGTCCCCTGGGTGTCCCTGTCCCCACGGTGTCGGTGTCCCCACGGTGTCCCTGTCCCTGCAGTGTCCCTGTCCCCATGTCCCTGTCCCTATGTCCCTGTCCCCGTGTCCCTGTCCCTGCGGTGTCCCTGTCCCTATGTCCCTGTCCCCATGGTGTCCCTGTCCCCGTGTCCCTGTCCCCGCAGTGTCCCTGTCCCCGCAGTGTCCCTGTCCCCATGTCCCTGTCCCCATGTCCCTGTCCTCGCAGTGTCCCCGTGTCCCTGTCCCCATGGTGTCCCTGTCCCCTGGGTGTCCCTGTCCCCGTGTCCCTGTCCCCATGGTGTCGGTGTCCCCACGATGTCCCTGTCCCCGTGTCCCTGTCCCCATGTCCCTGTCCCCAGGACGGCGCGCGGGGACAGCCCTGGCACGGCGCTGACGCTGGCCCTGCCCGAGGAGCTGGAGCGGCTGCGGCGCATCGAGGACGCGCTGGCGGCAGGTGGCACCTGGGGACACCGGGGGGGGGTTTGGGGACACCGAGGGGACACCGAGGTGACGTTGGTGACACTGAGGTGGCCCCGTGTCCCCAGAGAACGGACAGTCCATGCTGCAGCCCTACGAGTTCCGCATGGAGGAGATCGAGACGCTGCGGTACCGCTGCAGGGTGAGGGACAGCGGGGACAGCAAGGGGACAGAGAGGGACAGGGAGGGACAGAGAGGGGACAGTGAGGGGACAGCGGGGGGACAGAGAGGGGACAGCGAGGGGACAGAGAGGGGACAGAGAGGGGACACTGAGGGGACAGAGAGGGGACAGAGAGGGGACAGCGAGGGGACACTGAGGGGACAGAGAGGGGACACTGAGGGGACAGCGAGGGGACAGAGAGGGGACAGTGAGGGGACACTGAGGGGACAGTGGGGGGGGGTGGGTGTCCCCTGTTGAGAATGCCACGGGAGTGTCCTGATATCTGCAATGTCCCTTTGATGTCCCCAATGATGTCCCCAATGTCACTTTGATGTCCCCAATGTCCCCTCAGGACGCCATGCGTGCTGTCACAAAGCAGGCCTGTCCCCAATGTCCCCAATGTCCCCATGTCCCCAGTGTCCCCAGTGATGTCCCTAATGTCCCTTTGCTGTCCCCAATGTCCCCAATGTCCCCAATGATGTCCCCAATGATGTCCCCAATGATGTCCCCATGTCCCCAATGATGTCCCCAATGTCCCCGATATCCCCAATGTCATTTTGCTGTCCCCATGTCCCCAATGTCCCCAATGTCCCCAATGTCCCCATGTCCCCAATGATGTCCCCATGTCCCCAGGACGCCATGCGCGCTGTCACCAAGCAGGCCTGTCCCCAATGTCCCCAGTGATGTCCCCAATGTCCCCATGTCCCCAATGTCCCCAATGATGTCCCCAATGATGTCCCCAATGATGTCCCCAGTGATGTCCCCATGTCCCCAGGACGCCATGCGCGCTGTCACCAAGCAGGCCGTGCGCGAGGCGCGGCTGCGGGAGCTGCGCCAGGAGCTGCTCAACTGCGAGAAGCTGAAGGTCAGAGCCCAGAATTGGGGCGAAAACCCCAAAATTTGGTTCAAAACACCAAAACTGGGGAGAAAAAGCCAAAATGGGGGGAGAAACCCCAAAATTTGGATTAAAAAAACCCCAAATCCCCTTAGAAATCCCTAAAATCCCCTTTAAAACCACGACAAATGATTAATTAATGACTAATGAAGGATTAATTAAGGACTAAGGGCTATTTAAAGATTAATTAAGGGTTAATTAAGGATTAATTAAGGATTAATTAATGAGTTCTAGCTGTATTTTGAGGACAACCCCCAAGGCCTGCGGGCTCTGAGGCACGACCAGCCCCTGCCCCTTGATGAATGTTTAATGATTAATTAATGAAGGGTTTATTAAGGATCAATTAATGATTATTTAACGTTAATTAATTAATTCCAGGTGTACTTTGAGGACAACCCGCGGGACCTGCAGGCCCTGAGGCACGACCGGCCCCTGCACCCGGCCAGCGTGCAGCCACACCTGCGCCACGTGCCCGACTACCTGGGTATGAAATGGGCACAGAACGGGCACAAAATGGGCACAAAATGGGGAAAAAATATGAATTTTGGGGAAAAATGGGGGAAATGGGGAAAAAATGGGGGAAATTGGGATAAAAAAGGGAACCAGGATCAGCCTCGGCTGCACCTGCACCACGTGCCCGACTACCTGGGTATGAAATGGGCACAAAATGGGCACAGACGGGCACAAAATGGGCACAAAATGGGGAAAAAATGGGAATTTTGGGGGAAAATTGGGAAAAAATGGGGGAAATGGGGAAAAAATGGGGGAAATTGGGATAAAAACAGGAACTGGGATTAGCCTCAGCTGCACCTGCGTCATGTGCCCAACTACCTGGGTATGAAATGGGCACAAAATGGGCACAGACGGGCACAAAAACTGGAATTTTGGGAAAAAATGGGGAAAAATGGGAAAAAAATGGCACAGAATAGGGAAAAAATGGTCACAAAATGGGAAAAAATTGGCATTTTGGGGAAATTTGGGGAAAAAAAGGAGGAAAAAATTGAAATTTTGGGAAGAAAAGGGAAAAAATTTTGAAATTTTGGGGAAAAACTGGGTAAAAATGGGGAAAAAGTTGAAATTTTGTGGAAAAATAGGATAAAAAATGGAAATTTTGGTGGGGAAAGGGGTCAGCTGCACCTGTGCCATGTGCCCGAGTGCCTGGGTGCTGAGAGGGGCATGAAATGGGCAAAAATTGGGGAAAAAATCAGAATTTTGTTTAAAAATGGGGAAAAAAATTGAAATTTTAGGGGAAAAAAGGGGGGAAATTAAGGGAAAAATGGGGGAAATTTGGGTTTGGGGTTGGTTTTGGGGTACATGTGGGGTCAGGGTTGGTTTTAGGGGATTTTTGGGGGTGGTTTTGGGGTGATTTTGGGGTACATGTGGGGTCAGAGCTGCTTTTGGGGTGCCCCCAGTGCCCCCCAGCCTCCGCGGCGTCGCCGACCCCAACCCCAAAAAGAGAAAAAACCCCCGAGGGGCCGGAGCCAAACGGGGCAGCAACAAGGTGAGGGACCCCAAAACCCCCCCGAACCCCAAAAATCCCAAATGAATCCCCTAAAAACTCCCTCTGAACCCCAAATCTCCCCTGAACCCCAAAACCCCACAAAAACTCCCAAAAAATCCACAAATAATCCCACAAAATCCCCCCTGAACCCCAAATCCCCACAAAACTCCCAAAAATCCCCTAAATCCCCCAAATCCCCCTGAACCCCAAATCTCCCTAAACCCGAAATCCCCTTTGAATCCCAAAACCTCCCAAAAATCCCCAAAAAATCTGCAAATAATCTCCCAAAATCCCCCCTGAACCCCAAAACCCCCCCAAAATCCTAAAATAATCCCCTAAAATCCCCCTGAACCCCAAATCCCCTCTGAATCCCAAAACCCCCAAAATCCCCTCAAAAATCCCCCAAAAATCCCAAAAAATCTGCAAATAATCTCCCAAAATCCCCCCCAAACCCCCCAAAATCTCTCCTGACCCCCCCAAATCCCCCCCAAAATCCCATAAAATCCCTCCTGATTCCCCAAACCCCCCAAAAACCCCCCAAAAACCCCCCAACCCCCCCGACCCCCCCTGACCCCCTGTCCCGTTGCAGCCGCGCGGCTCCGGGAACCCCCTGCGGAGCTTCAGCTTCACCCGGCGCGGGCACCAGCGGGGCAAGGCTGGCACGGCCTGAGCCTGGCACACCTGGGCACACCTGGGCACACCTGGAACACCCCCTGAGCGTGGCACAGCTGGCACAGCTGGAGCACCTGGCACACCTGGCACAGCTGGAACAGCTGGAACACCACCTGAGTGGGGCACGGCCTGAGCCTGGCACAGCTGGCACACCTGGAACAGCTGGAACACCTGGCACAGCTGGCACCGCTGGAGCAACCCCTGAGGACCTGGGGCACGGACACCTGGCACAGCTGGCACAGCTGGGCACACCTGGAACACCCCCTGAGCCGGGCACGGCCTGAGCCTGGCACAGCTGGCACAGCTGGAACAGCTGGAACACCCCCTGAGTGTGGCACACCTGGCACAGCTGGCACACCTGGAGGCACGGGGAACCCCCCCGAGAACACCTGGGCACACCTGAGGATACCTGGGGGCAGCCCTGGGTACCCCTGGGCACCCCCTGTGCCACCCTGGGGACACCAGTGTCACCCCCTGTGCCAGCCTGGGACCACCCCTGACCCCCCCGTGCCACCCTGGGCACCCCTGTGTCACCTGTGCCACCCTGGGCACCCCCGTGTCACCCCCTGTGCCACCCTGGGGACCCCGGTGTCACCCCCCGTGCCAGCCAGGTGCCCCCCGTGCCCCCCCAGCGGTTGGTGACAAATAAAGGTGCCAAGTGTCCCCTGGTGTCCCCTGTGTGCCCGGGTGGGTGACGTTGGGGTGGGCAGAGGTGCCAGGGTGGCAGCACGAGGACACCCGAGGGTGGCACCGATGGCATCGGGGGGGTGGCACCCCTTGGGGACATGGGGGGAGGGGGAGGGTGGCACCGAGGGAGGGGACACCCGAGGGTGGCATCGGGGGGTTGGCACCACTGGGGGGGTGGCACCGATGGCATCAGGGGGGTGGCACCCCTTAGGGGGACACACGAGGGTGGCACCGGGACACACGAGTGGCACCGGGACAGACCTGGGTGGCATCGGGACACTCGAGGGTGGCACCGGGACACACGGGGGTGGCACTGCCCCATGGGGGTGGCACCGGGACACTCGAGGGTGGCACCGGGACACACGGGGGTGGCACTGGGACACACGAGGGTGGTACCGGAACACACGAGGGTGGCACTGCCCCATGGGGATGGCACTGGGACACACGAGGGTGGCACCGGGACACACGAGGGTGGCATTGCCCCATGGGGGTGGCACTGGGACACACGAGGGTGGCACTGCCCCGCCCCGCTGCCATCGGCGACGGGAGTGGCACCGATCGGGGTCCAAGGCCCTGAACCCGGCGGGCACCGGGGACAGAGGGCACCGGGTGGCACCGGGTGGCACCGCGGGGATGGCACCGGGGTGGCCCTGGCACGGCTGTGGGGGACACCAGGGCGTCACCCCTGGCACTGGCACTGCCATCCCGTGCCACCCTCCACTCCCGAATTCCCAAATCTGCACCCATGGGTGCCCCTTGATGCCATCCTGGTGCCACCCTTACCCCCCCCAAATCCCCAATGCCCCATTTGGTGCCACCCTGACCCCCCAATCCCCGTTTTCCCTCATTCCGGTGCCCACTGGTGCCACCCTGACCCCCCAATCTCCGTTGTCTCCCCATTTTGGTGCCACCCTGGTGCCACCTTCCCCCCCAGTTCCGCATTTTCTCCCCATTTTGGTGCCCCCGATGCCACCCCGACCCCCCATTTCCCCGTTCCCCCATCCCTGTGCCCATCGGTGCCACCCTGACCCCCCATTTCCCCGTTTTTCCCCCATTTCGGTGCCCGCCGCCGCCCGCAGGTGGCGGTGCCACCCCGTGCCCGGCGTGTGCCACCGGCGGTGCCCCCGATCGATCGATCGATGGGTTAATGATCGATCCGCGGCCGGCGCTGATTGGCCCCACGGCCGTGGTGCCAGCCGTGCCCTCCCCGCCTGGCACCGCGGCCCGGGGGGGGTTTAAAGGCGCTCCCGGTGCCCGGGGGCACCCCCGGCAGGATGGCACCCGGCCTGGCACTGCCCGCTGCCCTCCTGGCAGCGCTGCTGGCCCTGGTGAGGGACCGGGGCACCGGGGGGCACCGACTGGCACCGGGAGGGGCACCGGGGGGACACTGGGAGGGCACCGGGAGGGCACCGGGAGGGGCACTGGGAGGGCACCGGGTGGGGCACCGGGGTGCACCGGGAGGGGCACCGGGTGGCACCGGGAGGGGCACCGGGAGGGCACCGGGAGGGCACCGGGAGGGGCAGCGGGTGGCACCGATGGTGGCACCGGTGCGGTGCCCACCTGGTGGCATTTGGGAGGTGAGGGTGGCAACGTTCTGGTGCCCACCTGGTGGCATTTGGGTGGCACTCCGAAGGTTTGGGGATGGCAGAGCCAGGGTGGCACCAGGGCGGTGCCAATCGGGTGGCATTTGGGTGGCACCTGGGGGTTTGAGGGTGGCACTTGGGGGCACCATGGTGGTGCCCACCTGGTGGCATTTGGAGGGATTGGCGCTGGCATCAGGTGGGAGGACACTTCGGTGGTGCCCATCAGGTGCCACCTGGGTGGCATTTGGGTGGCATATGAGGTGACTGGGGGTGGCAGCGGTGTGGGGACACCCCCATAGTGCCCATCAGGTGCCACCTGGGTGGCATTTGAGATGACTGGGGGTGGCAGCGGTGTGGGGACACCTCGGTGGTGCCCATCAGGTGCCACCTGAGGTGACCACAGGAAACCTCCGCGCTGCCCACCGGGTGCCACCGGTGTGGAGGAGCCGAAGTTGGCACAACCGTACCGATAACCCCTCCTCGGTGCCCACCGTGTGCCCACCGTGTGCCCACAGGCATCACCATCGCTGACCCCGGTGCGCCAACGCGGCTTCTGCGCCTTCTACGGCGCGTGTGGGCACAACCCGGAGGTGAACGCGTCGCTGGTGCCCTCGGAGGTGCCCTGCCTGTCCAACACGCGGGCGCGGTTGGCATCGGGCGCTGTGCTGGCGCTGCTGCGCTCGGTGTGCCCGGAGCTGGCACGGGGGCAGAACGGGAGCGCCCGGGTGTGCTGCAGCCTGGCACAGCTCCACGCGCTGCGCCTCAGCGTGGGGCTGTCGGGGGCAGTGCTGGCACGGTGCCCGGCGTGTGCCCGCAACTTCGCCAACATCCACTGCCACAACATCTGCAGCCCCGATCAGAGCCTGTTTGCCAACGTCACCCGCGTGGGCACCCGCGTGGGCACCGATGCCCGCCCGGTGCTGCAGTACCAACTCTTCTACCGCCGCCGCTACGCCGAGGCCGCCTTCGCCTCGTGCCAGGGCGTGCGGCTGCCAGCCACGGGCGGCTATGCCATCTCCACCATGTGCGGCCGCTACGGTGCCCACCTCTGCAGTGCCCAGCGCTGGTTGGACTTCCAGGGCGACAAGAACAACGGGTTGGCACCGCTGCAGATCGACTTCCAGCTGGTGCCCGATGGTGTCGAGCCCGGCGAGGGCATCGCCCCGCTGGATGTGCCAGCCTGGCGCTGCGACCAAGCGCCCGATGAGGGGCAGGAGGCGTGTTCGTGCCAGGATTGTGCCCTGTCGTGCCCACCCGTGGTGCCACCCTCGGAGCCGCCGCCGCCTTTCCGCGTTGGCCGTGTTGATGGGGCGCTGCTGTTGGGCGCGCTGCTGTTTGCCAGCCTTGCCCTGGCATTCCTGTTGGCATCGCTGTGCCGAAAGGGCACCGGGCGGGCCGTGCTGCAGCCCGGTGGGCACCGGCGGAGGGTGGGCGAAGGTTGGCAGCGCCTGATGGAACGGGCGTTCCGCCGCTGGGGCGCGGCGGTGGCGGCGCGGCCGGTGCCAGTGCTGGCCTTGGCACTGCTGGCGGCCGGCGGGTTGGCAGCGGGGTTGGCACGGCTGCGGCTCACCACGGAGCCGGTGGAGCTGTGGTCGGCGCCTGGCAGCCGTGCCAGGCAGGAGAAGGAGTTCCACGACCGCCACTTCGGGCCTTTCCTGCGTACCAACCAAGTGATCGTGACGGTGCCCGGCCGCCCTGGCACCGCGTACCACTCGGTGCTGCTGGGCACCAAGAACTTCAGCGGCGTGTTGGCACCCGACGTGCTGCGGGCGCTGCTGGAGCTGCAGGAGGAGCTGGCGGGCACGGCGGCGTGGGCACCGGCCGCGGGCAGGAACGTGACGCTGCGCGACGTCTGCTATGCCCCCCTGAACCCTGGCACGCCTGGCACGGCCGACTGCGCCGTGTCCAGCGTCACGCAGTACTTCCAGAACAACCGCAGCCGCCTGGCACTGCGCGCCTGGCAGCAGGATGGCAAACCGCCGGGCACCGTGGATTGGCATGACCACCTCATCTACTGCGTCAAGTGGGTGCCAAGGCTTGGGTGCCCTTGGGGTGATGCCCAAGGGGTTCCAGACATGGCACCGTGCCCACGGAGTGCCCATTTGTGGGGTTGGGGTGATGCCCAAAGGGTTCCAGACATGGCACGGTGCCCATGGGGTGCCCACCGGTGGGGCTGGGTGATGCCCATGGGGTGCTGGACATGGCACAGTACCCGTGGGATTAGGGTGATGCCCAAGTGGTTCCAGACACGGCACGGTGCCCATGGGATTAGGGCATTCCAAGGGGTGCTGGACATGGCACAGTGCCCATGGGGTGCCCATTTGTGGGGTTGGGGGGATGCCCAAGGGGTTCCAGACATGGCACGGTACCCATGGGGTGCCCAGCTGTGGGGCTGATGCCCATGGCTGATGCCCACGGGTGATGCCCATGGGGCTCTGTTTATTATTAGGTGCCCGTGGGGTGCCCATTTGTGGGGTTGGGGTGATGCCCAAGTGGTTCCAGACATGGCACAGTGCCCACGGAGTGCCCATTTGTGGGGTTGGGGTGATGCCCAAGGGGTTCCAGACATGGCATGGTGCCCGTGGGGTGCCCATTTGTGGGGTTGTGGGGATGCCCAAGGGGTGCTGGACATGGCACGGTACCCATGGGGTGCCCGGCTGTGGGGCTGATGCCCATGGCTGATGCCCACGGGGCTCAGTTTATTATTAGGTGCCCGTGGTGTGCCCATTTGTGGGGTTGGGGTGTCCCAAGGGATGCCAGGCCGTGTCTGTGTGATGCCAGGACATGTCTTTGGGGTGCCAGGCCATGTCTGTGGGTGCCAGGCCGTGTCCCCCCAGGCCAGCCGAGGTGCCAGGCGGGCACAGCCGGGCACAGGTTGGCACGGTTGGTGATGCCCGCCTTGCCGTGCCCGCAGCTCGCCGCTGTCGTTCAAGGACATCACGGCGCTGGAGTTGAGCTGCATGGCCGAGTACGGGGGGCCCGTGTTCCCCTACATCGCCCTGGGCGGATACCCGGGTACGGGCACCGCGGGCACCGCAGTGTCACCTCCCTGTCACCCCCATGTCACCCTGATGTCACCTCCATGTCGCCCCCGTGTCCCCATGCTATGGGCACCATGGGCACCGTGTGGGCACCGTGGTGTGACCCCCATGGCATCTCCCTGTCACCCCCATATCACCCTGATGTCACCTCTCTGTCACCTCCATGTCACCCCCGTGTCCCCATGGTGCGGGCACCGCGGGCACCGTGTGGGCACCGCCGGCACCACAGTGTCACCCCAATGTCCCCTCCGTGTCCCCACGGTGTAACCGCGGTGTCCCTGTGGTGTCCCCGCAATGTCCCTCTGGTGTCCCCTTGGTGTCCCCACCACGTCCCCACCACGTCCCACCATGTCCCCGCAGTGTCCCTGCCATGTCCCCACCATGTCCCCAATATGCCTCCGTGTTTTCACCGTGCTGTCCCTGCGGTGTCCCCGTGGTGTCCCCACCATGTCCCCACCCTGTCCCCTCCATGTCCCCACCATGTTCCCAATATGTCTCCGTGTTTTCACTGCGGTGTCCCCACCATGTCCCACCCCACTGTGTCCCCAATATATCCCCACCATGTCCCCGTGCCATGTCCCCAATAGGTCCCCATAACGTCCCCACCATGTCCCCACCATCTCCCCAGTATGTCCCTATGTTTTCACCACACTGTCCCCGCGCTGTCCCCCCCCTGTCCCCGTGTCCCCATGTCCCCCTGTCCCCATGTCCCGGTGTCCCCATGTCCCCGTGTCCCCATGTCCCCATGTCCCCGTGTCCCCATGTCCCGGTGTCCCGGTGTGTCCCCAGGCTCGGAGTACACGGAGGCGCGCGCTCTCATTGTCACCTACTCTCTGAACAATTTCCCGGCGGGGGACCCGCGCTTGGAGTGGGCGCTGAGCTGGGAGCGGCGCTTCCTGGAGGTGCTGCGCGACTTCCAGAGCCGCCACCGCCACCTGCGGGTGGCCTTCATGGCCGAGGTGTCCCCTCTGTCCCCCGTGTCCCCGAAGTGTCCCCGGGGTGTCCCCTCTGTCCCGGGGTGTTCCCTCCGTGTCCCCTCTGTGTCTCTGTGTGAGCCCCATGTCCCTTCTGTGTCCCCTCTGTGACCCCCCCGTGTTCTCTGTGTCCCCTCTCTGTCCCCGAGGTGTCCCCTGTGTCCCCTCCGTGTCCCCTCTCTGTCCCCTGTGCCCCCGGTGCCCCCCGTGTCCCCATTCTCCTTCCATGTCCCCTTGTCCACTGTGCCCCCGGTGCCCCCCGTGCCCCTGTGCTGCTTCTATGTCCCCATGCCCCCCTTGTCCCTGGAACCCACCGTGCCCACTCTGTGTCCCCATACCCCCATACCCCCCGTGCCCCCCATACCCCCATACCCCCATACCCCCCGTGCCCCCCGTGCCCCCCGTGCCCCCCATACCCCCATACCCCCATACCCCCATACCCCCATACCCCCATACCCCCCGTGCCCCCCGTGCCCCCCATACCCCCATACCCCCATACCCCCATACCCCCCATACCCCCATACCCCCATACCCCCCATACCCCCCGTGCCCCCCATACCCCCATACCCCCATACCTCCATACCTCCATACCCCCATACCCCCCATGCCCTCTGTTCCCCCCATACCCCCCGTGCCCCCCGTGCCCCCGTGCCCCCCGTGCCCCCTGACCCTGCCCGTGCCCAGCGCTCCCTGGAGGACGAGCTGGCCCGCACGGCCGCGCAGGACGTGCCGCTGTTCGCTGCCAGTTACCTGCTGGTGCTGCTCTACATCGCCCTGGCACTGGGCGAGGGCACGGCCTGGCACAGGCTGCTGGTGAGCCGGGCACGGGCACGGGGCATGGGGGGAACGGGGGGCACGGGGGGCACAGGGATGGCACAGGGACATGGTGAGTCCCAGGGGGTCGGTCTGGGGAGGGTTCTGGGCGGTTCGGGGGTGCCAATCCGGGGGTGCCAATCCGGGGGTGCCAATCCAGGGGTGCTGACCCGGGGGTGCCAATCTGGGGGTGCCAATTCAGGGGTGCCAATCCGGGGGTGCCAATCCGGGGGTCTCGGGGGTGCCAATCCCGGTTGCTGACCCGGGGGTGCCAATCCGGAGGGTCTCGGGGGTGCCAATCCCCGGTTGCTGACCCGGGGGTGCCAATCTGGGGGTGCCAATCCGGGGGGTTTGGGGGTGCCAATCCCGGGTTACTGACCCGGGGGTGCCAATCCGGGGATGCCAATCCCGGGTTGCTGACCCGGGGGTGCCAATCCGGGGGATTCGGGGGTGCCAATCCGGGGGTGCCAATCCGGGGGTGCCAATCCGGGGGTTCGGGGGTGCCAATCCGGGGGTGCCAATCGGGGGGTGCTTACACGGGGGTGCCAATCCGGGTTGCCAATCCGGGGGTGCCAATCCGGGGGTCTCGGGGGTGCCGATCCCCGGTTGCTGACCCGGGGGTGCCACGCCGGGGGTCTCGGGGGTGCCAATCCGGTTGCTGACCCGGGGGTGCCAATCCGGGGGGTTCGGGGGTGCCAATTCCCGGTTGCTGACCCGGGGGTGCCAACCCGGGGTGGCGCAGGTGGAGTCGAAGGTGACGCTGGCACTGGGTGGCATCGCCGTGGTGCTGGGGGCCGTGCTGGCCGCCATGGGGCTGTTGGCACTGCTGGGGGTGCCCTCCTCCCTCATCATCATCGAGGTGGTGCCATTCCTCGTGCTGGCCGTGGGCGCCGACAACATCTTCATCTTCGTGCAGGAGCTGCAGGTGGGCACCGGGCACCGGGGGGCAAGGGGGGCACCGGGGGGCACCGGGGGGCAATGGGGCACTGGGGGGCAATGGGGGCACCAGGGCATAGGGGGAACCGGGGGCAATGGGGGCACTGAGGGATGGGGGGCACTGGAGGATCTGGGGGGCACTGGGGGTACCCGGGGGGCACTGGGGGCACTGGGGGGCACTGAGGGATGGGGGGCACTGGGGGACACTGGGGGAACTGGGTGGCATCGGGGGGCAATGGGGGCACCGGGGGATGGGGGGCACTGGGGGGCACTGAGGGATGGGGGGCACTGAGGGATGGGGGGCACTGGGGGCACTGGGGGGCACTGGGGGGGGACTGGGGGGGGACTGGGGGCACCGGGGGCACCGGGAGAACCGCGGAAACCGGGGGAACCGGAGGGCAATGGGGCACCGGGGGCACCGGGGGGCACTGAGAGATGGGGGGCACCGGGGGGCACCGGGGGATGGAGGTGGCACCGCGACACGGGTGACTTGGGGGACGTGGGGGGGGCGTAGGGGGCACAGGGTGGGCACAGGGCGCCCGGGGGTGCCCCCTCGATCCGGGGGTGCCCCTGGGTGTCTGGGGGTGCCCCTGGGTGCCCCCTCGGTCCGGGGGTGCCCCCGGTGCCCCTGACCCCCCCCCTGGCAGCAGCAGTCGCCGCGGGAACCGGGCGAGACGCGGGAGCAGCAGGTGGGGCGGGTGTTGGCACGGGTGGCACCGAGCATGGTGCTCTGCAGCCTCTCCGAGACCCTCTGCTTCCTGCTGGGTGCGCGGGCACGGGGGGCACGGGGGGCACGGGGGCACGGGGGGCACGGGGGGCATGGGGGGCACGGGGGGCACGGGGGGCACGGGGGGCATGGGGGGCACGGCGGGCACGGGGGGCACGGGGGGCATCGGGGGGCACGGGGGACATGGGGGGGGTCAGGGGCATCGGGGGCATCGGGGGGCACGGAGGGCATGGGGGGCACTGGGGGACCGGGGGCACAGAGGGCACCGGAGGATGGAGGTGGCACAGGGACATGGGGGGCATCGGGGGGCACAGGGGGGCACGGGGGGCATGTCCGGCGTCCGGAGGGTGTGCCCAGGGGTGTCCGGTGCCCCGGGGGGTGCCCAGGGGGTGCCCGGGGGTCCCTGCTGACCCGGGGGGTGCCCAGGGGTGCCAGGGGGTCCCTGCTGACCCGGGGGGTGCCCAGGGGGTGCCCAGGGGGTGCCAGGGGGTCCCTGCTGACCCGGGGGGTGCCAGGGGGTGCCAGGGGGTGCCCGGGTGTCCCTGCTGACCCGCGGTGCCCGGTGCCGCAGGTGCCCTCTCCTCCATGCCAGCCGTGCGCACCTTCGCCCTGACGGCCGCGCTGGCGGTGGCACTGGACCTGGCACTGCAGCTCTCGGCCTTCGTGGCACTGGTGGCACTGGACAGCCGCAGGCAGGAGGTGGCACCGCGGGCACCGCGGGCCGGGGCACCGGGAGGGTCCCCAGGGTGGGCACGGGGTGGGTGAGAGGACCCCAGGGTGGGCACGGGGACCTCAGGGTGGGCACGGGGACCTCAGGGTGGGCACGGGGTGGGTGAGACATCCCCAGGATGGGTGTGAGGATGCCCAGGGTGGGTACGGGGCAGGTGAGAGGACCCCAGGGTGGGCACGGAGTGGGTGAGGGTCCCCAGGGTGGGTGAGGGTCCCCAGGCCTTGCCCAGGGTGGGCACAGGGACCCCAGGGTGGGCACGGGGTGGGTGAGAGGACCTCAGGGTGGGTATGAGGATGCCCACGGTGGACACAGGGTGCCCATGAACCCACCAGGGTGGGTGAGGGTCCCCAGGGTGGGCACAGGGACCCCAGGGTGGGCACGGGGCAGGTGAGAGGACCCCAAAATGGGTGAGGGTCCCCAGGCCGTGCCAACCCCCACCCCCCGTGCCCCCCTGCCAGGCCGGGCGCTTCGATCTGTGCTGCTGCTGCGGGACGGGCAAGGGGGGCACGGCCGGGGTGGGCACGGGGCTGCTGCGCCCCCTCCTCGAGCGCTACTACACCCCCGTGCTGCTGCACCCCCTGGTGCGGCCCGCCGTGGTGAGGGCACGGGGGCACCGCGGGCATGGGGGGCATGGGGGGCATTGGGGGCACTGGGGGCATTGGGGGCATGGGGGGCTTTGGGGGATTGGGGGGCACAGGGGGCACCGGGGGCATGGGGGGCATTGGGGGCATTGGGGGCACGGGGGGCATGGGGGGGCACGGGGGGCATTGGGGAATTGGGGGCACGGGGGGAATTGGGGGATTGGGGCACTGGGGGCACCGGGGGTACGGGGGGCATTGGGGGAACTGGGGGCATTGGGGAATTGGGGCACTGGAGTTTGGGGTTTCGGGATTCGGTAGTTTGGGATTTTGGGGTGCAGAGGTTTGGGTTTCAGGGGGTTTGGGGTCCGTGGGGTTTGGGTTTTGGGGTCCGGGGATTTTGGGTTCTGGGGTTTTGGGGTTCAGTGGGTTTGGGTTTCGGGGGTTCGGGGAGTGTCGGATCTGGGGGGTTTTGGGGTTTGGGGTTTGGGGTTTGGGGTTTTGGTTTTTGGGGTTTGGGGGTTTTGGGGTTCGGGGATTTTGGGGTTCAGGGTTTTGGGTTTGGGATTTTGGGGTTCAGGGTTTTGGGGTTCGGGATTTTGGGGTTCGGGGTTTTGGGGTTCGCTCCGAGCACTGCCCCTGCCCAGGTGCTGCTGTTCCTGTTCATGGCCTGCTCCGGCCTCTTCCTGCTCTTCCACGTGTCCGTGGGGCTGGACCAGGAGCTGGCACTGCCCGAGGTGGGCACCGCGCCCGGGCACCGCGGGCACCGCGGGGACAGCGGGGACATGATGGGGAGTGTGACATGGGGACACGGGAATGTGACACGGCCCTAATGGGGACACACAGGGATGGTGGGACCCCTTTGGGACCTCTTTGGGACCCCTCTGGAACCCCTCTGAGACCTCCTTGGGACGCATTGGGTGCCCACCATGGTGGTCCTTAGATGACCATTGGATGCCCATTGGGTGTCCTCTGGGTGCCCATTGGGTGCCCATTGGGTGCCCATTGATCGACCACTGGGTATCCATTGGATGCCCATTGAATGCCCATTGAATGACCACTGGGTGCCCATTGATCAACCATTGGGTGTCCATTGGGAGCCCATTGATTGATCATTGGGTGTCCATTGATTGACCATTGGGTGTCCATTGATTAACCATTGGGTGTCCATTGATTGACCATTGGGTGCCCATTGGGTGTCCATTGAATGACCACTGGGTGCCCATTGATCAACCATTGGGTGTCCATTGGGAGCCCATTGATTGATCATTGGGTGCCCATTGAATGACCACTGGGTGCCCATTGATCGACCATTGGGTGTCCATTGTCCATTGTCCATTGGGCGCCCACTGGAACCCCTTTGGGCCCCCTCTGGACCCCCCTGGGCCCCTCTGGGGCGCCCGTGGGTGCCACCGCTGATGCCCGCTGTGCCCAGGACTCGTACCTGCTCCCGTACTTCTCGGCGCTGAACCAGTACCTGGCCGTGGGTGTCCCCACCTACTTCGTCACCACGGGCGGCTACAACTTCTCCTCGGAGAGCGGCACCAACGCCATCTGCTCCAGCGCCGGCTGCGACGCCGACTCGCTGACCCAGACCATCCAGCTGGCCACGCGCTTCCCCAACGCGTGAGTGACCACCCGTGCCCACGCCCGCGGTGCCCGGCCCGGCCGTGCCGCCCGGTGCCAGCCCCGTGTCCCCCGTGCCAGGTCCTACCTGGCCATCCCGGCCACCTCGTGGGTGGACGATTTCCTGGACTGGCTGAACCCCATGGCGCGCTGCTGCCGCGTGCACCAGAGCGGGGAGCACAAGGGCGACTTCTGCCCCTCCACCAGCAGTGAGTGCGCGGCACGGGCACGGCGGCCGCTGTGGTGGCCACGGGGTGCCCACCGTGGTGGCCTTTGGGTGCTCACCGTGGTGGCCTTTGGGTGCTCAGCATGGTGGTTGTTGGGTGGCCACTGGGTGCCCACCATGGTGGCCTTTGGGCGCCCACCATGGTAGTTGTTGGGTGGCCACTGGGTGCCCACCATGGTGGTCCTTAGATGTACATTGAGTGTCCACCATGGTGGCCATTGGGTGCTCAGCATGGTGGCTGTTGGGTGGCCATTGGGTGCCCACCATGGTGGTTGTTGGGTGGCCACTGGGTGCCCACCATGGTGGCCTTTGGGTGCTCACCGTGGTGGTTGTTGGGTGGCCACTGGGTGCCCACCATGGTGGTCCTTAGATGTACATTGAGTGTCCACCACCGTGGCCATTGGGTGCCCACCATGGTGGCTGTTGGGTGGCCACTGGGTGGCCACTGTGGTGGCCTTTGGGTGCTCAGCATGGTGGTTGTTGGGTGGCCACTGGGTGCCTACCATGGTGGTCCTTAGATGTACATTGAGTGTCCACCATGGTGGCCATTGGGTGCCCACCATGGTGGCTGTTGGGTGGCCATTGGGTGCCCACCATGGTGGCTGTTGGGTGGCCATTGGGTGCTCAGCATGGTGGCTGTTGGGTGGCCATTAGGTGCCCACCATGATGACTGTTGGATGGCCATTGGGTGCCTACCATGGTGGCTTTTGGGTGGCCATTGGGTGCCCACCATCTTGATCCTGAGGTGTACATTGAGTGTCCACCACCGTGGCCATTGGGTGCCCACCATGGTGGCTGTTGGGTGGCCATTGGGTGCCCACCATCTTGGTCCTTAGGTGTACGTTGAGTGTCCACCACCATGGCCGTTGGGTGCCTACTGAATGCCCATTGCGTGCCCACCACAGTGGCCATTGGTTACTCATTGGGTGCCCATTGGGTGCCCACTGGGTGTCAATTGAGTGACCATTGGTTGTCCTTTGGGTGCCAATTGAATGACCACTGGGTGCCCATTGATCGACCATTGGGTGTCCATTGGGTGTCCATTGGGTGCCCATTGGGCATCCACTGGTCGCCCATTGCTCGCCCACCATGACGCCCATTGGGTACCAACTGTGACGACCACCGTGTGCCCGTTTGCTGCCCACTGGCCACCACGCGCCCTCTGTGTGCCCCCACGGCGCCCGGCGGTGCCCGGCGGTGCCCGGCGGTGCCCGGTGGCCGCGCTGACGCCGCGCGTGCCCGCAGGCGACCCCAGCTGCGCCTTCGGGCAGTGCGTGAAGGCCGTGCGGCGCCCCACGCCCGACGAGTTCCAGCGGTTCCTGCCCTGGTTCCTGCAGGACCGGCCCACCCTGCAGTGCCCCAAGGGGTGAGTGGCACCGGGGTGGCACCGGGGTGGCACCGGGGTGATGCGGCACAGGGGGAAATGCCACCCGAGTGAGGGCACACAGAGGTGGTGCCGCTGTGGAGACATCTTGGGGGGTTGGTGCTTGTGGGGACGCTGAGGAGAAGGTGGGACCAGCCAAGGGCACACCCAGGGGTGGGTGGCACCTGTGGGGACACCTTCTGGAGGTAATGCCACCACTGGGACACACCCAGGAGGAGGTGGCACCTGTGGTGGCACCCAGGGGTTGGTGGCACCCACCAGGGTGGTGACACCCAGGGACATGAACAGCAGCGTGGGCACTGCCGGGATGTGCCCTCAGTGTCCCCAGGTGTCCTTTGGGTGTCCCCAGGTGTCCCTTGGGTGTCCCCTCAGTGTCCCCAGGTGTCCCTTGGGTGTCCCCTGACTGTCCCCGCTGTCCCTGCAGTGGCCTGGGCGCCTACGACACGGCCGTGAGCATGGACAGCAATGGCACCATCCTGGGTGAGTGACCCTGAGTGACCCTGAGTGACCCCTGAGTGACCCTGAGTGACCCCTGAGTGACCAATGAGTGACCACTGAGTGACCAATGAGTGACCACTGAGTGACCCTGAGTGACCACTGCCCCTGAGTGACCACTGCCCTGGCAGTGCCCGCTGCCCCCAAAGTGCCCACTGCCCCTGAGTGACCATTTCCCCCGTGGTGCCCACTGCCCCTGGGGGCCCACTGCCCCTGAGTGACCTCTACTCCAAGAGTGCCCACTGCCCTGGCAGTGCCCACTGCCCCCAAAGTGACCTGTACTCCAAGAGTGCCCGCTGCTCTCATGGTGCCCACTGCCCCGTGGTGCCCACTGCCCCCAAAGTGCCCACTGCCCCTGAGTGCCCACTGCCCCCTGGGTGCCCACTGCCCCCAAAGTGCCCACTGCCCCTGAGTGACCACTGCTCCAGCAGTTCCCATTGCCCCAGCATTGCCCACTGCTCCAGCAGTTCCCATTGCCCCAGCATTGCCCACTGCCCCAGCATTGCCCAGTGCCCCAGCAGTGCCCAGTGCCCCAGCAATTCCCACTGCCCCTGGGTGCCCGCTGCCCCGGCGGTGCCCGCGGTGCCCGCGGTGCCCAGGGTGACCGCCGCCGTGCCCGCAGCCACGCGTTTCATGGCGTACCAGCGGCCGCTGCGCACATCCCAGGAGTACACGGCCGCCCTGCGCGCTGCCCGCGCCCTGGCACAGCGCATCACGGGCACCCTGCGCGCCGTGCCCGGCACCGACCCCGACTTCCGCGTCTTCCCCTACACGTGAGTGGCACTGCCACCCGCGGGCACCGCCACGCGCGGGGGGACCCGCTGGGGGCACCGGGGGTGCCCGCTGAGGGGTGCCCAGGGAGCGGTGCCCAGGCTGGGTGCCCGCTCTGGGGGCTGGGGATGCCCCGATGCCCCTTTTGGGGGTCTCAAGGGGGTGCCCAGGTCAGAGTGCCCATCCCGGGGTGCCCCGGTGCCACTTTTGGGGGTCACAAAGGGGTGCCCAGTCAGCTCTGGGGGGCTGGGGATGCCCCGATGCCCCTGTTGGGGGGGCACTAGTGGGTGCCCAGGTCAGGGCTTAGAGGGGTCCCAACTCAGAGGTGCCCAGGTAAGGGGTGTCAACACCAGGGTGCCCAGTGCCCAATTGGGGGTGCCCAGTGCCCATACCATTGTATCCAGTGCCCATTTTGGAGCACCCAGTGCCCATATCAGGGGTCCCGGTGCCCATTTTGGGGTGCCCAGGGCCCATATCACAATACCCGGTGCCCATATCACGGTGGCCAGTGCCCATATCAGGGGTTCCGGTGCCCATTTTGGAGCGCCCAGTGCCCATTTCGGGGTCCCGGTGCCCATTTTGGAGCGCCCAGTGCCCATTTTGGGGTGCCCAGTGCCCATTTTGGAGTGGCCAGTGCCCATTTCGGGGTGCCCAGTGCTCATATCAGGGGTCCCGGTGCTCATTTTGGAGCGCCCAGTGCCCATTTTGGGGTTCCGGTGCCCATTTTGGAGCACCCAGTGCCCATTTTGGAGCACCCAGTGCCCATTTTGGGGCGTCCAGTGCCCATATCACAATACCCGGTGCCCATATCACGGTGCCCAGTGCCCATTTTGGAGCGCCCAGTGCCCATTTTGGGGTCCCGGTGCCCATTTTGGAGCACCCAGTGCCCATTTCGGGGTGCCCAGTGCCCATATCAGAGGTTCCGGTGCCCATTTTGGAGCACCCAGTGCCCATTTTGGGGTGTCGGTGCCCATATCACGGTGCCCAGTGCCCATTTTGGGGTCCCGGTGTCCATTTTGGAGCGCCTAGTGCCCATATCAGGGTGCCCAGTGCCCATTTTGGAGTGCCCAGTGCCCATTTTGGGGTCCCAGTGTCCATTTTGGGGTCCCGGTTCCCATCTCAGGGTGCCCAGTGCCGCAGCGGTGCCAGCGCGGTGCCAACGCGTGCCACCCGCAGGGTGACGTACGTGTACTACGAGCAGTACCTGACGGTGGTGTACGAGGGGCTGGTGACGCTGGCACTGTGCCTGGTGCCCACCTTCGCCGTGTCCTTCCTGCTGCTGGGCATGGATGCCCGCTCCAGCCTGGCCACGCTGCTGACCATCGCCATGGTGCTGCTGGGCACCGTGGGCTGCATGGCGCTCTGGGCAGTGCCCTACAACGCCGTGGCGCTCATCAACCTGGTGGCGGTGCGGGCACGGCGGGCACAGGGGGTGGCACGGGGACACAGGGACGTGGGGGGACACGGGGTGGCACAGGGACACGGGGACGTGGGGGGACATGGGGTGGCACAGGGATGTGGGGCACGTGGGGCACACTGAGTGGCACAGGGACACGGGGCATGTTGGGTGGCACGGGGATGTGAGGCACATGGGGCACACAGGCTGGCACAGGGACATGGGGCACGTGGGGCACACTGAGTGGCACGGGGACATGGGGCAGGTTTGTGGCACGGGGATGTGGGGCACATGGGGCACACTGAGTGGCACAGGGACATGGGGCGCTCTGGGTGGCACAGGGACACGGGGCAGGTTGGGTGGCACAGGGACATGGGGCACGTGGGGCACACTGAGTGGCACAGGGACGTGGGGCACAGGAGATGGCACAGGGACGTGGGGCATGTGGGGTGGCACAGGGACGTGGGGCACAGGAGATGGCACAGGGACATGGGGCATGTGGGGTGGCACTGGGCACGTGAGGTGGGACACGGGGAGGCTTTGGGGACACAGGAGGTGGCAGCAGGAGCTGGGGCACACAGGGTGGCACAGGGGGGTGGCTCTGGGGGTGGCTCGGGTGGCACAGGGTGACTCGGGCAGCTCCGGGGGTGGCTCTGGGGGTGGCACGGCGGTGCCCGGGTGACCGCCCGGTGCCCCGCAGGCCGTTGGCATCTCGGTGGAGTTCGTGTCCCACATCACCTGCGCCTTCGCCCGCAGCCGCCAGCCCACGCAGGTGGCACGGGCCAAGGAGGCCACTGTCACCATGGGCAGCAAGGTGGGCACGGGGGGCACCGCGGGACCCCAAAGCCCAAAGCCCAAACCCGCCTGGGCTGGGGTGGCACCGTGGGACCTCCTCGGCGTGTCCCCGCTGTCCCTCGGGGGGTGTCACCGCTGTCCCGCTGTCCCTCGGGGGTGTCCCCGCTGTCCCTCGGGGGTGTCACCGCTGTCCCTCGGGGGGTGTCCCCGCTGTCCCGCTGTCCCTCGGGCGGTGTCCCGCTGTCCCCGCTGTCCCGCTGTCCCTCGGGGGGTGTCCCCGCTGTCCCGCTGTCACCGCTGTCCCTCGGGGGTGTCCCGCTGTCCCTCGGGGGTGTCCCGCTGTCCCTCGGGGGTGTCACCGCTGTCCCGCTGTCGCGCAGGTGGTGGCGGGGGTGGCCATGACCAACCTGCCGGGGGTGGCCGTGTTGGCCTTCGCCAAGGCGCGCCTGGTGCGGATCTTCTTCTTCCGCCTCAACCTCATCGTCACCCTGCTGGGGCTGGCACACGGGCTGGCATTCCTGCCCGTGCTGCTCAGCTACCTGGGTACGGCGGGCACCGCGACAGGGACAGGGCGGGCACCGCGACAGGGCGGGCACCGGGCGGGCACCGGGCGGCACCGGGCGGGCTGGCACCGCGGGGATGGGGACAGGGACAGGGACAGGGACAGGGTGGCACTGCGGCACCGCGGGGACGGGGACAGGGGCACGGTGGGGATGGGGACAGCGACAGGGGCAGGGTGGCACCGCGGGGACGGGGACAGGGACAGAGACAGGGTGGCACCGTGGCACCGCGGGGACGGGGACAGGGACACGGCGGGGATGGGGACAGGGTGGCACTGTGGCACCGCGGGAACAGGGACAGGGACAGGGTGGCACTGTGGCATCCCGGGGACAGCAACAAGGGCACGGCGGAGATGGGGACAGGGACAGGGTGGCACTGTGGCACCTCTGGGAGAGGGACAGGGATGGGGTGGCACTGTGGCACCGTGGGAACAGGGACAGGGACACGGCGGGGATGGGGACAGGGACAGGGACAGGGTGGCACTGTGGCACACCGGGGACAGGGACAGGGGCATGGCGGGGACGGGGACAGGAATAGGGTGGCACTGTGTCACCTCTGGGATAGCGACAGGGACAGGGACTGTGTGGCACTGTGTCACCTCTGGGATAGGGACAGTCACAGGGAGAGGGGCACCGCGGGCACAGGGACAGGGTGGCACTGTGTCACCTCTGGGACAGAGACAGGGACAGGGACAGTGTGGCACTGTGTCACCTCTGGGATAGGGACAGGGGCACTGTGGGTACGGGGACAGGAACGGTGTGTCAGTGTCACCTTTGGGACAGCAACAGGGACAGTGTGGCACTGTGTCACCTCTGGGACAGGGACAGGCACAGGGACAGTGACACCATCCCCACTGTCCCCACAGGGCCCAAGCCGCAGGTGCCAGCCGGGGAGGACACGCCGGGGGACACCGTGCAGGGGACAGCGCTGGGCCTGCACAACCCCCACTTTGGGGACAAGGACAAGGACCAGGACAAGGACAAGGACCAGGACAGGGACAGGGACAGGGACAGGGACAAGAACAGGGACAAGGACAAGGACAAGTAAAAGTAAAAGGACAGGGACAGGGACAAGGACAAGGACAGGGACAGAGACAAGGACAGGGACAAGTAAAAGGACAGGGACAAGGACAGGGACAGGGACAGGGACAAGGACAGGGACGGGGACAAGGACAAGTAAAAGGACAGGGACAAGGACAAGGACAGGGACAAGGACCAGGACAAGGACAAGGACAGGGACAAGGACAGGGACAGGGACAAGGACAAGGACAGGGACAAGGACCAGGACAAGGACAAGGACAAGGACAGGGACAGGGACAAGGACCTGGACAGGGACAGGGACAAGTAAAAGGACAGGGACAAGGACAGGGACAAGATGTCCGGGAAGGGCTGAGCCCCCCTGTCCCCCCCGTGCCCCTCCCCCCCCTCTATTTAAACTGGTTTTGTCACAGTCTGGACTGGTCGGACTGGGATGGATTGGGGGGGGGGCGGGAGGTACTGCGCCGTGGGGCCCAAATGTCACCGGGGTTGGGGACATGGGACAGCAGCTGGGGCACAGGGACATGTGGGGACACGTGGGGACACTGTGGGGCACAGGGACACTCTGGGGACAGGATTTGGGACACAGGGCCATGTGGGGGCACAGGGACTTCATGGCCATTTATAGGGAATTCCTTTAGGGCCGTTTATAGGAAATTCCTTTAGAGCCATTTATGGGACATTCCTTTAGGGCCATTTATGGGTTAATTCCCAGCCCTATAGACACTTGTAGGGCACAGGGGGGATACCCCAGACCATTCCTTTAGGATCATTTATTTATGGGTTTATTCCCAGCCCTAGAGGTACTTGTAGGGAACACTGAGGGTAACCCAGAGCACCTTTAGGGCCGTTTATGGGGCATTATTTTAGGGCCATTTCTAGGTTAATTCCCAGCCCTAGAGGTACTTGTAGGGCACACCGAGGATACCCCAGAGCACCTTTAGGGCCGTTTATGGGGCATTATTTTAGGGCCATTTCTGGGTTAATTCCCAGCCCTAGAGGTACTTGTAGGGCACGCGGGCGGGCACGGTCTGCAGCTCCAGGCGCACGGGGCACTTGTAGAAGGTGCCCAGCAGGGTCTCGGCGTAGCCCAGCAGGAAGTAGAGCTTGTGGGGTGGCAGTGCCCGGCCCAGCAGGGCACACACCACCAGCAGGTTCCCGCGGCGCTTCAGCACCGCCTCGTCCGCCAGGAGCCCCGGGAAGGTCCCGGCCAGGAACCGCCGCAGGAACGCGTCCTCCAGCGCCCGCTGCGCCGCGCCCGCCTCGCCACGCAGGTTACCTGGGGGCACAGAGGGGTGGCACAGATGGCATTGGGTCACCCTCTGCCCTGCTGCGCCGCGCCCGCCTCGCCACGCAGGTTACCTGGGGGCACAGAGAGGGGCACAGCTGGCACTGGGTCACCCCCACCCCGCCTCGCCACACAGGTTCCCTGAGGGGACAGAGAGGGGCACAGATGGCACAGCTGGCACAGCTGGCATTGGGTCACCTCCCACCCCACTGTGCCACGCCCGCCTCGCCACGCAGGTTACCTGGGGCACAGAGGGGTGGCACAGCTGGCATTGGGTCACCCTCTGCCCCGCTGTGCCACACAGGCTCCCTGAGGGGACACACGGGTGGCACAGCTGGCACAGGGTCACCCCCCGCCCCGCTGTGCCACACAGGTTCCCTGGGGGGACAGAGGGGTGGCACAGCTGGCATTGGGTCACTCCCCACCCCGCCTTGCTGCACAGGTTACCTGGGGGGACAGAGGGGTGGCACAGCTGGCATTGGGTCACCCTCTGCCTCGCTGTGCCATGCCTGCCTCGCCACACAGGTTCCCTGAGGGGACAGAGGGGTGGCACAGCTGGCATTGGGTCACTCCCACCCCACCTCGCCACACAGGTTCCCTGAGGGGACACACGGGTGGCACAGCTGGCACAGCTGGCATTGGGTCACCCTCTGCCCCGCTGTGCTACACCTGCCTGGCCACACAGGTTCCCTGAGGGGACACACGGGTGGCACAGGTGGCATTGGTGGCACTGGTGACCACCTGCTGTGCCGCACCCGCCTGGCCACACAGGTTCCTTGAGGGGACAGAGGGGTGGTGGCAATGGTGGCACCACCTGTCCCCTCTGTCCCACCATGTCCCTCTTCCCCCTGTCCCAATGCCCATATGCCCCTTGTCCCCCATGCCCATGTGCCCCATGTCCCTGCTGTCCCCCGTGTCCCCAGTGTCACCCAGCGGTGTGCAGGGACAGCCAGCCCGTGTCCCCCGTGTCCCCAGTGTCACCCAGCGGTGTGCAGGGACAGCCAGCCCGTGTCCCCAGTGTCACCCACCGGTGTGCAGGGACAGCCAGCCCTTGCGGTGCCCGATGTGATGGGGTGCGTGCGCCTGCTCGTAGGTCACCGCCTTGTCCCCTTTGCCCGCGCGCACCCGCGCCGCCCGCGCCTGTGGGGACAGGGATGGTGGGACAGGGACACGGACAGGGACAGGGGACAGGGGACATGGACAGGGGACAGGGGACAGGGACAGGGGACAGGGGATAGGGAGAGGGGACAGGGGCAGTGGGGACAGGGATAGTGGGGACAGTGGACACAAGGACATTGGGGACAGGGGACATTGGGGACAGCAGTCAGGAGACAGTGGCAGCAGTGGGGACAGGGCACAGGGGACAGTGGGGACAAGAGACAGCAGGGTCAGGGACATCGTGGGGGACACTGGGGACAGGGAACAGTGGGGACAGGGGGACAGGGGACACAGGGACACAGGGACACGGGGACAGTGGGGACAGGGGACACGGGGACACAGGGACACGGGGACAGGGGGACAGTGGACACAGGGACACGGGGACAGGGGACACGGGGACAGGGGACACAGGGGACACAGGGACAGGGGACACTCACCTTGAGGCACACGGGGACAGGGGACACAGGGAACACAGGGGACACAGGGGACAGTGGGGACAGGGGACAGGGGACACGGGGGGACAGTGGGAACAGGGGGACAGGGGACACGGGGACAGTGGGGACAGGGGACACGGGGACAGTGGGGACACAGGGGACAGAGGGACATGGGGACAGGGGACACTCACCTTGAGGCACACGGGGCTGCAGTGGAGCTGCCGGGCGGCGCTGGGGACACTGAGGGCCCGGGGCAGGCCCTGCAAGGGGACAGGGACAGGCTGGCAGGGGACAGCCGGCGTGTCCCCAGTGCCACCACAGCCCCTGTCCCTCCTCCCCGCTGTCCCCCCCGCTCAGTGTCCCCCGGTATTTTCCCCTTTTCCCGCTGTTTTTCCCTTTTCCCGCTGTTTTTCCCCCATTCCCGCTCCCCCCTCACCCGCAGCGCGCGCGCGGCCGCCGCCATCTTGGCTGTGCGCGCGGCGGCTGCGCCCCCTGGCGGCGGGAGGGCACTGGGAGTACTGGGAGCACTGGGAGCACTGGGAGCACTGGGAGTACTGGGAGTACTGGGAGCACTGGGAGTACTGGGAATACTGGGAGTACTGGGAGTACTGGGAGTACTGGGAGCACTGGGAATACTGGGAGTACTGGGAGCACTGGGAGTACTGGGAGCACTGGGAGCACTGGGAATACTGGGAGTACTGGGAGCACTGGGAGCACTGGGAGCACTGGGAGTACTGGGAGTACTGGGAGCACTGGGAGTACTGGGAATACTGGGAGTACTGGGAGCACTGGGAGCACTGGGAGTACTGGGAGCACTGGGAATACTGGGAGCACTGGGAGTACCAAGTGGTGCTGGGCATACTGGGAGCAACTGGGAGCTCCTGGTGCCTACTGGGAGCCGCCGAGGGCAACTGGAGGTGCCGAGGGGTCTTTGATATGGGAGGGTCTGTGAAGGTCTGGGGGTGTCTCCCCCTTTTTCCCCCCATTGGTGCCCCCATTTTGGGGGTCTCCCAGGTGCCCTCTCCCCCACCTCCCCATTTTGGGGGTCTCCCAGGTCTCCCCCCAAATTCTGGGGGGGGTCTCGCAGGTTCTCCCCCCATTTTGGGGGTCTCCCAGGTGCTCCCCCCCATTTTGGGGGTCTCCCGAGCTTCCCCCCTTCTCCCTCCCATTTTGGGGTCCCCTTTCCCACCATTCTGGCGGTTTCCCAGGTTCTCCCCCAAATTCTGGGGGGGGTCTCGCAGGTTTCCCCCCCTTTTGGGGTCCCCTTTCCCCCATTCTGGGGGTCTCCCAGGTTTCCCCCCAAATTCTGGGGGAGGTCTCGCAGGTTTTCCCCCCATTTTGGGGTCCCCCCTCCCTCCCCTCCATTCTGGTGTCTCCCAGGTCCCCCCACCCCCATTTCGGGGTCCCCCCAGCCTCTCAGCGCTCTGTGGGCCGGTGTCTCTTTATTGTGGGGGTGCCGTGCCCCCCGTCCCGCTGCGGGGGGCTCAGGGGAAGGCGATGGGGGGCTCCGGGGGGGGGTCCCCGCGGCCGGGGGGCTGCCGGGGCCCCCCGTGGTGCCCGTACTGGAACTTGAGGCGCAGCTCGCCCAGGCGGGAGCGGGGCAGGATGTCGGGGATCCACTCGATGGTGAAGGGCGTGGGCTCCTTCTGCGTGGGGGACGTGTGGCCTGGGGGGGCAGGGCTGCCTCGGGACCCCCCCTCTGCCCTGCCCCGGAGCCCCCCAACCCTTTGGAACCCCCCTTTTCCCACCCCGGAGCCCCCCAACCCTTTGGAACCCCCATTTTCCCATCCCTGGAGCCCCCCAATCCCTTGGAACCCCCCTCTGCCCTGCCCTGGAGCCCCCCAACCCTTTGGAACCCCCCTTTTCCCACCCCGGAGCCCCCCAACCCTTTGGAACCCCCATTTTCCCATCCCTGGAGCCCCCCAATCCCTTGGAACCCCCCTCTGCCCTGCCCTGGAGCCCCCCAACCCTTTGGAACCCCCCTTTTCCCACCCCGGAGCCCCCCAACCCTTTGGAACCCCCATTTTCCCATCCCTGGAGCCCCCCAATCCCTTGGAACCCCCCTCTGCCCTGCCCTGGAGCCCCCCAACCCTTTGGAACCCCCCTTTTCCCACCCCGGAGCCCCCCAACCCTTTGGAACCCCCCTTTTCCCACCCTGGAGCCCCCCAACGCTTTGGAACCCCCCTTTTCCCACCCCCTGAAGCCCCCCCAACCCAACAGAACCCCTTTCCTCCCTTCCTTGAAGCCCCCCAAACCCTATGGACCCCCCACTTTTCCATCCCTTGAAGCCCCCCCCAGCCCTTTGGAACCCTGCCCCTCCCAGGGGCTGTTTTGGGGTCCCACCCTGCCCCTCCTGGGGGTGTTTTGGGGTCCCACCCTGCCCCTCCTGGGGACTTTTTAGGGTCCCACTCTGCCCCTCCTGGGGCTGTTTTGGGGTCCCACCCTGCCCTTTCTGAGGGCTGTTTTGGGGTTCCACCCTGCCCTTCCCAGGGCTGTTTTGGGGTCCCACCCTGCCCTTTCTGGGGCTGTTTTAGGGTCATGCTGTGCCCCTCTCAGGGGCTGTTTTGGGGTCTCACCCTGCCCCTCCTGGGGCTGTTTTGGGGTCCCACCCTGCCCTTTCTGGGCGCTGTTTTAGGGTCATGTTGTACCACTCTCAGGGGCTGTTTTGGGGTCTCACCCTGCCCTTTCTGGGCGCTGTTTTAGGGTCATGCTGTGCCCCTCCTGGGGGTGTTTTGGGGTTCCACCCTGCCCTTCCCAGGGCTGTTTTGGGGTTCCACCCTGCCCTTTCTGGAGATATTTTTGGGTCATGCTGTGCCCCTTTCGGGGGCTGTTTTGGGGTCTCACCCTGCCCTTTCTGGGGGCTGTTCAGGGGTCATGCTGTGCCCCTCTCGGGGGCTGTTTTAGGGTCCCACCCTGCCCTTTCTGGGCGCTGTTTTAGGGTCATGATGTGCCCCTCTCAGGGGCTGTTTTGGGGTCTCACCCTGCCCTTTCTGGGGGCTGTTTAGGGGTCATGCTGTGCCCCTCTCGGGGGCTGTTTTGGGGTCCCACGCTGCCCTTTTTGGGCACTGTTTTAGGGTCTTGCTGTGCCCCTCTCGGGGGCTGTTTTGGGGTTCCACCCTGCCCTTCCCAGGGCTGTTTTGGGGTCCCCCCGAGCCTCCCCGAGCCTCACCGACTTTGAGGAAGGTCTGCAGCTCCAGGGGCCGCAGCGGGGGCTGTTTCTCGTGGGGGCCCAGCCCCTCGGGCAGCGGCTCCACCTCCACGCGGGGGCTGCGGAAGGGCTCGTAGGAGCCGTCGCGGTTCTGCACGAAGCTCCGGGTGATCTCCAGCGGCACCTGCGGGCCGGGGAGCGCTCAGGGCCGGCCCGGCGGGGCTGGGGGGGTCCGGGGGATGGAGCCCGGCCTTACCTCGGGCGTGTCGAAGATCTGCTTCACCTGCAGGACGTTGGTGATGTGCCAGGTGTACTTGGAGAAGGTGCCCAGGGGCAGCGCGTCCCTGCGCACGAAGGCTGCGGGGAGGGGTCGGGGGGGGCTCGGACCCCTTTGATCTTCCCCCCTCTTGGTTTTATCAACCTCTTAATTTTTCCTCTCCTTTCCCCCTTTTTTCCTTCTTTTCCCTCCCTTTTTTGCCTCTTTCCCCCCTTTTTCCCTTTATTTTTCCCTTCCTTCCTCCCTTTATTTTCTCCCCTTCCTCCCATTTTCATTTCCCCTTTTCCCTCCGTCCCCCTTTTTTATCCCTTTTTCCACCTTCATTTTTTCATCCCTCCCTCTCCCCCTTTTTTCTCCCTCTATTCCCCCCTTTATTTTTCCATCCCTTCCCCCCCCGTATTTTCCCCCTTTATTTTCCCCTCTTCTTTCCCCGTTTATTTTTCCCCCTTTATTTTTCCATCCCTTTTTTCCCTCTTTATTTTTTCCCTCTTCTTCCCCCCTTTATTTTTCCATCCCTTTATTCCCCTTTTTTTCCCCCTTTATTTTTTCCCCCTTTATTTTCCCCCCTTCTTTCCCCATTTATTTTTCCTCCTTTATTTTTCCATCCTTCTTCCCCCTTTTATTTTTCCATCCCTTTTTTCCCCCTTTTTTTTCCCCCATTTATTTTCCCCCCTTTATTTTCCCACCCCTCCCTCCCATTTCCCATCTCCCACTCCCCAGCACCCCCCAAAAAAAAAATCCTCTCTGTGCCCCTTCTCCTTCCCCCAAACTCAGCTCCCAGCAGGGTTTTCCCTTTTTTATTTTGTGTTTTTCCCCTTTTTCCTCACCCGTGGTGGAGTTGGGGAGCCTCTTCTTGCCGCTGCCGCTGGAGATGCGCTGCTGCAGAGCCTCGAAGAAGGACTGGGGGATGTGGAAAACCAGCGGCTCTGGGCGGCCTGGCAGGGGCACAGCGGGCTCAGGGCAGGAGCAAAAGTGTGCCCAAAATGGCACCAAAAGTGTGCCCAGAATGGCACCAAAAGTGTGCCCAAAAAGGGACACGGCATTTCCAAAATGGCACCAAAAGTGTTAACAAATGGCACCAAAAGTGTGCCCAAAATGGCACCAAAAATATTCCCAAAAAGGGACACGGCATTTCCAAAATGGCACCAAAAGTGTTAACAAATGGCACCAAAAGTGTGCCCAAAATGGCACCAAAAGTGTGCCCAAAATGGCACCAAAAATGTTCCCAAAAAGGGACACAGCATTTCCAAAATGGCACCAAAAGTGTTCCCAAAATGGCACCAAAAGTGTGCCCAAAAAGGGACACAGCATCTCCAAAATGGCACCAAAAGTGTGCCCAAAAAGGGACACAACCCCTCCAAAATGGCACCAAAAGTGTGCCCAAAATGGCAGCAAAAGTGTGCCCAAAAAGGGACACGGCATTTCCAAAATGGCACCAAAAGTGTGCCCAAAATGGCACCAAAAATGTTCCCAAAAAGGTACCAAAAGGGTTCCCAAAAAGGGACACAGCATCTCCAAAATGGCACCACAAATGTTCCCAAAAAGGGACACAGCATCTCCAAAATGGCACCAAAAGTGTGCCCAAAAAGGGACACAGCATTTCCAAAATGGCACCAAAAATGTTCCCAAAAAGGGACACAGCATTTCCAAAATGGCACCAAAAGTGTGCCCAAAATGGCACCAAAAGTGTTCCCAAAAAGGGACACAGCATCTCCAAAATGGCACCAAAAATGTTCCCAAAAAGGGACACAGCATCTCCAAAATGGCACCAAAAGTGTTAACAAATGGCACCAAAAGTGTGCCCAAAACGGCAGCAAAATTGTGCCCAAAATAGCACCAAAAGTGTGCCCAAAAAGGGACACGGCATTTCCAAAATGGCACCAGAAGTCCTTCCAAAACAGCACCAAAAGCATTCCCAAAAAAGCTCCAAAAGTCTTCCCAAAATGGCACCAAAAGTGTTCCCAAAATGGCACCAAAACTGTTCCCAAAAAGACACCAAATCATCCCGAAAAAGGGACACAGCATTCCCAAATGGCAGCAAAAGTGTTCCCATAAAG